GGATCCGCCTGGTTGCGACCGCGATCGAGTGGGGACTGGCCTTGGATGCGATGGTCAAGGTGTTGCAGCGCCGACAGTACTTCCAGACAGGCAACGTTCGCATGCACCCCCGGCGACACCCGGAGGAAGTCCGTCGTCTTCAGCGCAAGCCACCGCCGCGGTGGAGATCTACATCGATCACAATCTCGCACGGCATACTTCATCTCTGCCTTGTCGTCGACTCATAGCGATGGCTGCGATGGCAAGTTGTCATGGCGGACCATCGCTTCGGTGTACCGTCGAGAGTCGTGCTTGAGGAGGACCAGCCGTGTCGACTTGAACAAGGTACCGCCATGGAGAACCGCAGATGTGCATGGTTCAGTCCCAGCTTTTTCCAGTGGCTCTTTCGACCTTCGACCCTGCCACATGCCGCATCGAGCGCCAACGAGTCAAGGAAGACGAGATTTCAACTGCATGGACGCAGGCAAAGTACCTGATGCACGGCGAAACCTTGACGACATCCTATGTGGTCGAAGCTGACCGGCGTGTCCGTCGATAAGGTCCGTGTGAACACGCCATACCTTGGCAGCGCCTTGCGTGATGCTGAAAAGTTGGCGAGGCATGGATCGTCTGAAGAGTGCAGAGGGACAACGGCTAAAGCACAGGAACGACCTGTGCCGCTTGGGCAATGATGGGACGTTCCCTCCATGGATGTGTTTACGCTCTGGTCGTCCAGCCGCGGTAGTTTGGTGTCGGCGAAGACTTGGTCTCGACATGACAAATGTGGCGGCGCTCGATCGGGTCGATAGTTTCGTCAGTTTGATGTGGCGCGTGCTCAAGAAGCAAAGGCCGGACGGTGATACATCTTCACGTCGACGTTCTACATCCAGCTTTTCACGCCTACACACAACGGACGGGGGAGCTCGACGCGAAAGTTGCTCCTCCGTTTCGAGCATGGATTGCTTGGTTTAGCGGTCGCGAACGACGCACGACTCGAATTTGAAGAGGCACGCATGATGCCCATATGCAGTGGACGCACACAAAGTTCAACGATGGCTTTGCCGAAGTCATGCTGTTACGTTCGCCCGTCGATGGAAAACCCGACGTCAGGGATTCAGCACCATGCCAAGAATTATGGAGCTCGTTTGTCGATGTGACGAAGGCAATCGTTGCATTCGACATGGAGATTCGTCGGCCACGGGTCCATGGTGACCGCGACGTTGCTCGCTCTTGTCCCCGATGCAGCACCCCGTGTGAGTAGAAAACGTCCAAGACGACAAAGGCATCGGGACGTGGAGGTCTCCCGTGAAAAAGGATGTACATCAGGCAAACAAAACAGTCGGGAATCGCTCAACGCACCAAGAGCCGACGTGTTGCGAGAGACGCAGTAAACCCGGCCATTGTCCCACGAGGGCCAGAGCGGGTTCCACACAGCGCCCGCTGCCAACGGCAGGATTTACGACGGCCATCACGATGATGAGCACGTCCTCGGGTACGACATCTTCGGGTGGACGACTTGCCCAGCAATCGCAGACTCGTTGCCCAAAGTTGGCATCGTTCCAAAAGAGAGTCGCCGCAAGCAGTCGAGTCTTGGTCTCGTGGAGAATCGTTCCCGATGGTACGTGTTCCGGAGTCGGCATATTGCACCTGACCGTGGACAGCCCAGTGTCGTCTGCGATGGCAACGCCCCAGACCGAACAATGCACATGCGGCACGGCCACAACCACGGACATGACGGCCATGCCGCGGCTGACAACCGTTTGTCCAAGAATGGATGGCAATGTTGGTTGCAAACACAATTTTGAGTCCCTCGCGGCAATTACGTCCCCAGCGATGGATTTAACACTCTGCAAGCCCACTGACGGGTACAAAGCGCTGTAAATGGCCGCCGACAGCGGCACCCAGTCCACTGCTTGGAGCGCCCAGGGCGAGCGGAACGGTTGCTGCACCGCGCCGTACATGCAATGCCAGGAAATGAAAACCACGACGCGTTATACCGTTTTGAGGAATTGCAGTCAACAACTCCACCGTAAATGAGAGCAGCGGGGACGCACAGCGCAAACGGAGTAATGGCAAGCGTACCGAGACCCGCCAGCACCTTCGCTAGCTTCTGCGCCGACAACGCCACCGCTCACTGTGTACAGCCCTTTCCACGGCCATGACGATCGTCCTCCACGGCACTGGATTTGTACTCAATCGAGAGATTCCTGAGATGGCGCGAGAAGCGCGGTGCGGCGACGTGAGTTCCGTGCGTCGCTCCGGCCCGACGCAAACACCATCTCGTCACAACGCAATAAAAGATTGTTCAAAACACGCGTTGCGTCAAAATAATTCAGCTAAGCGTTTAAATCTAGAACATGGACGAGTTTTACTGCGTAGTCGCTGTTCAAAAAAGAAAAAAACCAGTTTACCTCGTTCCGAATCAATTCTTACCCTGTCTCAAAGTGCCGTTTCACTCACTGTCAGCAGCGTCGTTGTTCGTGCGTGGCGGCAGGTCTGCCACGAGAGCGGGGACGCCACCAACCATGGCGCAGACGGCGTGGCTAGACGGGGTCTGGAGTCGTCGTGGCGCTGCGATCGTGTCGTCCATTGCGATCTTAGAGCTGCACATGAACGGTCGTGCCAGTGGAGAGAGTAAGGATGGAGGGGTGTGCCATGACAACGACCACTGGTGTTGCATAGTTGTCCGCTCATGCAAACGTTGGCACCGCATGTTTGAGCCAGTGCTGCAAGACGCAACTCTCTTCCACGTTATCGTATCCGAATGTCGAGAGTTCCATTTACTTGAGCGCCCCAGCCTGCTGCAGCAGCAACGTGAGCTCCCCCGTTGCGTGGAGCTGCTTGGTGTCGTCGCAGCCGCCGATGGTCTTTCCACCCACAAACACGTTGGGCGTTGTTTTTCGCCCCGTCATCTTGATCAGGTAGTGCAGGATTGCGTCGCCATTGGGATGTGTGTCGATTTCAATGGCGTGGGGGACGGCGCCAACCAGCTTGAGCACTTCCTGAACTTCTTGCGAGTACGGGTCATACGACTTGGTGAACACGACCAAGGGGTGCTTGCGAAGCGACTACGACATGCCCTCGTGACTTGTGAGGCCTGGAATGCTGCTTTGTACCTCCAAGATCACGCCTTGCTTGGCCAGCGCCCCCGATGCTTGGACGAGCGGCACGAGCTTCCCGGCATTGTTGAGGTCCTCAATGTCGTCGCCGCCTCCGATCGACTTGCTATGGATCAGGATGTTTGGAACCGTTCGACGTCCCGTGTAAGCATGAAGTACGTCTTGGTACTGCGACGCCACCGCTGGTGGGAGCAGATCCAGCTCGACCACGTGGACTTCGGCACCAATATCCTTGAGCGTGAGTTTAGCTTGTTTGCAATATGGGCACGTCGTTTTGCTAAACATGACGACGCTGAATGGCGTGGCCATTGCGTCGTAAATCGCATCTGAGATGGCGCGCAGTTCCGTCGTCGTCGGGGCCAACTTGGACACTTTCTCAATGGACGTGAACGGGACTACCTAGACAATGAGATGGTGGAGCATGTTGAATCGTCACGCGTCAATACTTGATCCTTGTTCCTCTTCGCCAAGTAACCTGGCGCCATGTCGTTGGCCATCGCGACGACAGAGGGATACCCAGAGTAGATGCGACCAAACGCGGTGAAGCCAGGGGATGTTCCCTGAGGCGAATTAATCGCAGAGTTGTCCGTTAACATGATTGAGAACTCCGTGTTTCCGGACATCGCGTCCTTGTTGCGAGCCAACACCACCATGCGCTCTTCGCTGGGAAGACTACATGCAAGATGGGACGGACATATACCGATGGGACGACTTACCTGTACTCAACAGGGATGTTTCCTAGAGGCGACAGCTTGTCGTGCACGAAGCCGCCGCCTTGGACGACGAATCCAGGCTCCGCGCGGTAGAAGCCGGTGTTCTCTTTGTAGAATCCAGACGCAATCAACTGTTCAAAGTGCTCCACCGTCAAGGGGGCATGCTTTGGGAAGAGCTCGACCGTGAAATTCCCTGGAGCGATCGAATCCGATGAATTCCACCATGCCACCATCGACGACGCGACGTACCATACTTGGTGGTGAACTGGTACATCGTTTTGGTTTCAAAGGACAGCAAGTCTTCCGTAGACAGCGGGTCGACAAAGAACAGGAATTTGATGCAAAGCAAGGTGAAGATGCCGATTCCTCCGTACTTGATGTACGTTGCCGTAGGGATTCTGGAGCCGGCCTTGCCGCGTCCACCGCGGTGATGAGGCAGCATCCGACCCGACTTTTTCGAACTGGTGTGTGCATAATGCTACGTCATACCCTTCAAAGTCAATACCTCTTTGAATAACAAAATCCATTACAAACAGTGACTGTGTCATTTTATACATTGCCACGCCTCTTGCATGCGCCGAGACACTACGAGGGCCAAGGAACGTTTACATCACGTCGTCAAACGAATGTCATGTAGAGATCGCGCTCCATGGAAGCATGTATAACACGCCCAAAAGCACTCCTCGATGTTGCGTTGCCCCATGCACCACACGCACACAATAGGGGCGCAAGGGGTGCTGCCCACCGCAGCTCCCCGCTCGTGCCACTGCCATCCACCCGAATGGACAGCGATCGAACCACATGCGCAATGCCGCTGCGTTCTTCGTCAACGCTGACGGCGCTGACCTGCTCCTCGCAATGGGTGGTGTATCTATTGGGACAAGTACGACGGGGTGTCACGTCAAATTAGTTGGAGGCGTTCAATACAAAGTTGTAAACAAAAGAATATCGTCATGCGACGTGGTAAAGCGAACGAGCTATTTTGAAATCTGTATCACAGAAGGGTCCGTGTATTTTGAAAATGGCATACATATATCAAATGATAAAATAAAGTTTGGTGGAGGTTTCGGCAAGATTGCATCTTGTTGGGCGATTGTTGTCGGAGGTCAGTGTGACCCTGACCGCCGACGACCGCATCGGCTTGCCCGATCTTTGACAAGCGCTGCCGAGGGACGCCGTGCATCGATCTATCTTCTACCTCACCCTACTGGAACGACTCCATGTCGAGCGTAGCCACACGATTGTCGTCTTTCTTCAAGAGACTCGGCTCGAGGACTGGTTCAACAACGTCCCTTTCCAAGCAGGTGTCGGCTGACGACACGACTGCCAATCCTGCAGACGATAGCAACGAATCTTCTATCATTGCCGTGAAAGTACATGCGCGATCTGCCATTGAATCATCAACTTCGTCGTTGGGCACCGTGAAGGAGGCGTGTCCAAGTCCAGCGACCCTCACGTTCGAGCGAGGTACGGTTGCCCGCACTCCCGCCAAGTATTAATCGCTGTTGCAGTGACGCTGGACGAGCTCGAACCATTGGGGGTACTAGGGGTTGGCACGTATGGCGTTGTCAAGCTCGCCCGGCACACACCGAGCGGTCGCGCGGTCGCGCTTAAAGTCATCTCCAAGGAATTCGTCGTGAGCAATCGGCAGCAAAAGCACATTGTTCGTGAGCGTTTTGTCCATCTTCGACTGCGGCATCCCTTCGTCACTACGTTGTACCAAACCCTCCAAGACGACGACTGCCTGTACCTCGTCCTCGAATACCTTCCTGGCGGCGAACTCTTCACGATCGTGCATTCCGACTCCAAATCACCGCTCAAGCAGCCGCAGGGAGGACTGCCCATGGCTGCTGTCATCTTCTACGCGTCGTGCCTCATTCTCGCCCTCGACTACCTGCATGCTCAAGGCACCATCTACCGCGATCTGAAGCTCGAGAACCTCGTGCTCGACTCGGACGGGTACCCCAAAGTGCTCGACTTCGGGTTCGCCAAGCCTGACGCAACCAGCGAACGCAACGCCACGATGTGTGGCAGCATCGACTACATGGCACCAGAAATCGTGGTGCGGGAAGGCCACGACCACCGCGCCGACGTCTGGAGTTTTGGCATCCTCCTCTACGAACTGTGTCTTGGGACGACGCCGTTTGCACGGGAGACGCCTCGAGACCAAATGCGCGCCATTCAGGACGACCCCGTCGAGTTTCCCAACGCCTTCGAGGACGAGTACCCCGAGATGTGTCAATTAATCTCAGGGTGCTTGGAGAAAGCCCCTGGTCGGCGGTACCCAGACATGGCTGCGATCATGCGCCACCGCGTGTTCGAGCGCGTGAACTGGAACGACGTGCTGGAGAGGCGATGCCCCGTGCCATTCGTTCCAGAGCTCCACGGCGCATTTGACACTTCCCGCTTTGAATTTGCTCCCGAGGACCCGTCCGCAAACGTCGAACCATACTACGATGACGGGAACGACTGGGCCAAAGACTTTTAGCCGTCATTTCTCGTTTTTTCATCACTAAGTTACTACATACATAGCTTTCGTCGGTCGGTGCTGCCCACCGTGCAGGGAATACGACGGATATGTCTGGAACGATCTCCGTATGTCTTTGCCTTCGAACGAGACGGTGCCTGCCGACACGAGAAACATGCCGTCCGCGCGCGGTTTCTGATGCGCCACAATGCTGGTGCACGCCACCTGGGTGCGCGAGACCGCATATCGTCCACCAACGTGGAAACGCATGAAGCCCCGACATGCATTGGGACGTCCGTGAACGGTAGGGATGAAGGTTTGCGTGCATGTACTTGGTGCACACGCATCACTCTCAAAGGAATCGTTCCTTGTCGATGCCGCACGCAACGGCATTTCGTCGGTGTGAGACGAACTCAAGTGTCAGCGAAAATCGACAAAAATACGCGAAAATTTCGTGCAAAATTGGAAGAATAATTGGAGAATTTGCATACTTGCCAAGATGTTGTCCGGGTTCATTGTCCAATATTCATGCGCAACCGCGCGTCCGTCCTGTTGCTTCTCATCGTTGCCGCCCCGTTCGGCAGTGCTGCAACAAATATCACGACGTTCTCGTGCCAACCCATAGAGGACGATGTCGACTATGTGTCGATTCCATCGCAGGTTGTCCTCACGTCGAGGGAACATGCTGACGAATGTTGCGGCGACTGCCGTCGGCATGAAGCGGTGTGCGACTTCTTTACGTGGATCCCAGACCAAGGTGGCACGTGTGAACTGAAGAAGCTCGAGAGTCCGCTGAACAAGGTGGCGAGACCTGGTGCGAAAGCTTCCCTCCTCATACCGTGTCGGTGCACCACCGGTGACAAGTGCGATGCGGGTGGAGTGTGCACTGGATGCAGCCTCTTTGGAACCTGCTACAATTACGACAAAACAGGTTGCACGCACGGAGGGGGAAAACTATGCGACGGCTCATCATCGGTTCCCACGACGCGACGACCAACCACGACGCAACCCGCCAGCACAGTGGTCCCAGCCACGCCACGCCCGTCCGATTCACCTGTGCCACCGCCGACCTCCGCTCAGCAAACAAGCACGCCGCGCCCGTCCGATTCACCTGTGCCACCGCCGACCTCCGCTCAGCAAACAGCCTCACCGACGTCGATTCCTCCTGTTGTTTCGAGTGCTTCCTATCGACCGGACTTGGTAGCGACGTACACTTGGGTCGGCCTCGTTGCCGTGGCGACGCTTCGTTGAAGTCGACTAACACGAAATCTTGTTCCTGTCCACCCATTCACTCGACGAGTTCGTTCAGCCGAAAGCAGTAGCTCGACGGACATGCCGTCGCCAGTAGACGACGCGACGTCAGCCCTCAATCCAACGACTCGATCGAGACTCCCCAAGAAAACGAGGCGCCGGAACCCAAAACTGAGCCTCGCCATCTCTCCCTTGGCGTGACAGCGTCACCATTACGCAGTCGTGCGTCCTGCCGCCCGTCCAGTCCGCGGACTCTCATCCCTCCGGACCCTGACACCGCGAACAAACTAGTTTCGTCCGATGCAGCTCTAGGGACGTAAACTATGCAAAGCAATCAACCCCCGTGTGGGCGAGCTCAGGCGTCATGCGCAATGTGTGGAATTCCACTTGGTCAAGGATCTCAGCAGCAAGGAGGACGGCACCGTTGGGCTGGCGTCGACAAGTGAAAGCACAAGCTCCAGCGGACCTCAACATGGATACGAAGTCGACAGCAAAGGCGTCCGCGGGGGTCTTTTGGGGCCACCATGCTCTCGCGTCGACCGCTGTCAAGAACGATCGAGAGTCGGACGATCATGCGCATGCGATGAAAACGGTGGGAGCTCGCATTGGTCCACCGTCCTGACATCCTTGCCCCCAAAGTCGAAACTAAATTGTGCTCGGCGACGATGTCGTCGGCGCGCATCGCTACGTTTGGCGCAGCTTCCAACAGTCGTCGCGCCACGGCACATGAGCCGATGCAGACCATACGTTTAATTCGATGAATTAGGTGGGCATGTCCAACTTGGTCGCGGTGGGACGACATGGAGTTCATTCAGGAGCGCTGGGATCGCGACGCGACGCGCGGCGGAGGTCACAGTGGACTGGACGAGCTCGGCATCTCGACGCCACGGCTTCTTCTGTGCTCGATACGCCGTCTCGAATGCCAGGAAGGCCAGTTTCGTGGCTGTGACTGCATCCATGTCTTCTTCCGTCAGCGGCGTCTGCTTGCGTGCAAAGTGGCGGCGGTTGTAGTTGGCCTGGATAACGCGTCGACCCGCCAGGACTTTGTTCCGTCGGAGCTTCTTCGTCACACGCATGTCATCGCACGACAGCCGGTGGGCAATGTACTGGCGCAGCGTTGTGCCGTCGGGGCAGTCGTCGAGGATGCCGTCCAAAAAGCACGCGATCGCGAGGTCCACGTACACTTCTTCTGCGTGCAGCCACCGTCCCGAGTTCCATCGCGCCATCCTGTTTGAGAATGTTTTCCCACGTCTGTCTGGATGACGGCGGGTCGATACCATGCCATCTCGTCTTTCCCTGTTCTGTGGATGCCGAGAGCGGTCGCCACGTGCAATCGCCGACGCTTCCTTGTTCTACTACCCACAGCAACTTGCCGTATCGACCTCGCGTTCGCCAGCATACCACGTGGCTGCACATGTCAAGATCGCCATTCCAACCATGGCTCGTGGCCATTGATGCAGTCAAGCGTCGAAAGTCCTCGGGCCTGTCCTGGCCATCCATTCGTGCGCAAGCCGTCGAGTGGATGGCGTGTATCCAACAACCGCCACGTACGGCTGGCTCGACGGCACGTGTCCTGGTGCACTTGATAAAGATCCCACTGCAAGGATGCATGTTGACATGTTGCACTTGGCGTCTGTTGACGGGATTCGTTCGACTGGATCCGAGTGGTTCCTGCGCGTTGTAGCAGATGCTGGGCTCCGTTCGGAGGGTCATTCGCCACCGGCGTCTTGCGGGAATTCATGGCGGCGACGCCGGGAAGACCGAAAAAGACAACGACTCCACGACGCATTACTTGAATTAAGCCTGAGAACCCATGATACTTGCACACGAGAGGTCATGTCGTGGTGCATCAACCAAATCGAAAGCTTTCAACGAGACAAAGCGAACATGTCCGGTCGGGAAGGCAGACGTCGTGAAATGCGTGGCCACACGGAAGAAGCACCGCGTCCAAGTTGCGCTCGTCTAGTCACGGACGTGATCTCGACCACGATGTCACAACAATGCAGTACCTGCGCCAAAGTACACGACGGGCAAGTCGCAGTGCACGCAGTGCCAGTCCTGCAACTGAATCTCCCCACCCCAATCGTTGCGTCGCGATTCAAAAAATTGCGCCGTTTCCGACGTGCTCCATTTGGTCGCGACATGTGCGGCCGGAGCGTCGACCTGTTTCAGGTGGTTGTAGTACCCGCACTCGATACGAAACATGGCTTCGACTTGCGGTGCAAACCCCATGTGATGGCTGCGGCTACACGACCAAATGTACGTGTCGATTTCCTCCAGCATATGTGTCACTAGCTCCGAGTGCCTAGACAACGACCCAGTCAATATCCACGATCACTGACGTGTCATCGTACTCGTTCTGCAGCGCCTGCATCTCGACGAGCGCTTGGTACAGCTCTAGCGGCGCCACGGCCAGAAGAGTTGGGCATTTCTCCAGCAGCCGCAGGCCAACGTGTGGTCCGCATGCATCGAACAACGCGTGCAAAATGCCAATGTATATTTTGTTGTCGCTCGCGCCGTCGGTCGCCGCGTCCTGCATATAAGCGTCCACTTCTTCCAAGATGCAACTGACCAGTGTCTCTGGGGCGTCGAGCCCCATCATGTCACGAAAGATCGAGTGCAGGGACGACAGGTGGCCTTCGCTCTGCAGCATGGAGTAAACCATTTGACGCAGTTCCAGCACCCTAGACGAATCCACAAGTGATCAAAGAGAATGGAGCTGCCCGTCCATGCGGTACCCTGCTGCGCGGGTCGACGGATGGGCGAGCGAGTTGAGCACAAGCTGCAGCAAACACTTCCACCGGCCATGCTCGAGACACAGCGTTGACACAACGTCTTGCGGTAGGTTGTACACCGCTTGCTGCCGCAGGAACTGCACAAGAATCGCTTCGTCTTGGCCTTGCGCAAAGTGCATGTGCAGCCATTGCGTGACGAGCGCGCAGTTGTCGGTGGCGGCGCGGGGGTGTGTTTGCAGCAGCGTCGTGAGGTACCGCAAGTAGGTCGAGTTGGCCTTGTCAAATCCGACACTGGCGCCGAAAACGGCCCACTGCACATTCCACGGCGACACTTGTGGATACATGTCGATGCACCACGACACCGTGATGTCGGACCGCTTCTTGAGTAGGACGTGAAGAAGATGGAGGCACACACACAGCGCGGACGGATTTGGAAAGTCAAACGAGTGGTTCTCGGCGACTTTATTCAGAACGTCCTCGCACTCGATCGCGAGGCTCTCGCTCGCAATCGCAAAGTTGAGCACGTCCGTGAGCGCATGTGAGAACTCTAGCATGCTACACACTTTGGCGGCCCAGTCCAGATTGATGTAGTTGCCATATTTGGCGAGAAAGGCTTGGACGGTGGCCTCGTCTGTCGTCGGTGGGCGTCGGTGCTCGACAAAGCGGCACTGGACATCCAATTCGAGAATGACAAGTGGACGGTCAAGAAGCGCCGACGCCGTGCCATCGATCTCTTCGACGTGGACCGGGCCAAGGAGGAGGAAGTAGAACGAAACAAGGAGCCGCACAAACGTCCAGTCGCTGCGTGTAAGTGGAAGGTTGTCGTCGTCGTCATCGTCGGCAGCATCCAGCCCCGACGGCGGATGCTTGACCGCGCGCAATTGATTCTTTTTGATCTGGTCGATCTGCTTTCGCTTTTGAAGCAACGCGACATCGATCGTCGGGTCAAAGCTGCCCACAAATGCTTCGAGACACGATTTCACCTGGTCCAACGTGCCTTGCCTCAAGTACCCGTTCACGAGGCAGCTACCAAGTCGAGTCAGAGTCGCCGTAGGCCACAGGTGCAGCTGGGTCGTGGCCGCGGCCGCCAGTTTTTCAAACTCCGCTTCCATCGATGCAAACGATTGCGCCGCGACTGCTTGCAAGTCGACCGAATCTTGCATCGTCCCACCGAGGCGCCACTTGTGCTCAACGTGCGAAGCTGGGTACACCCCTATCTGCTTGTTCACTGTCCGCAGGATGAGCTGCTGCTTGGTCTCCGACACGGTGCGTGGTCGTTTTGCCTGGGCTGGCTTGACGTGTTGCCGCTTGGGTCTATCGAGTTCGATCAGTACAACGAGCGAGTCGTCGACAACGCACAACGTGGAGCGGGGCGGAGGGCGTTGCATGCGCAGCATCGCGGCATGTGTGCCGACGTCGTCGCCTTTGAGTTTCAGGGTTTGAGCGAGTGGGCGCTTCGATTGAAATTGGAGCTCGGTCACGAACAGCTCTGTCGCGATCGCTTCCAGTACAACTTCTTGACCAGACATGGGGTCAAACGGTGCGTCGACGACATCCGCCGACTCTGGCACGATCAAGCTCAAGTCGTCGGTCGACGAACTCACCGCCATCGCCAGCTTGAGCACACTATGGACGTTGGTTTGGGTCGGCTCTACCAGACCCGAGTGAGATAAATACTCACATGCATGCACAACTCGAGTTTGATCGTGTTTACCTCGGACATCGGGTGGGTCGAACTCGGGAAACTCTGCCGGCTCGTCGGGAATGGTCGCAGCCGACGTGGACGCTGACCGGCCAAAGTACTTTTCTGGGAGCATCGACACGAGCTGCGACGTTGCGTTGGACAAGTGCGTTTCGAGATCCACTTCTCCAAAGAGTGTCGGGGGTTTCAGGGTCACGTCGCTCGGCGCCGGCATGTTTTGTGCGCGCCACGCTTCGTCGACCACCTTGTCTTGGGCGGCGAGGTCGGCAATCGCAACGTGACGCTTGGGGCGGGTCGTCGCGACGTTGATAATTTGGTTTGTTGCCGACTGAACCGATTCGTAGAGCGGGGGCTTTTCGTACAAAAAGTTGATTTTCAACGACAGTGCTTGATCGCGATCTCCGGAAGTTGGGGGAGTGTCGACGGCGTCGCGCCGTTGCTTGAACACGACGTGGGGCGGCGCAATGTCGAGCTCCTGTGGTCTACACGACGAGTTAGGCACATGGCCAACGCAAGGAGAGCGCCATGCGCACCGAGTGTGTTCTTGGACGAGCGTCGCAGCGGCATCGATGAGCGCTTCCAACTCTGCCAGGGTCTCCGTCGACAGCTTGGGCTCGTCTTCGGGGTGCACTTTGACGTGTTCGACCCACTTGCACTGCAGATTCAGAAGCAGCGACAGGTCCAAGATGTTGCATTTGACCGCAAGCTGAAGCATCACGTGAGCGACTCGACAGGCCGCACTACAACACGTACCTCGATCGACTTTTGTAAGTCGTTGGAGACGGCAAGCTCCAAAAACTCGATCGCAGCACACGCCCGGACAATGGCGATTTTGCATGGATCGCCATGCAGCACAACGAAAACGGACGCATCCAGCACCTACGCAGAGCAGGTCAGACGCACGGGCTGTGTACCCAGCTGGATGCCGTGGTTGTCGGCGCTAATGCCGTGGCAGCATACGCAACTTGGGCAACTCACGCACCTTGAGGTCGTGGATAATGCCAAGGTCGACGTGCCACTCGACGAGCTCGACCGCGATGGGGTCGATGAGGAACAGAGCAGATGAGTTGGGTGACCAACTGAGCAATTGCGGCAACTCGGGCGTAAAGTCCATGCTCTCGTGGATGTACTTGAACAGACTCACGGTGGACAGATTGAGGTTCTTCACCGACACATCTACAGGCCAAATGTTGGAGGTAATGCTGGAGTAGAGAACGGCAATACCGTCGCCAGGAGGGAGGTTCGGGCCTTGGAAGAACGGGGTGGGCGGCACACTCATGGAAAACTTGAGTGTGGACGAGACCGTGCCGGACAAAGGGTCGGCAACCCACACGCGCTTTCCTGGGCGCGACGAGTACACTTTGACCTGCTTGTCTTCTGGATCGGTGAAAAAGCACCCACCAAAGTTCCCTTGACGCAGTTTCGACCCGACTTGGACGACGCCGCCCTCCGCTGCCGCCAAGTTCAACACGAGCACTCGCGTTTGTGACGACACGAGGAGCATGTCCCCCGTCGTGTTCGAGTGATGGATGTCCAGCTGGACGACTGACGTGTCTTCTTTGAGGAGAAATTCCGTCGACGACGATCCGAAAATGGCCGTGACTCCCGCGCGAATCGTCGTTTGAGCAACTGTCCCGCCGCAACACCCCGAAAAGAGGCGCGCACCTGGTTCGTCCCAAAGCAGCGCCGAAACGGAAAACCCATGATGGAGCGGGTGGGAAAACTCGATCTTTTCACCAATGCGCGCCGGATCGAGCAATGAGATCGCGTACACAGCCCCACGACTGGTTCCGACAACGAGGTATCGTTGCGCCGGACAGAAGCTCAAACACGTGATGGGATCCTGATGCCGGTCACTCGTAGCAGACGGAGGGGAGATCATCTTCAGCAGTCGGAACGTCACAGATGACGACGCGTTCGTGCCTTGCTTCTTCTGGCTACGAGCAAAGATGTAGACACTGCCGTTCGTTGCACCACAGGCAAGGAACCGAGCACAAACGTCCACACACGTGAAGCGCTTGGCAGTATGTGCTCCACCCAAGACGATCTCCTCGTACAGGAGAAGCGGCTTCATGCGCCGCCTTGGGGCAACCGCGACATCCACGCCTTCGTCGGCCATGTTGATGGGGATTGTCCTCAACGCACTGTGGACAGTCCATTGTTATAACTCTCTGTATAATGAAGAAGCGTGTTATAATTGTTACTCTCGGATAGATTTTTGGACATATATCCGAGGGTTATGTACGCTAGTTACAATAATTATATTAAAACTCCATATTTCTCGAAATAGCAAATATCGTGGACAGAAATATTCCAATTCAACCATGCCGGTCCTCAAGATGCGTCATGTATGCTGCAGGCAGGCGCTGGAGCTTCCGCGAGGAAAAAGCCATGGCAGGCAGCACTTTTGACGCTGCTAAGATGCCACCTGTGTGCTGTGGGCTCTTTGAAATGAACTTGATGAACTGGGAGTTTAATGAGAGAAGACCAGCTACGAAATCGTTACCGTCGGGAGGCAAAGAACCCCGCTACTCCGCCGAAAGCAGACGCTGCTGCCGTCGTAGCAGCACCAACGGCCCCTGTGGCACCTACGCTCTGACAGATCGCGATGAGGCTTCCAGCAGCAATGCCACCCCCGTTCGCAATTGCTGCCGAAGCCATTGCACCCGCCGCATAGCTCCCGGCCGCAATCCCCGCCGACGTAAACCCCACCAGACTCACGACGCCAACAATGACTGGGCCGGCTAAACGATTGAATGAGTCACATTCAAAACAGGAAGATCCAGTTGTACCAATGAGTCCGGCGGCCGCTGCCCCACCCACTACTCCCGCGACTTTTTTCCATGTCCGCTTGGATATTATAGCAGCTTGGCATGCCTCCAGCGCTTGATTTAGTTTCGCGCAGTCGCGATACCGTTCGTATCCCGCTTGAAAAGTAGCAAGTGCCTTGTCCTTTTCATTGTTCCGCATGTACGCTTCGCCAAGGACCAAGTAAACGCGAGGGGAGTCCATTTTCATCTCGAACGCTGTCAGAGCATCCGCAAGTGCGGCCATGGAATCGCCAAGGGTAAGGTACACCTCAGCCCGTTCCCTGGGTGACGTGGCATGAGAGGTGCGGTGAGTTGATGGTACGTACAGATAACACAGAGCAGTTGCGGGGGATCCATCGCCTGCGCCAGCCATGCTCGCGGAAGCTGCCCCATTGGTTTGCTTTCCCGAGCCTTCGCCGGCGCCTTCCGGAGTTGACGCTGTTTCCATGACAAAAAAGTAGTGCTCTCGTATGACCGACCAATCACAGAACAGGTGCTATGTCGAGTCACCGGATCAGCAACTTCTCTGCTGCCGTGCTGCAGCGACGAGCGGATGTGGTCGTAGATGCACAACCTCGTGGGCACCAGTCTTGTGATCTAGCATGGCTGGCACGTTGGCGGTAGCAACTTCAACCTGGATGCACCCTGGAGAAAGTGTAAGGCACGGATTTTCCGACGAGCCAACGGCGCCAATGACTCTCGCGAGAGCTGTGTCCTCGATACACTTTACGGACTTGAAACAGTGAAACGTAGTGCCGCGGACTGAGGAACCCCCTCCCCTGTGACTTCATGACTGCCTATAGACTACAATTGGACATGCATGGCCCAGAGCTCCACTCGATGCACACACCCACCAAGTTACCAGGTGCATAATGGCATTCGAACGATGACATTATGTGTCTGATATTTCCATCGTCGTAGTTGATGAGATCGCTGTGTTCTCCAAGTGCTGGCACAAAGAGAGAGCTCCTCTTTGCCAGTTGGCGCGCGGGGTGTTGCGGCGGGGGGGGCGGGGCACTGCCGGACAGAATTCTCGTCCATGGCTCGAGAGTTGCTGGCGTTGTAAAATCCATCGACGAATGTGCTTGATACTGTAAAACCGAAATTGGATTGGCCGAAATGAATCCCTTTCAGCCAATAGAATGTAAGATAGTTACTTGCGAGTCCAGAAAACACCTTTCGGTGAATGGAAGAAGCACCGACCGACCCCTGTGTAGTCGACGGAGTCATGGGCGCCAAGATGGACTTCGCGCCGTTTCGAGTGCGAAAGGATCTCAATGAAGTACGTATTCTTGAACTAGGAACAGCGATATCAGTCGTCACTTGTGTCGTAGTTGGCAAAGGGAAGGTTCGTCTGCTCTCACGCAACGACCCAGATCGAGTTCCCCGACGGCACCGGCAACATATTGCACATCCTGATCTCCATCTCCGTGGGTGACGTTGACAGTCCGTATGCAAATGGAGACTTTCGCTTCCAGTTTGACATACCCCGCACGTACCCGTTCCACGGTAGGCTTTAATCGCTGCATGCACCTCATGCGTTCATGCGTGTTGATGCGCGGTAGCTCCAGTTGTGAAGAGTTTGGACAAGTACGATAGCTTCGTTTGTGGTTTTCACATGCTCACATCCGCTTCTCATGTAGAATATGGCATCCCAATATCGACATTAACACAGGACAAGTGATGTTTTCCATTCTGGGCAACGACTGGCGGCCTGTCCTGAGTATCAACACGATCCTGCTCGGCTTACAAGTGTGTGATCCGTCTCGTTGTCGTGCCGGTTCTCATCTCCCGACTTGTAGCTCATTTTTCTCGAGCCCAGCATTGAATTTGCAGTGAATCAAGTCGCCGCGACGACATTGGTAAACGATCCGCAGTTGTTTCGAAGACAAGTACGTCTAGAGGATGCCCACCACGAAGGAATTCATGCGCTGATGGACGCTGCGTAGGTCCAGCACACGCTCTGCGGAGGAGCAATTTATGGTGTTGAATTCCTTCGTCACCCACGCCAACGCCTGCACGTGACGAATGAACCGGTCAATCGACTCCATTGCAAACGGGAGCGCGAGTTGGAGCGTGAAATCGAGCACATGACGATCTCCCAGTCGATGGACTGCGAAGTGACCGACGAAGATAGCGACCACCACCCTGATGGTCCTGCCTTCAAGCGTCATCGTGGCATGTAATCCGTCTTAATATCTATGCGCTCGTCGACGGAGCATTACACAAGTCCAATATGTATCCTATCGAACTAACTTCGCCAGCAGCTCTCTCGATCAATGCGACGGACATCTTTATCGGCTGTCCCCAAGGGCGGGCGGCTTCGCCGAGGCAGCACGCGGGAACCCACACCACGGGATATCCGGATAATTTCGGATAAATTCTACTTTGGCCTGCGAACTTAACAACAGCAAGGTCAACAGAATCCGGATATTCAATAGAATCCGGATATTCATGCGGATCCGGATACCATGACCTCCCTGACGCAATCTCGGACATTCCCCGCACGACGCATCATGGACATGGCGTGGGGCGACAATTCCTGTGGGTCGATCCCAGATCATGGCGGGAGACTTGGGAGCTAATGCGTCGTGATGTACGTGTAGACGCGGATGGATACTCTCTATCGAATGGGTACGTGCTTTCAAGTTTAGGTTGAGGTGGTGCGGGCTGAACATACATGTTGCCTGGTGTAGGTTTGACGACTCGGACGGTGGTTCGTTGAACGGCGAAAACAAGCCTCGCATCCTCCTTATGGGCCTTCGACGGTAGTGACGACACCGCTAGATGCAGAAGTGCTCATCCTTAGTGGAGTAGAAGCGGCAAGTCGAGCATCCAGCGTGTGGTGTTCCACAAGATGTCGCCGCATGAAACGTTGTTTCTCGAAGGCACTAATAGCTTGGACATCAAGTATATTGCCAATAATTCGTTTGTCCAGTTCCAGATATGGGACTTTCCCGGCGATTTCGACTTCAAAGGTCCGTCAGTGCATCACGATCGCGTCTGTCATCGCTCACCCGCGCCCTCTCCAATAGATGACTTGGTGTACGGCGGACAGCTCGTGAACGAAGAAATGATCTTTGGCAACTGCGGGGCCATTGTGTTTGTGATTGACGCTCAAGTACCCCCTCTGCATTTGCCCGGCCATTGTCATCATTTCGCATCTTCTGCAGGACGATCCGTACTCGGAAGCGTTGACGCGACTCCACGACACGGTCGCCCGCGCGCACCGGTACAACCCAAACGTGTTCTTCGAAGTGTTTATTCACAAGGTGGACGGCGACCTGTTCATCTCGGACGACCACAAGATCGGTCGACAGATTCTTCCTCTTCTGCATTCCATCACGTAGATCGATGCATAGATTGCCAGCGCGACATCCAGCAGCAAATCACGGAGGAGATTCAAGAGGGTGACTTGGACATCCACATGAGCTTCTACCTGACGAGGTACCTACCTCGAAGAACAGTCTCTCTCTCCTGCTACACGTGTCGCTTGCAGCATTTACGACCACAGCATCTTTGAAGCCTTCAGCAAGGTCGTGCAAAAGCTCATCCCGCAATTACCCACGCTCGAAAACCTCCTCAACATCTTGATCTCGCGCTGCAACATGGAAAAGTCCTTCTTGTTTGACGTCGTGAGCAAGGTGTACATTGCGACCGACAGCAACCCGGTCGACATGCAGTCGTACGAGCTGTGCAGCGACATGATCGACGTCGTCATCGACGTGTCGTGCATTTACGGGTACGTTGATGGGTCCTCCTGGATCTATCATGACGGGGGTGCAGCATGAAGGACGACAGTGACGGCGATGGGCTCGCGTACGACTCGCAGTCGTCGTCTGTGATTCGACTCAACACTGGGATGGTCCTGTACCTTCGCGAAGTTAACAAGTACGTGAGCCATGCAGCGGTCGCATATCCGTCCGTCGTGCCAACCTTGTTGCATCAGCTACCTCGCGCTCGTGTGTTTGCTTCGATCCGAGAACTTTACCAAGCAAGGCATTATCGACTACAACATTGATTGTTTCAAGTCGGCGCTCGGCCAAGTGTTCAAGCCGACCAAGTAACTCGTCGGTCTGTCGGCGCGCACAGGACGAGCGACCGACGAGCGAATCAATTGTGCTTTCGACATGGATGTTGTCTTGTGGACATTAAATCGACGACACGCTCAGCTGCTCTTGAACGCGCCGGACGCGAGGACCGCGATCAGGACCACGACGAGCCCAAAGAAAAGCAGGCAGCACATCTTCTTTCGCATGCTCTTCTGGGACTTGAGTGCTTTCGTGACTTCTTTGTTGCCGGCGTCGATGTAGTTGGATGCCGTTTTGACCTAGAGGACCATGTCTGGCACTACCGGTCGTCCAAGCACACGTACTTGAAACTCAATCTGGTCAAGCATTTCGCCCTGCTGCTCGACCAGCAGTGCCAAGTCGAGAAACATTTGATGCAGCTCCGCGACGCTCTGCTCTAGCTTGAGCACGTCTTGGTATTTGTCGTGACACGTCATGTACACTTCCTTTATCGAGTCGTTGCTGCCCTGGAGGATGGCACTGCGGTAGATCGCGCCTGATGACATGAGTCTGGTCAGCGGCGGCCACCCTGTGTGGTGTCGTCGGACGAGTGTGGCACGTACCTGGGTCAGCAGACCGCATGACCATGTCGATTTCTTGCTCGGATGCGTCCGGCTTGACGATTTGAACTTGGCGCTTCACTTTGTTCTTCATGTCCGACTTGAAGCGCTGTTGGGCCTTTTGGTACTCTTTCATGGTGTCCATAAACTTCCGTGTGAGAGTCGTCGACATGTTGTCTCGAATTCTACACATGACGTGTCAAATGGTGGCCATCGATGGCGCACGCACCGCATCTCGGACGCTGGGACGACCTTATCCTTCTTCTTCTCCGCCGTCTCCTTTTTGATGAGTTCCAGCAGCGCCTTCGCCCGCGCCGCGACCTTGTTTGTGCTGTCGATGACCAAACACAGCTCTTGGCTGATGACTATACCCCGCGCTCAGTTCAATCGAGGGATGGAATCGAGGCCTACTCTGTTCTTCGCCCGTGGCCGTCGCCAAGAGGGCTTGGTGGTTGAGCTCGCCAATGCGATCCGTGGCGACCCTACGTCCGCAGAATGACCATCCTCTCGACTCGAATGGCCCCGTCCGTACGTGATTTTGCCCAAATCCGCTTGCATATCTTCCACATCCAAGAAGAACTTCTCCATAAACTTGGGCCGTGCGACACTACATGGCAATCAGCGCCCGCCCACCGATTCGGACGGCTAGACAATCGCCGCGAAGCGTACTTTGGATTCTACATGGCCGTGCACACGATGAGCGCAACAATTTCCATAGGATATTGAGCGGGGTGAACGCATTACCTCTGCCGCTACGTCAATTGCAACTTCTCCGGGCGCTTTTCCTGCAGAGCCCATGCAAAATGTAGCGATCAGCATCGATGTGGGGTGTACCCATGGCCAAATGCCACGGCGTACCTGTAAGCTCTGCGAGGCGGTCGTGCATGGTGCAAGGATGTGAAACGTGGCCTGCTCGAGAGAGCTGGCAGTAGACTAAGCCTGGTGGACTCGACTAGCGTTGAGCGCTTCGTTGAGTAGTGCCGAGAATCCATCGCGTCCTCCATCTTCCCGCTATCTTTAGCCATGAAACTGCCAGTCAAGAATGCATGTATTCACTGGCATATATCTGAAACCGCCCAAAGATCGTTCTCACGACGAAAAGTTTTGCTCGTCGAGAAGGAATTCCATGAGCTCTTGGTCGTTTTGGAGGGCCGCGCGATTCACAGTCGCCATGGGACGACGCAGCGCTTCCGACTTGGTCGTAGACGGTGGCCCGCCCACTCCCACTCCATCGTCTTGAAGCGACAGATCTTGAAGCAACTTGTCTACAGACTTGTCCGCCTTGAGTGCTATCGCATCGTCGACAGCTGCCTCATTGTATATCTCTCCGTTCGCGGCCTTGGCTATGCTGCGGTCGTGGAGGCTGTCCGACGTCACTTCGACCACAATCACAGACGTGTTGTCCTCTCCGTGCCTTTCGTCGACGCATATCCGAACCAACTCCTGCAGCAATGTCACGCGTAGCTAGTCCTCGATATGGCACACTCGTACGTTTGCAATCGCCTGCAGCGTTGCATTCTTGTTCAGCATCGTCGTGACGATGGTTGCAACTGTGCGGTTGTCCATCACGGCGAACAGCCCGTCGGACGCCAGCACAACGATATCGCCCGACGGACTCACTGTCCACTCTGAGATCTCTGGCACCGCACACAACGAAGACCCAAACTGTTTCTTGATGTCGACGTCTCCGAACGCCCGGGTCACGGTCAGCTGGCCAAATGTCCGGTCGTTCGTGATGAAGCCTCCTACGCAGACAGGGTCAGGCACTTTGAAGTATCGACGTACGTACCGCGGCTCACGATGTAGCCTTGCTCCTCAGCGTCCACTGACCGATGGTCTCGGGAGATCTGAATAGGATGCCCACCTCGGATGAGTAGTGCGCTAGAGCACACATAGCAACGGGTGAGCATGACGCAGGCAACACAACCGACAACGGACCGAGAGTCGCCCACGTTGGCGCAGTATAGTTTGTCCAAGCCATCGTACAACACGCATATGCACGTGCTGCCCGACCTACGAGCAGATACGGCAAGTTGGTCGTAGGCCAGAACACTGGCGGACTCGATAAAATACATGTCGTTGTTGGCAATCGCCCAGTCGTTGAATGCTGCGTCGACTTGCGTGAAGGCCCGGTACAGGGCTTCCCTACGCTCCACGAGAAAAGTGGCGCAAGTCCATCGCAACCGCGTTTAGCCAGAGGACTCACCGAGGGCTCTTGTCCTGGCCAAGCGTGGAGCCCACGGCCGTGGGCAGGTGTTTCATCAAGTAGTCGGCGCATGTGATGCCAGCATGGCCATCCGCAACGCAGTACAGCGCCGGTTGGAATCCGAGCGTGCTGCTCGTCCCACAAGCCAACTCGTCGACGCAAATGAGCGAGTCTTCCATGATCTCCCGCGCGCCGACCGAGCTGCAGCCGACGCCGGCACTGTGGGCAACGACGACTGTACTCGACGCGATGTGATGCTTTGCTTCCATGTACTGGAGATACTTGGACCGGATTTCCTGCACGACATATGCAGCAACCGCCACTCGCCAAAGCAGTCGAGGGAAGCTTACCCATACACCAATGCCGCCGCCAAGCGCGCCGTCCGCCGACGGCTTTCGCATGAACGCGCGCCGGATCGTGTGCAGCACGGACCCTATCGAGTACGACTTGGACCATCCCCGTTCGACCCGCGCCAGCATGGGGAGAGTGACTACTCTGGACTTGACGTCGCAAATGCCATGGACAAATGCGCCGAGACACCGCACGACAGGCGGGTGGCTGCCGTACTTGGCGTTCACGAGGAATTCGATCGTTGTCGGGTCACCCGGCAACTCGAGCTCTGGCGACGGCAGGATATCTGCCATGATCGAGACGCCGTTCGTGCCCTGGACAAGCGACTGAATCGTAATGTCCGGCAGCGAATGGAGCCACCACAGACTTGTGTCCCGCCGCATCATATCAATTTCCAGCCGAAGTCGGTCGACCACCAAGCTCGCAGCCATCTTTGTCGCAACGCGAGGAATCGGAGCGGTTTCAAAACCCGTTTCGATGGCGTTTCCGCCGTCGCCTGTTTGTCCGCATGGACAATGGTCATGTTGCGACCTCGCAGAGCCTACGGCGGGACAGACATCCCTCCATCTCCTACCTACGTGCACCTGCACAGCGGATGGAAGCCCTTGCTTCATGACACTATTTCACCGTCTGATCAGGTGCTTTCCCGTTGGACGCGGCGTCCCCAGTCAGGAAAGCCATCGTGCGATTGAAGATGGCGTCACTCGTTTTTGTTAGCGGCGTTAGTTTTTCTTGACAAGCTGAACAATGTCTTCGTCCATCAGCACGTGCTCCTTCCCGACCTTTTGCGGCTGGTGCTTGACGCTCAGCCCCCACACGTTGGCGTACTTGAGCTGCTTCAGAATGGCTTTGTGCAAACGCATGCAGAAGTCCTCGACGGTCGGCGCCGCGTCGTGCAAAATGACCGGCGCGTCGTAGTCGGGCTGTCGGCCCTTTGGCTTGGTATAGATGCGAATCATGTTGGCGTAGTCCCAGATTTTTTCCAGCAGCTCGTCCAGGTTCCACCCGTGGTGGGCAGAAATCAGCACGTTGTGGGGCAGCTGGTCGATGATGGTGAGCTCCTCGATCGTGAGCTGATCGATCTTGTTCAACACGTACAGACACGGAATATACACGCGGTTGCCTTCGATGACGTCGATAAGCTCGTCGGCGGTCACGTCCTCGCGCAGCGTCACGTCGGCGTTGTGAATCTTGTACTCCTTTAGGATTTGCGCAACGGTCTCTTGATCGAGCTCGCTCTGCTCGCACGTCGCCGTGTAGTTGAGCCCGCCCTTGTCCTTCTTGCGCAGCACAAGGTTAGGCGGCTTCTTGTTTAACCGAATGCCGAATCCTTCGAGTTCGTGCTCGATGAGCTTCTTGTGCGTCGCCGGTTTCATGGCGTCCAGCACCATGAGGATCACGTTGCACGTCCGCGCCGTCCCCATGACTTGTCGGCCGCGACCCTTGCCGTCCTTGGCACCTTCAATAATACCAGGCAAATCCAAAATTTGAATGCGCGCGCCGCGGTAGTTGACTGTCCCGGGAATGGCCGTCAACGTGGTAAACTCGTACGACGCCGCTTCAGAAAACGTCCCTGTCAGCTTTGTCAGCAGCGTCGACTTGCCGACCGACGGAAAACCGACAAGACCAACGCGTGTGTCCCCCGACTTGTTCACGTCGAACCCTTCGCCGGCGCCGCCGCCGCCGCCAGACTTGCCCCCGTCCAACACTTCGCGACGAAGCTTGGCGATCTTAGCCTTGATCAAACACAAGTGCTTCATCGTCGCCTTGTTCTTTTGCGTGCGGTCATACTCCGCTTGCAGCTCATTAATCCGCGCCATCGCCGAGCTCATGGTTGCCACGTCGCCTCTCTGGCAGGTTCCTCTGATCGATGGTTCTCGTCGTGGCGGAGGTCACTGGCCTCCTGTGATTGGTCCAAAACATCCGGATAATTAACCGGTATGACACGGCTCGCGAATTTTGCGTCGGCTCCTACTTTCTGCGAACTCGATGCAATCGTGGCTTGCGGAAGTCCATGCGACTCGAGCACAGTCCCTTGTGCGTCCACGACCCCCCGAATGGATGTGCCCAATGTAAAGATCCCTCGCATTCATGGTGTACGCTTGGAACGCGCAGGTCGAGGAGGACACGGGCATCGCGTCCGTGGAGACAGCGTCGTTGGACACACCGCGGTCTCCGGACGAGGCGACGTACGTCCTGCCACGGGCCATGCGCTTGCCAATACGTGTGAAGTTGTAACATTGCACAAAGACGTATGGATTTCATTAACGTTGCATTAGACAATGATGCACGCCGCCGACACAACGAGGACGGCAAGTGCCGAGAGGATGGACGACGCAGCGGCCGACTTGACGGGGATCGGTGCAGCCGTCGTCGTGACGGGCTTGGGTGCCACGGTCCCTCCTACAAACCAAAATATCTTGAGTGGATGATGGACTCGGCGATGGGCATACCTTGGCACACCAACGAGTCGTCAACGCAAGTAGCTGTCTTGGACGGGCACACGTCGTCCGAGAACTTTTGCACACACACCTGGGTCGGGAACAGATGAGGGCAGGCCACGTTGGCGAAAGGACGCGTACCATCCAGCAGACCGTGCCGCCGTTCGCCACTTCGGACGTCTTGACACACTTGTTTGCGACGCATCGTTCCTTGTCCTTTTGCATGTCCGGGTTGTTTTCGACGTTGCAGTCGCGCATGCACATCGCTTTCGTCACGTTGGCAGGGCTGTCGCTCGACGGCGCCTAAACAGTACGCGTGAGTTGCTATAACACCAGCAACAACAGAGCAACGTACCCAGATCCCAATGGTGCAAGACGGGTCGGATGCCTGGAGCTGGCGGTGGATGGGGCATGCAAACGTCGCGATGTCCGTCTAGGTCCATGACGTGGATGAGGGAGTTGTTCATGTCGGTGCCCGAGATACGCTTACGTCTTGACCGAGCAGGAAACGCTTGGTGCTGGCTGCGTACTCTTGGAACGTTGTGTTGGTGTTGGCCATGATCGATTCCTCCGGCAAGAGGACCATGCGACCGAAGAAGAGGCGGTTGACAGGTTCCGACGAGCGAGGCATGACCATCGCATGCAGCACGGGAGGGAAGCGGTGGCCAAGATCCGTCCATTCGTTGAAACCTTGGCCCACCATGACAACAAGTTCGTCATCCTTTTGCACCGGACGAAAGTCCGTGCCGTTCAGCATGACCAAGAGGCCGGCGTTCGTGTCGGGGTTCGCGACGGGGCGGTTGGACGCATCAAAGAATGTCGGCGCCGACATGAGGATGAAGAGACCGCTGTCGGTGTGACGCTCCAACGACAGATCTGTCCTGGATCATTGAGACATGGTCCAACCACAGGCCATGGACGATTACCAGAGTCGTCGCTGCTGTCGTCGGCAGTCGACGCAGCGTACGAGTGCAAGTGCTCCAAGTTCTTCCCCTTGGTCACGACCGTCTCAACAGCGTGGTTTTGAATCGAATCGGACGAGGCATCGAGGGCCCGCGCAAAGGCCAAGCCAGCTTGGTCGATCACGCCGTTGAATTTCTGCACCCACGGACTTTGGTCAGAATCACATAGAGCACGAGGAAAGAGGGTGTACCTTGAGTGCCGCGACGTAGTCGGGGCAAGCCTCGACGAGCGCATCCGGGATCAAGTCGGTGTCGGCATGCGTGCTCAGCGTGCGGCGTTGCGTGCCGTCGACCAACCGCTTATGGATCACGCTTTCATGCGAAGCGCTGACACATTCCGCAGCCGCTTGCAAGTACGCAGCCCGCGTCGTCGTGTAGTCCGGGATATTCTTGAGCGCGACGAGCCCAGTGGCCTTCAACGCTGCGACAAGCGACGGTGCTTCCGACCCGACTTGGACGTCGAACGCAGGGATTTCATACGTAGGATACACAGCAGCAGCATGGACGGCCGTGGCAAGGAAGGCTACGGCGGCGGCGGCTTTCATCGAGGCACGTCAAGACAGATTTGGAAGTGAGCACCTTGGGTTGGCATGCCGACCCAAGGATTTTCTCTTGCGTTTTGTATACTTGAGACATGTCGTCCGTCCCAGACCCCTGCGACCACCACCGCCGCAATTATCAGGCACCATCCCGCAAATCGTCCGCCGACGGCTCAGACACCGCGGCACAGGTGGACGTCCGGCTCTGTCGGTGCAACTCCACGAAGGGGCGCCCGACGACCGCCATATACCCGCACGCCGTCCCGTCGTCTGGAGCGACCGGTCCCTGCGGCAGCGCTTCCAAGCGCGGCGTCCTCGTGCATACACCCACTCGTTGCAATTGTCGAGTGACACGATTGACAATTGCAACGTGTGTGGGTGTGGACAGCGTTCACCCGAAGTCCGACCGCGTGCGACGCGTGCGTCCAAGCCGAGCATTGCGCACGTCGTGATGGACAACTGGTGGCTTGGCGGTCCGTCCCCTACGCGTGGTCCAATCGAATCAGTTTATGGTCCGAACGGGATGCGACCGACTGTGAAGAGGGACCGTAACGTCGTCGCCTTCTGGCGTTGTTGGGAGCATCGTGTCTTGCCCTTGTTTCACATCGCGTGGCTGGTAGCGTCATGCGTTGTGAAACCCATGCAAGTCGACAGTCCCGGGGAAAGAGGAGGTCGTGCCCAAGAAGACTTTGCACGTCCGAGCGTTGAATGCATGACAATGTGCGCGGGAGGGTGGGCTGGCTCGACGTGCATCCATCACAAGGGTCGATTCCAACTCAAGTCGTCGGCACTTGACATTGTTGCCGTTCGACCCCGCCGTTATCGTGATGCTGACGAGAGATTCGAAACTGTCATAACAGAATTCGTTAAATAATGTCCAATTGATCTATTTTGGTGTCATAAATGATCGATTCATGCCACTTGAATTTTGAATTGCTCTTGACACCTCCGCCCCGCGGACTCGACGTCAAGTGTGATGGTCCACTGCTACATGGCACGGCGCTTCGTGCCTCACCAACCAGGATAGCTCTTGGGCGCTAAACGTGCCACAAAAAGTGCCACCACACTTCGACAGTCGTCGTTTCAGAGTCCGACATCAATCGACTGCGAACACCTTTGGTCGCTGTGACGGATTGTGCCTTCTTCCTCAGCAGATTGAGAATCCAATGTTCCTGCAACATTGGTAACGGATAAACACTTATCCTGATACCTTTCTTTACCCAATCACAGGCGCTGATTCGTGCCAGTGGAATGACTGGTGTGCATTTGCCATTGTCAGGAAGGAATGAAACCAAAGAATACAACTAAAAACTTCATCATCGAATCGAGTAAAGATAAAAATTGGTTGGTGGGGCATCGAGGAGGTGGTAAACCTTACAAAAGAGCACAATGTGCCTTTGGCTGTCACGAATGTCGCGACGAACCTCGTCGCTGTGTCCACGATTCATCTATCGGCACTGAGTCCCAGCAGAGAGAGATAGAAGCTCATGTCAACCGGGGACCGCTTGGTTTGCTTGCCATGGTGGAGAATGAATACAAAACGCTGCATGTACACATCGAAAGCGATTGGCGTCTCTACGAGCGGTAGTCTGCGTTGATGGCGACGTATTCGTGGGTGAGATCGATGCCGAGCACTTTGGCCGACGCGCTGCCAAGACCCACGTCCACTTCAATTTCCACCATGTGGTCATGCGGGGGGTAATCGCGGGACGTGTGGTCGACCCCGCCGCGAGTGGATTCCGTCAGCTGCGCCCTCTTCATGTGCTGCACGAGTTCCTTCTCAACATCCCTGCAAACATCGCCATGACGGCGATCGACAACACTCCAACGAGCGGCGACTGCTGACCGTACCCGTTGAGCGTAAACTCGCCAAACTCGAAGATGCGCAGCCCGCCCATGCTGATCGTCATGCTTTCCGCGACGTTCACCCCCTTGTAGTGCTTGCCCATGTACTTGCCGACCTAATTCGCCAGCACCGCGTGTCAAGGGAATATTCGCCTCCCCATGCAGCTCGTGTACCGCCATCACGAGGCGGCCGACGTTCGGGTCATTCCCCGCGACGGCACACTTGAGCAAGGGCGAGTTCACAATCGACTTGCCGATCCCCTTGGCCTGGACTTCGTCCATCGCGCCTTTGACCACGACTTGCATGACATGATGCGCGCCTTCGCCATTGCGCACGATGTCTTCGCAAAGACCGGCGCAGACGTCGTACAGGCCCGCGCGGAACTCGTCCAAGTGCTCGACATCAAACGGAATCTCACCGGACGACACGATCGCAAGCGTGTCGGACGTGCTTTCGTCCGTGTCGACGCTCATCGAGTTGTACGTTTTGTCGACGACGTCGGCGAGGAGGCGGCGGAGCAAGTCCCGCGGCACGGCCAAGTCTACCACACAACTTGCGCGTCAGCGGAGAAATGCACGAGGAACTCGGACCTGTGAGGATGTACGACAGCATGGTGGCCATGTTGGGCTCGACCATCCCCGCGCCTTTGGCGATGCCGACAATGCGGCCGCCGCACACGTCGACCGATCGAATCTTCGGATACAAGTCTATCCAGGGCGGACGAGGTGAGCACACGAGAGATGTCGAGCCCTTACCCGTGGTCATGATCCCAGCCGCAGCAGGCAAGATGGACGTGTCTTGCAACGACTCGACGAGGTTTGGCAACGCATGGAGGATAGGTTCGACGGGAAGCCGCCACCCGATCACACCCGTACTGCTCGGCAAAACTTGGGACCCGCGCAGATCCAAGTGCTGGGCAACAGCATCGCACACTTCTTGCGCGTCGCTGACGCCACCGCCGTTCGCACACACGTTGGAGATTTTGTTATTCACGATGATCGCGCCCAACGTGTCCTCGGCGAGCCGCTTGCGTCCGACCTTGATCGGCGCTCCAGGACACGCGTTCTGAGTAAAGACCGCGCCAAACAGCGGCGTGGGTTTGTGCGGCTTGATCAAGGTCAGGGTCATTTGCGCCGGAAGGTGCGGTGCCTCCTGTGGGACGAACTTGAACGTAGTCGTGCCGACGGAGAAGCCCCAGGGAAGGCGGCTGTGATGCTCGTTCAAGTAGTTGTAGTACTCGGTGGCTGAGTTAAAGACGAAGGCGGGCAACTTTGCCGACGATGTCAAGTGGCGGCGCGGGATCGCGGAACGAGCGAGGCGCCACATGTGCCCCAGACTCGAAAGATTAGATTGACTGCGACGGCAAATCTTCAACACGTTTGTCCCGAGGGACAAACGTGTTGACATGTAGTCGCAGTTTTGGGGATTACTCGAGAAATGCTCGCGCTTTGCACCTGCAGAAATGGATGCAAAGCGAGCCTCGAACTGGATTCACGACGACAGATCATCGAGACACGACGAATCCCCCACGAACTGTCGACATTGGCAACTCCATTGCCTCCTGTCATCATACGGTTGCGTAATATAGTAAAGTGCAATTGGGATAAACCACAAAATCCCACAATGCCATGTCAAGGAATCGTTTCGTGGTGGAATGAGGGGATTGCCATCGCAACCGAGACGAAGCCAAAGACGAGGACGAGAACGGGACATGCAGTGTACTATCGTGGAAGTCCATGGCCTTCGAGCGACGGATGAGCGAGGGACTGATGCGGGCGAGAGCACCACGACGAAAACTTAAAGGTCGATCATTGAGCGCAAGGATGGACCGATGTACGACAGTGATGGCCATGGGACTCGCAACCGTGTGGACGCCATGGGGTGCGAGAATCACGAGCCGTCGTCCTCGATCGCATGTACTCCTCGCTCCACGTTGGGCTGCCTGGCCACGCACCCCCCTTCGATCGGTTGGACTCCTCCCCGTTGGGGTTCGTGGACCCCAAGTCGTTCCACCGCCAAATCTTAGTGTTCAGTGCCGCAGCGCTTCACGCGAGCTTGTCATTCCTTGAGGTTTGAAATATTGGGTCCAGCATTGAAAGGCGGGAACGAGACGACAAACATGCAAGTCGCATGTTACCACAAAAAGTGTAGGTCGCACGTGGCGTTGGCATCGCGAGTATGCCGAAGGCATGGCCTCGCAAACCCTTCGTGTCCTTTAGCAGAGAGAGCAATCCATGCAACCGTAGAAGGGATATCCACGTCGTGGGTATGCCCAGATGACTGTTCACGTGCCGCACCTGCTTGCGTCCAGCGCCGTCTGCACGCGCGACATCTCGCTCGGTGAGTTAGACATGGCCTGAGCTGGCGGCCACGGAATATTTTGATTGGTTAAAAGGACTTATTCTTCGCAGCATGATTGGTGGATAATGGATATTGTGCCAATGACACCTGGTTTCTTCGAAGTCTCTGTTTGGCGTGGCGTTTTTCGTGGGATTTATTTTATTGCATGCGAATCGCCGCACATTTAAAAGTTGTCGCCCCTTTGTTCGAAATTCGACGGCCATTACATCTCGCCGTAGTCGACATTGCGAGGGTTCAGTATAGTGAAATCAAGTCAAATTGCGTTGCGGCTTCGAGTTACACCCGCTCGGCGGAGGCTGCGACGCCCAAGAGCCAGTGACACGCCCCGCCGTCAATCAAGAATTTCACCGGGAAGACAGCATGCTGGTCGCGTCCTTGGTATGCACCGCTCTCTTCGCAGCGTCAACTGCGACCGCCGCTAGTTGCCCAGAAGGACAGTGGGAAGTGTCGTTGCGAGGCAGTGGCACCGTGTACTGCGTCAGCAGCGAGCCGTGCTCGGGCTGGTACAACGGCAACGACGCGATTGGCAAGTTTGGATGCCCTCAAAAGGGCCAGTCGAACATCGACGACACGATTGAACTCGACTACAATACGTGCTGCGGCGTGTTTGGTGGAAACACGTTGGGATGTGTCCGCAAGACCGACGGCGCTGTGTGCAAAGGGCCGGAGCCGGGACCGTGGACTCCAAAGCCGAAACCTTCTACGTCAGCTCCCACGACGGTCCCTGTTACGACGGAGCCGTCGTCTACCCCAGTGCCTACGACCACTTCATCCAGCAGCACTGTGTCCCCTAATGGCACCACCGTTTCTCCTGACTCGACCACGACGTCACCAAGTTCCACCAAGACTCCGACGAGAACTCCGGAATCGCAAATTACTACACTGAACCCCTCGGATATCGCCACGGGAAAACCAAGTGTCACCTCGTCGGATGGCACTTCTGTCGATGGCAGCTCGTCTGGAGGGCTAGCCACCGGCTGGATCATTTTCATCATTGTTGGCGTGCTAGCGCTGGCCCTTCTCGTTGGATTGATCTTGTTTCGAAAGAAGCAGCCCCCTCCGTCGTACGTGGCGTCGCCAGCAGAAGGAAGCCGTGAGTTTGGGGCTGGTGCTGCTGCTGCGGGGTCTGCTTTGGAGGCAGGCGGAGGCCTTACGCCCAAGCAGAACGTAACTTTGTTGTAAATACCTAAAATACGACGTTATGTGTGACTTCTCGTGCCATTTTGAAGCTCGATAGGAGGCCACAAGCATGGATACGGTGAGACTATGGTCGACGTGGCACCTCGCAACTGCTTCCTGATGAAGTCAAAGAATGAGCAAGGCGGTGATCCAACGAATGGACTATTGTACGTTGTTGCGCCTGTTAGAAAAGTTAACCAGCAGCCATGCTGCAGCATCCGCGGGGTTGAGGGAGTTGAGACGGGTTAGTTCTGTCAATGGCGCTTCTAATTTTTCTTGGTTCTATTGCGCAGCGCCTTCTTTCGCTTCTTGTGCTTGTGCTTGTTCATCTTCTTTCGTCGCTTTCGCAGCACCGAGTCGGCATGCATCGCGTTGTCCGCAGAGTCCAAACCGTCAATGATCAATTCAGGCACCGTCGGGTACCCATACATGGGGAACGGGTCGGGAAGACTCGAGAGCATCCCAGTCGTGTCGAACACCGACGGCACGGGCATGTCAACTACGGGGAACGAACCAACCGTCCACATGTGGGACAGATCGACCGGTGCACCAGCATGCGTCACAGACAGGAATCGAGCGTGAACAGAGAACGGCGATGTCTTCACGCGGGCGCCGAGCGTGCGCGTCAAAGCCCGCACCACACTCATGCGTCTCGAATGCTCAAACCACACGATGATTCCCGAAGAGGTTGAACCACCAACCTTCGATTAAAATGATCGACCAATCAAATCTCGAATAAGTTTTCTTTATAGCCAATCCAATCCAAGACCAATGGGTCACACCGACCGCATTCAGGGCAGCAGCACCACAACTTGACAAGGCTTAGGAGATGGCGAGCAAGTGTTCGCCCAAATTACGGTGCATATCGACGAGTTTCTCTACTGGCACGCCTTTATCTGACTTGCTTTAGCGGTGCTTGGCCGAGCCGGATCGTGAAAATGAAGAGTAAATGTCCACTTGGCAGCCACACTGTCTACCTATTGCAAGAGCTGTTGAACAAGAAGCTCTCGGCCGGTCCTAGAACGCTGCGGTGTTGTTTGCCGCGCCAGTCCAAGCGAAGCATCGTCATGCTTGCTAGACATTCGCCACCCCCACGACCCAAAGGTCGAGCTGTTGTGGTTATCCGGATATCTGGACAGGTCCGGATACTGTTTGAATATTCAAACGGGAGAACGAATGTTGGAAACAATCACGGCATTGTGATGACGACGATGCCGATGCCGACGGACGACCTGCTGTCCCCAACGTCGAAACTGCTGTCCCCCGTGACAAGGCTAGACAAGGCCAAAGAAATTATGAATGAGCAGCAGCAGAAACGAATGGCGGCTTTGTCCGACGAACGCATTCGTGAGGTAATGGCCAAAGACCCAGCGACGCGAACTCTGCGGCGATCGACATCTGCACTCAGTTTCGACATGCACAATATGAGTGCGAGTGACGCCGATGTTGCGCTCACGTCAAGAAGAGACATTCCTGCTCCAGTTCATCGTGAGTCGCGACGGATGCAAATGCACGCACCAGTGGTGGAATCCAATGCAGCAGCAGCTGAAATGACCAACGCGCTAGAACTCGAGCGAAGTTACGAGCTTCTTCGTCGATTGGACAATGAAGACATTCGATCAAAACGTCGCGCGAAAGCTGCAAAGAAGAACGTTGTCCCCACCTCCAACTACCACCTGAAGCATTATGGTCTCGCTGACGTCGATCGCATCAACATTTACGCTCCATTTGAAGGGACGGCCTTGCAAAAGCCCACTGGCGATTCATCACGCTCAGCGCCGCATTTGTCTCCAAGAACAAAGCCAACTCCTATCCCAAACACCTCTGTCCACAACAAGAATAGAGACGTCGACGACGAAGCACCCCAACTCCTTCGACGAAAGGTAGCCCAACCATCGCCATCCTCGGAACTCCGGCATTCTACAACTCCTCTTCAAGTTCTACACTCTCCTACAAAAACCTTGTCGTCCACGCGAAAAAATGCCAAGCAGCAACAACGAGCCACCCGCTCAACGCCCATGAAGGCCAGACTCCGCCCCCGACACGCTTCGTCGACGTTTGCATGGACCGGTCTAGGCCACTTCGTCGTAGGTGCTGGGATCGTTTGTGGAGTTGGATCGTGTGCACTTCTCGTGGCTGAAGACAACGCCCTGATCGACGCGGTGGCAACTTTTGATACGTCCTTAGCCCGTACAATTGTTCAACGAACGACATCCATGCTCCTCCACCGATACGTATTGGTGCGTCAAGCGTCAGTGGTCTCTGTCGCTCACGCTTTGAGCAGATTACAGGGTTGCTCGCGGCACTGGTGCTCCTTCTGTGGCTCAGTCAAGGCTTGTCTGCGTCGGACGAGCGCTCCGTAATAGCACCTCCCTCGATCAAGCACGTCCTGAACGCAATCGTTTGTATAGATTGATCGCCTTGTTGTGTGCGCCAAAGAAGAACTGCTGTTGCATGCGACTTCCAACCTTCCCGGCCACACTGCGATCCCTGAGGCTTATCTCCGCGAAGCCATTTTGGACTTGCTTGGGTACAAAGGTCCGAAGAGAGATCACGCTGACTCGTTGTGGCCGTGTGTGCGGCAAGTCCTGGCCTCGGACAGGCGAATCCAGTGTTTTCAAGTAAAGTCCAAGCGAGGCGTCTACCTGTGGTATGCTGCAAGCTGTTGGCTCACGGACTTGGTGACAGACGCTTCGTGAGTAGGGAGTGGATTGCACCGCAATCGGAAGTCGCCATGAAACGCTATGCTGCCGCGGTCACGTCCCTCCGCAATGAACATGCCTAGTCGAGACTTGTAAAAATCCTTATTGGCATGATGCCGAATGCACATGTGATGGATGGCAGCGTGTGGCATGTCGTCCACGAATTTTGCACAAGGCACATAGACGGGCCTATGAGTCGATTGAAAGTCCAGGCGGCTTGCGACGCCATCATCGCTGAGCCATTAAGTGGCCGTAAGCGTTTTCCGAAGAGCGCACAGCTCCACCAGGATCGCTGCCAAATCCCGTGCTACTGCCACCTCACTCCATCATGACCCCAGTTGGACACTCCACTTGCGCCGCATGGCGGCAGGTGCTTTCGTCCACCGCTGGTGTGGGTGCCATTTCCGACGTCTCACTGCGAACTTTGGCCAATCAAATGCTGAAGATTGCCAACGTCAGCCAATGAGATTGTAGGGATCCAAGAACTGCCAGAAGAAAAAGCCTGCGGCGGTGTTTCTGTGCCACGGAATATCGCCGAGTGCAGCTCCATTGACCGATTGGACATGACGAAGGTACCTGTCGAGCTGATTGCGACCTTTGGCGTTGGGCTAAGCGCTGGCCTGCTCTTGCACAAGTATGCCGTCGCATCAAGGACGAACGAGGACGTATCGCCAATGCATGGTCTCTTACCAGAAGACGAGCTGGACGAAGTTCGACGCCTGGTGCGACCGAACATCCTGAAACTGACGCCATATCGATGTGCTCGCGACGACTACAGCGAAGGCACGCTATTAGATGCCAACGAAAACAGCCTTGGCCCTCCCTTGGAGGACGACCATCACCTACGAGACGAAGGGTTGGAGCGGTACCCGTGCCCATACCAAGTCGACCTGAAGACCGCCGTGGCGAACTTGCGGTATCGATTCCCCAACCCGTGTCGTTGCAAGCTATACCTCATGCGTCATTGTTGTAGCCAGCGCGACAGCAGCTCTCCACTTGAGGACAAGCATGTCTTTCTTGGCGTCGGTAGCGACGAAGTGATCGACCTGATGATCCGCATTGCGTGCATTCCACGCGTCGATTCGATCTTGATCACGCCTCCTACATACGGCATGTACAGCGTATGTGCAGACATCCATGACGTCAACATCATCAAGTCGCCGCTCGTCTTGACGCTACCCACGGGCAGAGTACATCGCTTCCGTCGTGCCCCATCATGCTAATGTGCCATTGACAGGAAACCCTCCCGTCGTTTCACATCGACCCCGACCACGTACGCTCTTCCTTTTCGTCGACTTGTGCTCAAAACCAATCTAGATTTTGTCCGTGGTCACCCCGTCGACCAAAGTCATGTTCCTGTGCAGCCCTGGCAATCCGACAGCGAATTCCCTGCGTGTCGCAGATATCGAGCGCCTCCTTGCGTCGCCAAAGGTGTTCACGGCAAATCCAACCATGCAACTCACGCATCTGCTCTCTAGTACAAGGGTTTCGTCGTCGTTGACGAAGCCTACATCGACTTTACCGGCAGCGACTCGAGCAGTCTCGCTCCTCTTGTGACCAAGTACCGCCGACTGGTCGTGACCCAGACGCTATCCAAGGGATTTGGCCTGGCAGGGATTCGCCTCGGGATTGCATTTGGCGACCCGGCATTGATTCAGTTGCTAAGCAACGTCAAGGCGCCGTACAACATCAACAAACTGTCTTCCAAAGTTGCTCTCGATGCACTGGTCAACGTCGACCGGTTGCATGCGAACGTGCGCGTCATTTTGGAAGTACGTCGTTTTGCATGCAGGTCGTCCATGCTTGCAACGCAATGACATGTCGCTCCAGGAGAAGAAAAAAGTGATCGAGGCACTCCAGGCGTCGCCGTACGTGAAGACTGTGTACGCGTCCGACTCGAACTTTGTCCTGTTTGAGTGCGCCAACGCGTACCAAGTGTACCGCAAGATGGCTGAAAACGGCGTCGTGATTCGATACCGAGGCAACCAACATCTCCTGAACAACTGCCTTCGTGCCACGATCGGGTCGCCCGAAGAAAACAACCGAATGCTCACCATGTTTGCCGCGGTGTCTGCGGAGGAAGCATCCATGAGCTAGACGAACGATACAGTGTTGAATGGAAGACCCGCTACGACGATAATGGCGTCGAATGTCCTTATCATGCATGGAACCCCAGCAGACGCCGCGTGCACGGGTCGCGGGAGAGTGCCGGCATACCTGCCGGAGGTCCCGTTCAGAAATTTCACAATGGTGAAATGCCCGCTGAATTTTCGGATAAGGGAGGGCGGATTATCCGGATATTGAACGACAGAAAATTGGCATTCGGTGGAGCCATGAGCAAGCACGACAAGCACCGGAAGAAGGAGAATCATGAGAAGAAGCGAAAGCTCAAGAAGGATGACAGAAGAGAGGATGGGAAGGACGATCGCAAGAAGGACAAGGTAAGTGCACGTTCTCTCACCGGCAACGAGCGAAGTGGGGACAGTATCATGATGATTCAAACGGTGTGCAGCCGTCGAAGAAACACAAGTCGAAGGTGTCGAGTGACTCTGTCGAGCGTGCGATGGACATTCCTGTATGTATGCATCATGCTTACGTGTCTCTCATGCTCGACTAGCTGGCGCTGAAGCGCATGGAATCCCTTCTGGACGAGTTTCCGGACCTTGTCGCTGACTTGACGAGCATTTTGAAAGTGGTCGATGCAGGCGAATCCGTTGTCATCGGGGGAATTGCGGTAACAACGTTACTCTCTAGCGAGTACTTGCAATGGACGAGTGACATACCGCCGTAGAACAAAGAGATGAAAGCACGTCTGGCTGAGCTCTTTCCTCTCATGGGACTCGTGGAGGTCGTTTCCTGCACCTGTCCCACGGCTCGACCTGATATGGGTTCAAAGTAGTCGGGACCAAACGAATCGTATGCCAAGCACAAAGTGGCAATGCGAAGACCGCCCCTTGTGGATACATTTCGCATCGCGCTGCAGCCTCGACCTAAACGTGCAGTTTCTTCCCCAGCTCCCCCAGCTCAAATTTCTGAAGCGCCGAAGCATGCTCAACGCGTCTTGGGTCCGATAGGTCCTTCCCTGCCACTGCGACAACCACCGGCACATATTGACGATGACGACGACGACGTTGTCGGGCCTGCCTTGCCAGGGATGAAAGGCTTTCGCGAAGCCAGCGCCGAAGTCGAAGAGAGGATGCGTGCTCAAGCAGAGGCTGAGGAAGCGTTGGCATGGAAGCGCGTCCGTGGCGAAATCCCCAACGAAACGTCCGGGGCACCAGCAGTTCTCGAACGAGAAGAATGGATGCTCTCACTGCCAGATAACGAGTCAATCCAGGCGGCACTCGGTGGACTCGGCGACCAGAGCGCGCGCAAGTTCCGCAGCCGCGACAAGAACGAACGCGACGCGAGTTGGTTTGCGTCCCCTGCTGAACGAGAGCAAGCACTGCGTGAAAAAGCCCAATGGTACGCTCCGCCACCACCACGAGACTTTTCACACACACCCCTCTGACGCGACTGCAAAGGGAGATGCTTGGTTATGTGCCTGGAAAGCCCGAGGCCGCCGAGCAATTTAGTCGACAGGCGGTACCACCACCCACCGAGGCGCCAACGACGCCAGCGCTGCCCCGTCAAGAAAGGTCCCTCTTAGAGAAGCATCAGGATGCCATCAAGAAGGATGCAAAATCGGTCGCCCCCGCCGCATGGGACCGGTAGGTCGAATCTGCTTGGTCCACTCGGTGAACGTGTGGGTGTTGCAGGGACCGCGACATGGCGAGTCGGCGGCAGTTATCGGGGGATGCCGCGTCGTCGCTGATTCAGCAAGCGACCATGATGAGCTCGCGCTTTGCCGCCCCCAAAGTCACAAGAACGTTTTTGTAACTTAAAGTTGGCTTAAGACGACCCACCATAGCGAAAAGCATACGCACGCGGCGATCACGAGCGCCACGACCGTGTTGTGCCGCAACTTTTTGCGCCGAATCTGGTCGACCAAGTGATTGATCCCGGCAAACGACGACGACAGCGTCGCGCCCTTGGATTGCGTCCGATGCATCGACTCGCGCTGGTTCAACAGCGCTTCCTTCACGGCTTGCGCGACACTAAACGTTCACGTCAGATCCAAATTGGACGCGTGCAACGAACTTGAGTGTTTCGTTCGCCATGGACGAGGATGCGTCAAGGATTCCACGCTCTTTGAGAAACGCGTCAGCTTCCGAGTCGACGGACGGGTTCGCTTCTCTGCAGCATCCCAGATGAACAACACGAGATGGGAGGGAGGTGTTGGAATGGAATATCTTACTTTCGCTGGAAAAGCTTCTGCGCGTCGAGCTTCTCGTTCATGGCACTCTGTGCGCCGCGACGATGAGCGTACAGGTGATGGGACGAAGGAGTGCGTAACGTACAAGAGCGCGCTTGAAGTCCGTGTTATAGTCGAAGTGGAGTTCACGGTAGCGCTGAAGGACTGCTTCGTGCGTCGTCGATCCGTCGTTGGCTCTGTTCATGCGGTCAATGATGTCTGACAGGGTTGATAAAAATCGCTCGATCTCGAGCGCCAGCCCTTGCTTCGACTTGTCGTCTGGGTTTTCTGTAGGGGTATTCCAGTCACTTCATACCATCCTCGTCATAGCGCATACCTTCGTCATGAGCGCGACGCTTGCGTTCCATCTTCTTGGTAATCGTGGTGAATGCGCTCACCTTCTCCTCCAACGCACGCTCCACGACACGGGCTTCGCGCTTCAGGTCGTCCCATTTGCTCATCGTTGTCGTTGATGGGAATACACAATGGGAGCGTTTCGGCTGTTTAAAACGGAAATTTAAATTTAATATAAAAAAGAGCCTCTAGTTGGTATAAAGTTTATAGCACCAATTAATGTACGCCAATTGGCATGGAATCCATATAAACTTACCCACTGTGGTTGTAATGACTATTGAATACGGCATATTTAAAATGTTTTAAATACCAACCAGGATGATCCCACCCCAATTGCAAACGGGCCAGTCGGACGTCGCCAAGTCACCATGGGAAGCACCGACGTCCACGGCGCCGGAGCGACAAAGGAACAGGTGAATGCAGTGAGTGCTGCGATTCACGAGTCTGCAGACTTGAGCTTCTCCGATGTGGCAGCCCACCGCAAGCTGCTTCGCTCCCTCTGCAGCCTGAAGATGATGCTGTCGACGGCGACGCCAAGCCACAAGAAGGACCTCGCGGCAGGCCTCGTTCGACCTCTCGTTCTTGCCATACAAGTGTACCACGCGAAGCAACAGAACGGTTCGGATTCCATTGTGCAGCTTTTCTGCGATGTTCTCCTTCTCGCGTACGACGGGTCGGCGGTGTCCGAAGGGATGGAAGTGCTGCTGAATAAGTCCGCGACGTTGGGGTCGAAACTCACGATCGCACGAGCGATGTCCCATTGGACGTACGCGCAAGTACAAAGCGCCGCCGGATTCGTCCCCGAACTCATCAGTCTCGGGAACAAGCACGCCAAGCATGCCGACTTGTACGTGCGCCATTCCGTCGTCGATTCCTTGTCGCGCGCACTCTCGACGTACGGCTGCCACGGCCACTCTTTCCACAGCGATGCGCTTAAACTTGCTGCCAAGTTGACGACTGACAAATATCCCGAGATCCGACAGGCTGCAGCGATCCTTGTTCGTGCCATCCTCGAGCACACGGATGCAGCGGACGCAGCAGGTTTGGACGCGCTCTTCTCCGTGCTGTCGAAGACACTGGACGACCCCGCGCCAGAGCTCCGTCGAACGTTTGCGACTCTGATGGGGCAGCTGCTTGGCCTGTATGTTGTGCCTCTCAACGACGCCGCCTCACCGTCTGCGCCGTCCACAACGTCTGTCCTCAAGAAGAAGGCTTCTCCGAGTCCATTTCCTTCCGTCGATCTCGCGATTCAGTTCGTGAAGGATTCGTTTTGCACATTGCCCGCTAGCGGGAATGGAATTGGAGGCACGTTCGCGACTGCCGGCGTCATCCTCGCCACGCTCTTTCACGCGCAGACCCACTTGACGGAGCCTCACTTCCACGCGACCATCGCCGCGCTGCTGTCGTACCTCGACATGCCGCTCCCGTCCGCGAATGAGTACGTCCGTATCCGCAGCACCATCGGCTTTGCCTTCCGCGCCGCCGCCAAGTCACTCAACGAGCGCGAACAACACCAGTGGCTTCGTGCCGTGGTGGAACATTTCGACACCCCGTCCTTGTCGCACCACCAGCGGCTCGTCCTTGCCGTCGAATGTTCGCATCTCTTCCACGCACTCGGTGAAGCATCCGTCGTGTATGCTGCGCCTGCTGCGATCGCCCTCACAGCGCTGCTAAGCCATGAGAAGCACAGCCTTCGTGTGGAAGCTGCCGGTGCGCTGGCATCCCTCGCAGTTGCCGTGCCCTACCGTCGCCAGGCCATCTTTGATCTGGTCCTAAGACGCCTGACCAAGCTGGTTGATGCTGCTCTACCAGTTCCAGCCCCCGCTACACCCGTTGCCACTGACACATCAGACCTGTACTCGATCCAAGGCCTCACAGCTGCGCTGACGCACCTCCTTCGCGCCACCAAACTTCAAGGGTCCAATGGGTTCTCCTTACCACTCTACAATTCCGTCTTGGAGCTGGCCGATCGCCTTGTGCAGTCGCAATTTCGACGTGACGTAGCCGACCCGATCTGGCTCACATGCACCCGAGCAGGGTGGGAACTCCTCGGCGCGGTCTTGCCCATGCATCTGCCGTTCACCACGTCACTGACGACGCGTCTGTGCAGACTCTGGAGCTCGGTGACAACGCCCCAGGCACGAGATCAGTCGCAAGAGTTGCTTCGTGTCGAAGGTGCGCTTGTCACGCTGCACGTGTACTTGATGGCGCTGCCCCCCGACCCCCACGGCCTCGCCCCGTTCTTTGTCCAGCTGCTACACGCCACTCTCACGTCGGTGCTCAACATCGGAGTGCCATCCAAACAGCGCGCGAAAGTCGCAAAACACCGTGTCATGGCCTGGCTCGTCAAGTGCTACATCCTGTTGCCGCCAACGTTAGTCGCGGATTCGTGGATCACGTTGCTCGACCTCATTGCTGAGTTTACGACGGCTCAATCGCTTACTTCTCTCCAGCGATCGACCCTCGTTCCCCCAGCCACGACGGCTCTGCCGCTCTCGGACGTTGCAACGGCCGTTCGCCTCGTCGCTGGAGACCTTCCCGACCCCATGTACCACGAAGACCTCAACTTCACCCTTGCGCTCTTGCTGGCCGACACCGCCATGTCCGACATTGAGCTCGAGACGGCGTACTTGGACCACTTTGTTGCCAAGGACACAAGTCAAACCCAGTCGACGAGCGCCTTTACTTACGTGCGGATGGTCGACGCCAGCGTGCAGTTGTTTCCGCTCCTCTTTTTGGTCATTCCGCATGAACTCCAGCTCCGCGTGCTACAGCACTTTGCTGGTGTGCTGGCCGATCCAAAAGTTCCGTTGGATGTGGTCGTGAATGTGTCGGCTCTGATGCTCGCGACTGTGCGCGAAGCTCAGACGCAGTCGCGACGATGCATGAAACCAAATGTGTACCACGCGGCGACGTGGCCAGGGATGATTCAGAGCATGTTGCTCGAGCTCCTCGGCAGCAGTGTGGATGCGGTGCGTCTGGCGGCTGCCGAAGCGCTCGGCCTCGTGGCATCGCTCATGTCGGAGTCCAACATTCGATTGCTCGTGGCGGATCTTGAAGCCAATATTGCGACACATCAACACGACAACAAGTCGACGCTCTTGGCAGGCAGCGCGCTCGCACTCGCCCATCTCAAGCGCAGCTGCGGCTCGCGTTGTGCTGTCGATGTGACGCTATTGTATCGCCTCAGCCAAGAGCACATGTTTTCGATGGCCCAGCCATTACGGACGTCGAGTTTGCGTGCATGGAGTCTGTTGCTCGAGTGCGTCAACACGTCCGGCGACTATGAGGACCAGTACGTCGCACCGTCGCTGCATCTCATGGAGCTCCAGTTGGTCGTCGGGTTTCGGTTTGTGCATGGAACGGCCAACAAGAAAGGCCCGATCCTGCGCGCGTCGACGTCTGTGTGCGTAGCCATGGGACAGGTATGCATGTCCCAGTGGTTTGGACTGCTCATGTGGTGGGTAGGTGATCAATAGCATCGTGTCTGCCCTCGGACCGGAGCTCCTGAACGCAGGTGGCAGTCGCATCGACCTCCTCTACGCGTTCTGGGACCTTCTCCGCATGACGGCCGACCCCCGTATCGAGCTAGAGTACCTCCGCTTTATCGAGCAATTGGTCCTGTTTGCGCCGTCGTACTTTAAGGCAAGCGACCTCACGCGCCTCAAGGGCCTTCTCCGCCAGCCCATGTCGACGTCGGCCGAGTGCCGCGCCGTGATGTTGCTTATCGTGCGCATCCTCGTGGAACGCGACCCGTCTTTGATCCACGAGGAACACCTCCATCTCATGCTCTTCCAAGCGTTGGAAGTGCACGAAATTGCCACCGACTACCCGCTCTTGCCTCGGTTCCGAGGCATGTTTCCGACCGGGCATCGTCGCCACGTCCCGTCCAACCCCATCGCGGAACTCCAAGGCTGTCTCACAGCGCTCCTCGTCACGGATTGCGGTGTCCAGCGCCTCCACAACGGCAACAAAGCGTGCGAGTGGCTCTTGCTTTGCCGTGGCCTTGCGGTCGGTGGGGTTGTGTCTGTCCCAGCGCCGTCCATGGACGACTTGTCCAGTCCCCGAGGAGCAGACTCTCCCGTGCATCACAACTCGTCGACTGCGCCCGTGTCCGATATCTGGCGGCGCACCAACCATCGCGTGTGTGCCACCCTCGCCGACATCCCGTGCCTCCATCGCCGCGTGCGTGAGTTTGCCGTGCTCAGCGTCGTCGCCGTGTTGGAGCTTGTGGCGCAGTCGACCGTGGCGTCGGTGCATTTTGATGTGGGCAAAACTCGTGCAGCAGTCGCTAGTCTGTCGGAGCATGCCGACTCGGCCAACTTTGTCAGCCTGTACGTTGACGAAGTCATGACGCTTGCGTGCCAGATCAGCGCGCTGTCGATGGACGGATTCGAGCTGCAGCACATTCAGAGCGTCGGGATGGCGCTCCTCAACGTCGTATGCCACCTCATGGCGAGTTGCGTCGACCCGGAAGTCCCCGACGAAACCCTGTTTGTGCAGTACCAAGCACAGCTCTCGTCGACCATTCGCCGCGCGTTTGCTTCGGATGCGCCGTCCACGTCATGTCCATTCGACCCGGCCACACTCACAGCATACGAACCGCTCCAACTCGAAGGCGCCGTCGCGATTGCCCACGTCATGGCCAACAAGATCATCACAGACAAAGTCGGCGCCCAGCGGCTCGTCAAGCTCGTGCTTCGTCCCGACTTTACTTACGACGCGTCCTCGTGCGACGACACTGTCCGCTTTCGGTTGTCCATCGCGACACTCGGCAGTCTCGCCCGCGTTGCCGTCACTACAGATGACATGGTCACGCTGCCTCCCCATGTTCCAACGGCATGGATGGACGCCCTGCGCGACTTTTGCCTGCTCCATGCTGGCCCGCCACACGGAGCCATCGATTACGCTGGAAAGTATTTCAAGTCGACGCGGGACTTGGACGTTCTGAAAGGGGTCGCGATGACGTATGCGCCGGTGCTCGTGGCGGCGCTAGCCAAACGATCGGCCGAGTCGGCACTTGATCGAACGACCGTCCTCACCATCGCCCTGCTCTACTTTTCCGTCAAGACCACAGACGTGTCTGGCGTACTCACTGTCCTCGAAGCACTCCCGACTTTGATTGTCTGGAACACCATGACCCCAGACACTTACGACAACGTTGTCCACACGCTTTTCGTTTTGGCATCCCATCCCGACGACGCTGTCCAAATCGCGGCCCTCCGCGGCATTCAAACCTTGTCCACGAAGGATGGCGCTGCATACGTCCAGGCTGCCGTGGCATCGATGAATTCGTTGGCACGCCAGACGACCCTGCAACAAATCCACCTAGCGACCACCGTCGTCCTGCGATCAGCATCTGCGCGCAAGTTGAAACTCACCGATGCATCGTTGTCGGCGTTGGTGCTCGAAAGCTTGAGGACTGCCGCGGCTGGCACCGCCGTCCTTTTGCCGCTGGACGCTTCGTTTGGCCCTGCGTATGTTGTCGTCGCCAACAACTTTCTTCGCCACTGTGGACTGGAATGCGACTGGCTCCACCCGACAACCGTGTTGTACGTGGATGCCACGCTACGGTGTGTGGTCATGACGTCCCTAGCTGGCGCGGCCTCTGAGATGACACCGGCGCTAGCAACAAGTCTCCGTGAGCTTCTGGACACCATTGAATGGCTTGCTGTCTCTGCAGTCGATGGCGCACACAATTTGGTCGTTCCATTTGCTGCCAAGCTCGTGAGTTCTGCGACAATCCACCTCGGTCCACACGTGGACTTGTTTGAATTCCACGATCGCATTGCCACTGCTTGGATGCGCCACGTGACCGGCGACGACGCGTCGATTGCCACCATCTTGTCTTGTGCGAGAAGCGTGGCAGGAATCCCCGTCTTTTCGCACCGCATCGGAAATGCAGTTGTGCGACTGCTGCATGGCGACGTCCGAACGCTGTCAAGCGATATCGTCAATGAGATCGAGGCATGGATTTCTGTGCTGATGACAGCCATGGAGGTGGCGGGGGTGGGCGAAACGTGCCTGCAAATCGTCCTACCACTGCTGCTTCGCCTGCCCCAGCCGACAACCACCGGCCGCATCTTGATTGGGATCGCCACGACAAATAGCACGAGCTTCAAGGCCGCCGTGGGTCATTTGAGCGAAGACACGCGAGGCGCCTTGCAAACTGTGTTGCGCCAAGCGCTGGCGGAAAAAACAGAGACGGCGAACGCTCCGTCGTCGTCGATGAGTTTGGACTTCAGTCGGTATGGGTAAGCGAGTGTATTAAAGAGTGGTTTCAAGTGTTTCGGGGATGGTGACTTCTTGTTCAGTAAAAATGTCGAGCAAGTCGGTGAAGATCTCAGTGAGGCGGTCTGTGCGCAGGATACGGAGGATGCCGTGGCTATCGAGCTCGCATTCGTCGCAAGACACGGCAGCCAAACTGTACGTTCCCATGTCTTCCGAGAGTTGCGAGCAGTATGGAAGAACGAGTGATCGAATCATGCGGTCTACCGAGGGCATCAGCGATTGCAATAGTGCGGGTGCACGCACCTTGTTCGACCAGAGTGTTTCGGCGCTCTCTGCCAAAACCATGACAATTCATCCAATGTCGGCGGTATGCGCGTACCTCTGCAGTTCGTACTTTGCTTGAATGTCCAAGTATGGTATCGACACTGTGACGCTGTGCACTACTTTCGCTTCAGCTTCGTTGCGCAGCGTCAATTTCAGCGGAGTATGGATAGCTGTTGTCTCGTCTACATGGAGCATGCATGCGTAAAAAACACTTGTCAACCGCTGCGCCACACCTTCGTCAGCCTGGGACGCAATGTTTAGGAACAGGGATTGCGCGAATTGCTCCATGGAAACGGAACGGATACGAAGGGATTGCAGAGCAACGATACACTGGTATCGATGCTGCACCCATTCGCATACTTTGGTGACGAGGCGTTCGTTCCCGCGAAGGAGGAGTAGTTGTGGGGCATTTCCCGACGGATTGCCTTGGTATTCTCGAGGGGTAAAGTACACGAATGCACCTGCAAACTGACCAGACGACGACCCACCCGTTCCTGCGACTTGCTCTTGTACCGAAAAAATCGCCATATCGTCGTTCGACCGGACACTCACGGACACGCCTTGATATGGCTTCAAGTCGTCTTGCGATGCATCTGCTCTACGCAGAAAGGCCAGAAGGTCCGTCGCATCCGTCGTCAACGCGTCGCGATCATGTTGGAACTTGTACAGAGAAGAGACGTAGTAAATGTTCCACTCTCCGTCCTTGAGGAGCTCGTCCATCGTCTTGCTGTCCTTCCCGACGATGGTCATGTAGAGACGGCGCCGCGGTTCGGTGGGATGCGGTGGTATTGAGAAGTGACCCGGTCTGGACATTTTTTGTAGCGGGTTGAAATAATATACACGAAATATGTATCGAAGTGTCATATTAAAAATGTTCCATCGACGTTGTCGTCCCGCGCGGCATTTTCAAACGTTCCGTGCACGGAACTGCTTGACAATTTCCATGACCTGGTCGCCGGAGAACCGTCCAAGGATGCCACCCGCAGCGTCCACTTCGGAGAAGTGAAGCACGTGATCTTGGAGCTCATGCGTTGTTGTCGTAGTTTCTCCTCGAAGGATTCGTGCCGCCGCGCGAACATTTGCAATCGTGAACGGTACGGGCTCGAATGTGTGATCACCGTACAAAACCGGCGTCGTGTGGTCTCCAGTTACGATGATCGTTGCCTTTGCGTTAGATGTGAGCCAGATGAGGGCACAGACAGTGTCGCCGAACCTCTTCTTCAATCCCTTCGTCGAGCCCTTGAATCAACCGAGCGATCATGGCATCCGCCTTTTCAAGGAAACGCATCTGCCGATTCAGGATCTGTCAAGTACAAATCTGACATGTTTCGCTCAAGGTACCTTCAAAGGGACATCTCGATCGTGGCCGGCATCATCGACTGCTTTGACGTGGACAAACCCAAAGTCATACTTTCGATCTCGAAAGCACTCGAGCGCTGCGTTGGCCTTGTTGACGAGGTTTGTGTGGTAATCTCCCGTGGCTCCCTCGACTCGGATCAAGTCCATGTCCAAGGACATTCCCAGTCCTGCAATGATGCATGTCGGAGCGATCATGAACGCCTTCATTCCATGCGTCGCCTCGAAGTTGGGAACCTACAACGGTACATGAACGTCCGTTTCCGACGGAACGCCGCGCATGTATACATTGATGCGCTCCCCAGGGCCACGAAACAACACCAAGTTGGCAGGAACAAGTCCTTGAGCTTCCCGCGCCACGTTGAGTGGATGTCGCGAGAGGTGTTCGATGATCACGTCCGACGCTTCGTTCAGTACCTCCACGCGTCGTGTCAGGTCAAGCATGAGCACTGCCACCACCCTACCTTGCTCGAGTACACTGCGGAAGGCAGCGTAGGGTCGATGGGGGTCGATTTCAAGAGAGGCAGCTCATCTTTGAGTGGGTCGGTGCCTGTGATTTGATCGGACAGATTCGATCCTTTAAATACAATGCCGCAGCTAGCGTTGCCACATGTCAGAGATGCAAGAGGACGGAGAACCCACCCACCGGTGTTCGGTGGCGTACTTGCACACGACGCCGACCCCAGGAAAGGACGGAAGCTTGACAGACCCGACATACGGGCACAACTCCTTCCCCCACGCATGAAAGTTTCGGTCCACTCGTCGCATCGCCACAACGTTCGTGGCGCGGTCCAAGTAGGCAAAATTGCACTTGAACGCGACGTCGCCTGGCGCCATATCTAGTCCCGCGCCCATCGCTTCGAACGACCCCCTTCCACGATAATGTTTCGTAGGAGGGTATCCAAAGATGGACATGTGCGCCGTGTCGCTTCCACATGCCATTCCGGGCTCGACAGGATCGAGGAGGCCGTTCAGGCCGGCCCTGGCAATCGCGTCCATGGCGGGGGTATGCGCGGCTTGCAGCGTCGTGCCCGGTGTCGCGTGTGCACTGTGGTACTTGGATACATCCATCGACATGTCTCCAATGCCATCAATGAGCACGAACACCACAGGATGCCGCTTCTTCTCCGCCGTCATCCTGTCGCGCCGCGCAAGGACAAATGTGTGTCAAATGACTCGAGTAGCAGGTGCGGCACATCCGGATCACCTCCTCTTTATCCGGAATTTACCCCTGCTTCCACGGAAGAATCCCTGGCACCTGCAAATTGGACGTGCGTGGTTGGCATATCTTCTAGGCAAACGTCGTCCGAGGAGACGTCGGAGGCCGTGAGAGCATCGTTGTCCTCTGCGTCGGCGACAGGTCCGTACCCTGAAGATGCCATTCCGAACTGCATGCGGCGCATAACAGCCATGTAGGCCGCGACGTTGAGGAGGGCAAGCGACCCGACGGCGAAGAACATGTACTCCAAGTGCCCCAAGTTGAGGTCGTTTGGAATGAACTGACCAAACGCCAGCGTAAAGATGGACGTGACGTTGCTGCCCATGCTCACCGTGAACAAGTTGATCGCCTGGGCCGTGCTCTTGAGGTGCAGTGGAACTTGTGTATAAAAGATGTCGTACGCCGTGACGTTGATCAGGCATTCACACAGTGCGACGCCGACATATTGCGGAATGTTCCATGCCCAATGGAGGTTGTTCATGGGGCTACCGCTACCTTCGTCACGCAGCATGGCACCGTTTTGATGAAGCTGGCCAGAGCTCCGTCGGTACATTTCAAACAGACCGACGTAAAACATGAGGAAGGCCGCGAGGAACAGCCCCGCCGAGGTTTTCCCAAATGCGCTGGGCGGGGACCGAAACGTTCGCTCATACAGGGGGTAAACATACGAATCCAAGAGTGGAATGAGGACGATGATGGCAAGGGGGTCGAAGATACCGAGCATCGCGCCCGCGACTTGCGTCGTTGGCGTCAGTCGTAGGTCACACTGCTGCGTGATCGACTGAAAGTTCGCGTCGATTTGGTCGTATACACAGCCCCATACGATCGTAAACGATGCGAACGGCAGAATGCGAACCACTTTTTGCACAGCGTCGACAGCAACTTTTTCGTGCATGGGACATTCATCTGTGCGAAGCGCGTCGTCGCCGTCAATGCGCCGCTGCCCATAGACAACCCAAAACACAATCGCCACCGAACTAGTCAAGCCGGCCAGGAGACTCAGCACCACTCGCCCAGATTCGGTGATGGCAGCCAGGACGTTGAACACGAACGACAAAACAAACAAGAGAAACCCCCACACAATGCGGTTGGCGGCGACGTTGCGAAATCGGCGCTGCCACAGCACACGCACAAGTTGCGACATTGCGTCGGATGTCGGCGGAAGCTTGATATATCGCGCATGGCCGAGGCGGAGACTGACCAACGCACATGCCATGACGCATGTGCAGATGGCAAAGCACGCAAAGTATCCGTAGTCGGCTGGGATGAGTGACGAACCATGGACTGACAACGACGCGAGATAACCATACGCAAACGTAGCCCCAAAATTGATGCACCAGTAAAAGTAGCTGAAAAACGTGGCTTTTTGCTGGGTTTCCGACGCGTCGTTTGGGTTGAATTGGTCGGCGCCGAGTGTGATGACGTTGGATTTGATCGCGCCGGTGCCGAAACCAATGCACACGAAGAGTCCAACGATGAAGATGCACTCAGCAACGTCGTGGCGCGCAAGGACTGACGGATGTGCAGCGGTGGCAAGGAGCGCGTCCCCAACCAAGTACAACACGCCAAAGGTTGTAATCGTGCGGTACCGTCCCCACTTTTCGTCCGCAATATATGCACCCATGAGTGGAGACATGTACACTAGCGACGTCCACGTGCTCTTGAGACTGTTCGCTGACACTGCCGACCACCCCAACTTCTTTTGCATAAAGTTCTTCAACCCTTGGTTGATGCCGTAGTAGCTCAATCGTTCGGCCAGTTCCATGAGAAGGACGTACCCACACACGGACCAGAGCACGCTCTTGTACTTTTTCGGGCGCTGGTCCCACGTAGATGGCGGGGACTTGTCCACTTTGTTTGCAAAGACATCGGCGGTGTCGGCGGCGGCGCCCGCGTCATGTGTCATGTCGACAAATTCAGTTTCGACGAATCCGATTGGCTCAAGCCATAAACTCCGGATAACATGCATTCGGATAACGGAAGCTGCGGAAGATTTTCGCTCGCTCGGCACGCGATTATCATGCTGTACGTTGCCGAGGATCCACAGACGGCAGCGCTGATGCGCTGTGCCGTAGGCCCAACACTGCGAAAACGCCACCTCTGAGTCCCGAAACAAGCCCGGAGAAGGTGGATGCTGCTTCTGCTGAGCCTTTGGTTAGGTAATGGGACGCTGCAAAGGGTCTCAGCGTTGATGTAGGAAGGGTTGTCCCTCGAAGCACTTGGATCCAAGGACTCGGTCCTGAACAACCTCGACCCTCGATTCTTTACACAGCACTTCGACCCCGTGCAACACATGCTGGTGCCCCCGTCTTACCCTCCGTCGACTGAGAATCCACATTGCGTTGCAGGAGTCGCTTCCAACCAACCCGTTTGCACTAATCGACCATTTGCAATCTGAAATCGGCGCGATGGACATCGCAAAAGATGTCGTCACGTCTAAGCTCGCCGAAGACATTCAACGCAACTACCACACGTTTATCCAAGGTCTTCACATGCGCTTCCACCATCCCGTCGATCGTCTTATGCTCGTATCGCACCAGGGATGAACCATGTTCAGGAAGTCGACTTGGACTTGGCACAGGCTCTCATCCAGGTCAAGAACGGCAGGCGACTCCTCGCAATTCACAAGAAAGAGCTCGTGATGAGCCACTTGGAGCTGGTCAAGCTCCGGCGCAATCGAGATCGTCTCCAAATGGTTTACTTGCATGCATGTCATGCAAGTTGCCAACTCCTTGACATAGATCGTGGACCATTCGACGAGCATCTTGGAATGCTTCAAGCAAGAGCAGGAAATGCTCACGCTGCTGCATGACAAAGAGTACGAACGGGCCGTGCGTGTAAGTGCGTCCATGCGCAACCGAGTTGGCCACCTCAAGCAGTTTGCCGTTCTCCGACCAAGCATTCACCGCATGCACCAGGCTCTTCCTGAGCTTCGAAAGCACTTCCATGGCGTACGTGAGCACGTTACAACTCACACAAGCGATCAGCTGATGCGGCTGGGGGTCGTTGCAGGCTCTTCGAGACCTCCTCATTTCTTTCGACGGCGACATGTACAACCAACTTCTCCATGCGCTCGCTGCGCTGGATGCCGAGATCGCTCCCCCTTGGACGATCTCGCAACAATCTGCCTCAGAGATGCCGATGAAGGACGTTGTCGACGTTGTCGTGAAGGCTCTGGATGAGTTGGCCCGTGGCGCCGTGGGAAAGCTCGATGCCGTGATCATGGACAAGTCCACCAGCGCGACAATCGCAATGGTACACCAATTATTCTCATCGAGACCGCATTCGTTACTTGAGATTAGGTCGCCACGTCCGTTCTGGATGCATACGAAGCCGTCGCAAACTTGGTCCACAACTACGACATGTTCCAGCAGTGGCACCACAGCTCGAATCGAGCAGACGGCGGCGCCGATGACGCTACATCCACCAAGCACGAAGAGAACAAGGCAGCGGATACGTATCGGCGGTATCGGAGACTTGTTTGGGACACAGTCCAGCGCCGCGTCGGCGACGCTTGGATGCGTCTGAGCTGGCCCAGGGGTACAAACCGTGCACGTGCACTGGAGGGAACCTTCTAACGCCACGAAACTGCACTTAGATACCAAAATGGAGCACGTGGTGGGGCTGGCACACGCCACAGAAACGCTGGTTGCATTGGGTGTCGAGTTTTGCGATGGCGCGTTGGGCCATCAAGACAAAGCACTACCTTCGTAAGTCATCCACGCCGTCCTGCTTGGGGTAAGGCTGCACACTCTGCGACTAGGCTGCGCAGCATGTTCACTTCCAAAGCCCAAGTGTTTTTCGAGCAGCTCCTGCACGACAACGTGGAGCTCATGCGGATGATGGTCGACACCGAAAAGTGGGAACGGCTAGCGGTCACACTGGCTGAAGACGCGTCGACAAGTGTTCAAGACAAGTGCAGCGCCAGCGCTGCCATTTGGACGGTCGTCGAGTCGCGCTGTGGCTACACCTTGCGCCATTCTCGCGTGGCGAAACCCGTACAGCGAGTGCAATTGTTGTCGCAATGGGTGAACCCGTTCGCGACTGCGGCGCGCGCCGTGTACGAAACCGTCCCATCGATGGAGAAATACGCGGCGCCGGCTTTGGAACAACGCGATGACGACGTCGATGAAGACGTTGTGGCGATAAAGCGACTGGTTGGGCTGGATCCGTATCTGAGCGGCGACCCAGCTCGTGATGGCGACATCGTTGCGACGCCCGAGCAAGACGAGCTCATTCGGTTCGGGTCTCGCTATGTTGTTACGACATGGACGTACTCGGGCTTTCTCCGGTAATCGATTCCTCGACGCTGGTCGACGACGTTTGATTCGGTCGTAGAGTGTGTGGCCAGTACGTCAAGTTGATGCACGAACTCGAGTGGATGCGTCCGATCCTGTCGAGGCATCTTGTGGCTGTGTTTGAGTTTGGGCTGTACGCAGTGCTTCGACGGTGCACGACAGACGGTCAAATTCAACGGCTCTTGGCAAGGCACACGCCGACCGACTTGGTGTGCCACCACCTCCGGGAATGGGTGGCCCACCAGCGCCATGTTCAGGCGTTTCCGCCACCGCCGATCGCGACCGACGACGACCCGAACGAGACCAATACGTTTGTCAATCGAGTCCTCGCCATGGAAACGGTGGCATTTCAATGGCTTGTTCTGTCGATCGTCGCCGCGCCGCCCCAAGAGCGTTGTCTCGACAACGAAGCAGACCGCCATCGCGCCTTGGGCGCGGTCGTGCAAGAAGCGCGGGCATACGTGTACGCAGGACTTGTGCCTCCAGCGATCCAGGCGTCGGCGATCCCGCCGTTGATTGCGAACGCATCGTGGGACATTGCCCACATGTCGACGCAGCACAACGAGTACGTGGTGACTCTTGTGCGAAACTGCGGCATGTTTTGGGGTACGTCCATCCTCTTGCATGGACTTTGACGAACGTACTTGCTTGGATCGGTGTCGCAGGCACGTTGCAAGGCAGTGCAGTCCCGATCGCTGTGCGAGACGAACTGTGGGCCGTCGTCGTGCGCGCAGTGATGGAAGCGTTGGTCGACGGCTATGCGAACGTGCCCAAGTGCTCGACAGAAGGCCGCGCGTTGATGTCGATGGACCTGATGGCGCTGCAGAATGGCCTGGACCTGGTCAACCACGCCAGGTGCATCCCTCGTTGCCATCAACGGCCACGACCCTCACGAGAGTGCTGGCACAGCAACCTGCCCCCTGACAACCGATGGGGACGAGCCTATGTGCACAACTACATCAAGGCGTATTACTTTCAAGAGCCCGAGCTCCTCGCGTTCATCGATGCGAACAAGGTCCGCCACGGTGCATACATCCGTCCCTTGACATATGACTGTCGTAGCTTCGATACCGGAAATCGCACTTGGTGCGGCTCGCCACCGACGGCGTGTGCGGCAAGCTGCGCAAGCCAGCACACAAGGACTTGATGCACAAGATCGAGCAGCTGTATAGGGACGCCAAGGCCAGTGACATGGTGGCATCGATCGCGTCGTCCGCTTCGATGAAGGCCCCGCAGGGACGACCCCATCGCCCAAGTCCGACTGTCGTGTCCACATAAATGCACGACATGACCACCGCTTGAGAGGGTCCTGTTCTCTAATTTACAACATGTGCATTGCCATGCACTACAACACGATGGTGGACGACGACGACGCCGCAACGACATCGTCCCAGCAGTCGGTCGCTTCTTCTGGCTTGGACATGTCGATGGGGTCGTTGGCTTGGGCTGCCGCATCCTCGCCGCTCAATATAACAGGACGCGCGGGAACATCGGGTAGTCGCCGCTTCTTGGCGAGGCACACGCCGACGCCAGCGAGGACGATGCCCCACAACAGCCAGGCGTATGGAAACAGGAGCGTGAGTTTCAGGCCGCGGCGGTCGTTGGCGCAGTCGGGGTGCAGCACCACGTCGTTTGGAATGGTACGGCACTGCGGCGCATGGTAGTCTTTGAACATCCCGAGCACGACCGGCGATGGGACATCGCCGAGGAGATGCGACATCATGGTGTTGATGCCAAGCGCGAGGCCGCGCTTTCGCTTCTCCACCGAGAGCAACAGCGCCACGATCGACGCAGGCACACACCCAAAGAGGAACGTGAGCGCGACTGCGAGTAGCACCATGCTCACCATGTTCAAATCTTGGTCGAGGCACACCCACGACACCAGGAGGGTTGCCGTGCCGATCGAGAGGAAGCCCAGTGCTTGACGGGTCGCCATCCCTAGCCGAAACAAGTCGTTGTTGGCGGTAGTGCAGCTGCGGTCCAGAAGAAATCCACCCATGAGGGTCCCGATCGTTCCAGCGACAACGATGATTCCGCCAAACACCATCGCAGCGGAGCTTTCTTCAAACAAGCCAAGCCCGATGAGGAGCGACGGCCCGAACGCGGCAAGGCCAGAGATGCTGAAGACGTAGGCAGATGACCCTAGCGACATGATCATGAAGAGAGGATTCTTGAGAATGCCACCGAGCTCCTTGGCGAAGGACACAGGCTCCATGTGCTGGTGGCCGCTGGGCAAGTCGAATTTGGCGGGAATACAAAAAGAACAGATCAGGACGAGGGGCAGCATCGCCAGTCCTTCCGCGTAGTACGCCCACGGCCATCGAAGCGACGACTTGGCAAAGAGGGCGCTGTAGAAGTACCCCGTCGCCGTGCCAATCGTGATGCCGCAGTAAAAGATTCCAAGCCACAGCGTTCGTTTGGATGCTGGCGCAAAATCCTCGATGAAAGAAGGTACGATGGCTTGGAAGGATGACTCGCCAATGCCACTCAGGATGCGACCCACGAAGAGAAGCACGAGGCTGTGGGCTGGGTCGGCAAGTCCGCACAGCAACATTGCCAAGATCCAGATGGACAACCCCACTGAGATCAAGAGAAACGGACGGCAGTGAATCGCCCAGTACCCAAACGGGATGCTGAATATAGAGTACCCTGCGATGAAGGCAGACACGAGCAAACCAAGGTACATGTTCTCATGCGCGAGTGACATGTCGGGGATACCCATGATACACGACGTGATAAAGCTCTGGAACTGGATTGGGGACCCGGGAACGATCCCTCGATCAATGTAGTTGAGCAGATTGATCAAGCATAGCAGGAAGAAGATGGAGCCCGCGTTCGGAAGCTTCATCGCGCTGCGGTCGTGGCGGCGGCCGAACGCAAGTGATGCGTACCTTCCAGCTTTGGCTCGCAGATTCACATGTTTAACTTGACATTTGTATACCATACAACAATCAGGAGATCTGTATCCGGATAACAGCAACGTCGGTCGAATTATCCGGTCGCTGGGTTTCGGGTTATCTAGGCGATTCGGATAACAAACGACAGAAATCCTGGTATCCGGATATCACTGTCACAAACCCGAACATGGCCGACGGCGACACCAAGGCGACGCTGAGTGCCGTGTGCATCGATGTTTTCACAGGTAAGCTTGGGGTGGGCACATTGATGGAAGTAAGATAACTCACAATGCAAGTAGAGCTGCCGCTGACCGAGACGGGACGACCGGTATTGTGGCCGTCGGAAGTCGAAGTGTACAGTGAATCGCACGTGAGCCTCTACGACGGCAACGTCAAGTCGATATATACCCAGGGGCGATGTGTGATTACAACACACCGCCTGCTTTGGCTGTGCGAAGCAAAGTGTACGCACATTTTCATGTCTTTGTCGACGATCGACCGCTATAGCAAGGCACGTGCTCCTCTCAGCACTACTTGTTCACATGCGCACATCCAGGAATCCGGGTTTCTGTCGCGCTCGGCCAAAATCCGCATCGATTACACGCTCAACGGCGAGCACAAGTTTGTCAAGCTCTCGTTCAAGACCGGGGGACGCGACGAATTCTTCAGTCCATTCGAGGCTGCGATGGCGCGCAAGGCATGGGCGGACACAAAGGCGCCGAGCGCGCTTGCGGACCGTCGGCTGCAGCAGACACGTCAATTCGACGCCGCCGCTGCAGGGATCGGAGGGATCATGCAGCGACGACAGGAGGAGCAGAAACAAACGTCGGAGCTGACGGCGCAGTCGTTCTCGGACTTGAATGCGTTGATGGACAAGGCCAAGGACATGGTGTGTGTGTGTGTCCCGTTTTCAATGATTCCCGTGGTCACCAGCGTGACTTTGTAGGTTGCAATCATTGAGCGCTATGTGGCGACGAGCAAGTCGACCACGGCCTCCTCCTCGCCTGACTCGTCCGATGCATCGGCACCAAACGACGAAGCGACCGAAATGCATGCCATGCTGCTCAACATGGGCATAGCATCCCCCGTGACCCGCGAAAACGCTGGCGACGCGTACCACGTCCAGTTGGCGCGCCAGCTCGCGTCATTCCTCAAGCTTCCGCTGGATGCATCGGGTGGCATCTTGACGTTGTCGGACATCTACTGCCTCTTCAATCGCGCGCGCGGGACGGAGCTGATCTCTCCAGAAGACTTGTACCACGCCGCGGCGTTGCAAAAGCCACTCCATCTCGGCATGCACATGCGCAAGTTTGAAGGCGGACTCATCGTCCTCCAAGCAGGTGCTGTGTGGACATCATTCGACCTGCGGCGACCTGTGATCTGGCCGAGCACTAACATGGAGTAGACTCACACAACGAAGACCGCGTCGCTGCACGGCTCGAAGCGCTCGCGACGTCGGCCAGCGAAGGCTGCATCACGTCGTCGGACGTGGCGCGAGCGCTCAAGATATCCATCCCGCTTGCCGTCGAGTACCTCAAGGTACGGATTGCATCATGCGAGATTACGAGCTTGCAACGAAGATGGCATGTCACGGATGGTTGTGCAGGCCGCGGAACAAAAGGGCAAGCTGTGTCGAGACGACACCTTCGACGGGCTCCTCTACTACTCGAACCGATTTCCGTCGTTTGTGGACCGCTTGGCGGCGGCGTGACCTGCTTTCGTCGAGGCTCTGATCGGCGAGGCGCCGCCAGGCAGGCACTATTCTTGTAATGTACATGCGCAGTGCGGATCAACGATCGGTCAAAAGCAATTTGTTGTGGACGATTACTTGGACGTTTTACGCAACACGTACGGCACTAGCGGCCGTAGCGGTGGCAGTCGACGCGACGAGGGCACGGACGCTGGGCTTTGTTGAGCGCTTTTTCAGAAAACGCGCCGCGCTGCTTGATGAACGGTGTTGGGTCACTGTCCGTGGCGGGGAACTGTGGTGTATTGTAGTCGTCGCCGAGATCGATTCTTGATGCCGCATACCCCAGGGCGTCCTGAAGCGCCAGGAGCTCTCTCTTGCGCATCGCAAGCTTCTTGACGTCGTCAATGGATGCAAAGCCGCATGTGGTTCGCAGGTCAAGGATGCGTGCAGCTACAGTCGGTGTAATGTCGAGGGCTTCCACGAGGCTGTCCTTGGAGGCCGTGCGGAGGAAATGCAACGCGGCGGCGTCTGTGGCCAACGTGACACCTTCAGGTGATTTGCCCATTGCCGTGGAAAAGAAAAATTGATCCAACCTCGCAAGTCCTCGTCCCATTCTTCGACAGTCGAACGAAACGAGGCAACTTCAACCTGTCGCAGTGGGTGCCATGTGCTACATTGGCGGCAATGGGACAAGCATCTGTCAACGTTGGCGGCATGTCCATGACGGGGGCGAGTGAAATGAGCCACACAGCGTTCACGGAATCCCTTGATCGCGCGGGCACTTGTGCGTGCATCATGATGCCGTCCAGGGAGGATCGGAAGAGTTGTCGAACTTGCACCAAAATGGCCCAATCAGAACATGGAGTTCATAACGGCTGGACCAATCAGAAGAGAGGACATCGAAAGGTCGCCACGTGTGGTCTGTCGAAGCGATGGCCGAGTCGGGAGCACGTGCAGCCACTGCAAATCGCGGCACTAGGTCATGGACTCGCGCGCGCAGGTGGTTGGGATCTAGCGCTTGGAGCAAGCTAGACTCGCCTACACATGGCCAACCTGTAAGACAGCACAATGCAACTTCCTCTGTCGATGTGTATGTGTCAATACAGTATGTAGGTGGATGGGATCCGATTGAATCGAGCCGCCCCTTGAACCTTTTGCCGTGAGATGCAGCACCGGCCCATGCTCAAGTTCTCTCGTTGATTCGACAATTTCACGTATCGGCATCACCTCCTGGCAGCAACCACGTGATGGGATAACCCTGGACCAGCTCAACCTGAGCGGCACGAATGGGGGGGAAGGGGGCAGCGATGTCGCCGCGCCAGCCACTCGAGTGCAGTTACGATTCGGACAGTCCTTGTCGCACTTGTGTTCCTCCAACGCTTTGAGCTCTGGATCCTCGTCGTGATCTTCCACGTCCCCATTGCGTCGATCAGTCTGTCCAACTCAATCTCCATGACGTCGAACGCTCTCAACGAGAAGCCCGTGCCCTTCGGTCCAGATGGTGCTCTTCGTGCGCGAACTGGTACGACCACGTACTTGAATGCAGCTACCTTCAACACGGAAGCCATCCAGTACGTTCACCTCGCGAACTTGTCGTCGCCGGCACCTTTCTCTGACAGCACACAAACGAACCAGATCGTGGCATTTGCCAAGCCAGTAAGGATCGCGATCACGCCACGGATGTTCCTCCTGCCTTGATGGACTCATGACGAGCCCGCATACAACGTGGGGCTGTTGCTGGGTAACGGGACGGCCAGTTGACGCCGTCGAGCTTGGTCGATATCGCAGTCGAGTCTCCGATGGCTGTTGTTGTCGCATTGTGCATCACACCAGGGCCAACTCGGCGCTGACAATTGCCATTGCTGAGGTGTCGGGCACGAACATGTACTCTCGCTCGTCGTCGTGGTCCAGGAATCGCCCGGCACGTTTGACTTTGGCTCGACTACGCCGAGTGTCAGGCTCGTGGGAAAGGGTCGCATTGCTATCGCATTTCTCAACGCGAACCGCAGCAGTCAACCGCATGCGCAGCTCTTCTCGCTCGCAGACGGTGTCATCGCGCCACTCACTCGGCTCATTTATGTATCCAAGGTGTCGCCGCCGACACTCGCAGCGTGTTTATATTTCGCAGGCGTTCCTCCAGTACGTATGATCTGAACGACGCGATGAAGTGAATACGACGGTTGTATGAATCCATTCTGGTCTTTGGACGCACGTGCATGCAGTGATGAGATGGCGGCGGTAGTTGTGTTCATGCGTACCCCGCCATCGCGACGCGAAAGACTCGCTCAAGAGAGGTGCATTGCGCCAGCACCCCACCGGCGTTTGTGGCTAGCGCTGTGGCGAATATTCCAGGGGCAAATGTAGCCACAACGTCTGCTCTCGTGGTCGCGTGTCCTTTGAAGAAAGCAGCGTACGCCAAAGGCACACCGACGCCGATCCATGCTCGCTCGTCTGGCACACGTGGTGGATGGGTGTATGGGAGTAGAGCCAGCAACTCATCAGCCACTGATACCTTATCCATTGTTCAAACGAGTTGAATGCACTGGACGTTTGCTGTGTTTATCGCGCCAACTTTGGCAACTGTGCCGCCCCGCGGTGGGGGAAAGTGGCGGGGGCTCCGCCCCCTCGTGCTTTCTCGCCTGAATCGTGCGGGGGGCTACATGCCAAGCCGTTCTCTTCGCCCTGCGTCGATCCGACGGCGGGGTTGTTTGTCATGGAGCTACTATCGGTTTCACGGTAACGTTGAAAAGGCGCCGACGCGATGCCGAGCAGCGGCGGTCGAGTGTTTCACGTGGCCCGCAAGTTGCGCGGCGGGGCCCAGCTGGGCAAGGCGGTAAAAGGGTCGAGTAAGGACAAGAAGGGGAAGAAGGATGGAAAAGGCATGACGGACGAAGAGCGGCGGCTCGCGGACTCGATCAGCCGGCTCGAGATGAACGATTACTTGAAGAAACTGGCCGTGACCAAGAAGGCGCAGCTAAAAGAGTTTATGGAGAAAGAGCACAAGATCTCCAAGATGAACAAGCTCAAGATTCAGAACCACTGGCGCAAGATCATGCGGCTGGTCAAGGTCGAGGGGCTGCGAAAGGAGGTCGAGATCAAGTCGCAGAACCACGAGCGCGACGTCGACCGCAAGGACGCGATCATTCAAATGCTGGACCGCGACCTAGAAGAAGCCGAGGAGCAGTTCCAAATGGCGCTTCGGTCGCATTTGTTGAACGTGGATCAGCTCATCGACCTCCAGGACGGCCGACTCCTCGGGCTCGAGGACGAGTTTGAAAAGGATTTGCACGCGTTGGAGCGCGAGTTTAGCATCGAACGTGACAAGATTCACAAGCAGGTACGACCTCTTCACGCTGTTTGTTTGGGTCGTCGCGTCGTGCTGAGTGGGCCGTAGCACGCCGTCGAGAAAAACGAACTCCTCAACATCATGCGCGCGGTGGAAACGCAGGAGAAGGAGCGCGAGGCCGAGGCTCGGCAGGAGCACGAACAGCTTCGTGAAGAGATCCGCAACAAGAACCTCGAGGACATCAACGTGCTGCGCATTACGCTCGACAGGTACGTCGCCGCCGTCGACTGTAGCCTGACGCGATGACGACCTAGCAACATCGAAGAGCTCGAGCAGCACTTTGAGACAGCGCATTTGAACTATCTTCAAAACACGGACCAGCGCACGCAAGACTTCAAGTACTTGACGGCCAAGGACCAGGAGCTGAGCAAGGAAATCGAGATCAAGATCCGAAAGATCGAGCGGCTTCAAGCAAACTTGACGCACTGGCGGACGAAAATTGCGCAGAACGTCCGCGAATGCACGGAGCGCAACAAGGCGCTCGAGGAGGAGAAAGGCCAGATCGGGAGCCACTTTCAGTCGCTCAAGGCCAAGATGAACCGCATGCGCGACGACCACAAGAAGCGCCTCACGACGTTGAGCCACAACGCCCGCGAAACCAAACGCAAGTTGACCGACCAGCAAGAGTTGGCCGAACGCATTCTCAAGCTGGGCGAACTCGCGCGGAAGCTCGAGACCGAGCGCGAGCAGGTCCTGCCGTTCTACCACTCGACGATAGAGGACGCGCAGCAAGCAGCAGACGAAGTGAATGCACTCAAGGGAGGGGTGGCAGGTACGGCAGTCGCGTGCATGTGCCAGTGTGACGGACACTTGGTAGCGGTGACGATGACGCCGACCACGAGCGCCGACAGCTACTTGAAGCTGACTCAACTCCAGCCGCACGGAACGTTTTCCAACGGCGACGCCGTGTCCGAGTGGGAGTACTTGGACTTGTTCTGGAAGCGGTACAACAAAGCGCTGCTCGACACGATGGCAATTCAAAAGGAAAAGGCGCGACTTGACAACGAGAACCGCGAGCTCCAAGCCGTGCTCAAGCAGTACTTGGACGGGATCTCCGTCAACGAACAAGTCATGAGCAGCATCAACCCGCTCTTTGTCGTCAATGGGCGGCTCACGCTCAACCAAGGGCCGAACCCGACGTCGAGAGAGCCGACCCACGCGATCGTCGATGCCAACCACATGGTTGCCACGAACCGCGTGTCCGGGCGCCATGCCTAGCAGGTACCTCTCAGCTGCGTTCCGCGCCTGCAGGTCTCGCCAAGGCATCGACGTCAAATGCCGACGTGGTCGCGCCGGACAAATTGAACAAACACGTTGTTTTTACACGGTGGAAATGACGACGGTGGCGTCGTCGGTAGTTCCGACGATAGCTCTCGCCCACTGCGCTAGCTGATCGAGCGACACGTCGTCGCCTTGTCTGATGTTGGTGTTGCGGAAGAGCGCGGTCTTGGTCAGGTTCACATCCTGGCGCAGGAGCGAAGCGTACATGCCGAGGAGGTCGGGGTCATGGTCGATGCACCGATAGAGTTCGGCGGCCGCTTCCTTTGCAAACGGGCTCTGGCGGTTCAACGGGTCGTCCGATCGAGTCACAGCGACTTGGGCGATCTCTTGGGCGACCCAGTCCCAGCTCGAGTGGCGGTACTTGGACACGACCTGGATCGTCTCGACGATCTCGTTCGCGTACAAGTTGTTCGTGATGCCATCCGTGCAGGACACAACGACGTCGCCGGCCTCGAGTTGGTACATGTCGTAGAGCATGGTTGGCGGGGAAGATGGCGTTGTGGTTGCGGGCGCAGCACTCGGCGTTGTTGAGAGCACCCGCAGCGGTCGGTTGAACCCGAGCATGAGCGATGACGACTCGAACGTGATTTCATGCCGCCGCACGACGATTGTCTTGGTGTTGCCGATGTTGAGGACGTGCAACCGAGCAATGTTGTCTTTTGGATGGCGATGCATGACGGCGACGCCGACGGACGCCGCGGCATCGGCCGCAGTCGCGTCGGGTTTGGTCTGGACTGCAGCGACCGCTTGACCGAGTCGCGTTTTGAGCTCCCCTGCGACTTGCTGCGAGTTGACACACAACAGAAAGTCGTCGCTCTTGGTGTATGCCGTCATCATGTCGGTGACTTTGTCCAGCAACGTTTGTGCGAACGCTGTCGAGTCGGGGGCTGCGTCGATGAGGACGTGCAGCCCCTCGTCAACAAAGGATGCGTCCTGCCCCGTGGTCGTGACGTTGCCTTGGCCGAAGCGATCGACGGGCCCGCGATGGATCATCGCGACAAACGTCTCTGTCACCGACATGCTTCGCCCGCGCACCGGGCTTTCCGTCCCCGTTGTGGGGTGCGACGGGTCTGCAGATGACATGGCGTCGGCAATTCGATGGGCCATGGAGATGCTCAGACGTCGGATAGCTTTCCCGAGCGAGCCGCTCCGGCTTCTCCCATCGTCTGTGGCCATGACGCTACCATCCCCTTCTTCGTTGGCGTTTGCAGGCTCTGCCACCGAACAGAGCTGCTGTGAAGTCGCGGCTGCTTGGTCTGCAGCGGTCGTCGGGCTCGTCGTCGTCGCCGCCGTCGAGTTTGAAGCATCCAGCGACTTGTCGGAAAACAACTTGACTAGCCCCACGCTGATGCGTCGAAGGATGCCAGGCTCTGCGTGAGGAGATGCCGCCCCGACGGTTGTCGACGGCTTCACTTGGTCAACCGTTCTGCTAGAGGATGCTTTCGTGGCCAACAAACCTGGACGGGTCGGTGCAGGTGCCTCGCCCTCCCCAATGGCCGCCATCGTGTTGGCCAGTGGGGCCACTGCGCCTCGCTTCAAATTGAACGACCCGCCAGAGTAGTTGCGGTCGTTGGCGGTGATGCGGCGCTTTTTCAGGCCCATCGACGTCGCCGTTGCTTTCGACGACGGAGGTCCCTTCTGCGCCTATATTTGGACCCCATGCCACCAAGTGCGTCGGAACGTGCTCGTTATTTTTACAACTCGATTCCTCTAGTTGTCATCCTTCTTGCAGTAACAGGACGAGATCTTGCGACGGCATTTTCGGCATGTCTTCTCGGGTGGTGGGCGCGATGCGCCGCCAGAGTGGAGTCGGGGTGGATGGTACGAGTGATACGACTATTGCACCGACCATGCCATCGTTCAGGTCCGTCATCGAACCACGATCGATGACGCGAGTACCTTGGGGCGGTGGTTGTACATGGCGTCGCTTTCCTCGAGCTTTCGCTTGAGCACGGCGTGCAGCGCCTCGTTCTCTTCGCAACCCGTGCAAAATCTCGAGGTTTTTCCTCCGACGCACGAATGGTTGCGATCGGGCTGAAACGATGGCTTGCGCGGGTCCTTTTCCAAATGTGACTCGGGGCGGGTATACCCCCAGTGTGTCGGCTCGGGCACGAAGCTGCAAGCCGTCTCGATCACACCACGGTTGGATGCATCGGGACGTACCGCTGGGCGACGTGCGTCGTGATGAGTTCCATGTAGTCGTAAATGCCTTGCTTGGACACGTACTGTTCGTACTTTTCCTTGGCTCGAGCAGCCATCGCCCGGCATTCATCGTCATGTGCTCGACACCACTCGATTTTCTCCGCCAAGTCCGACAGGTCTTGTTGAATGGGGACATGGTCCTCCATCGGCACGAGCAGCGGCGTGTACCTACACAAGGGTTCATCGCAACGACGGCGGCGGGGGGTGGGTGGGAGAAGGTTCGCACCACATTTCATCGGCGACGCACTTGGATGACACTTTCAAGATGACGCTGCCCAAGCGCATCAAGAACGCGTACCGGTTCGCGGCGCAGTGGCCCTCGACGTACAAAATGTACTTGAACTTGGATTGCTCGTACATGGGGATGTAGTGCTCTTTCCCGGCCGTGAACTCGCCACGCCCTTTGAACTTGTCCTTTCGTAGAAACGTCATGGGGTGGCCGGCGATCTTTTTGTCGCGGAGGTTCCATGCCGTGATCTCTGCATCCAAGTACGGCACCGGGTGGACCATGTGATGAAACTCGGGCTCTTTCTTCCACCTGCCGCCCACCCATTCAGTCCGACGCAAAACCGCATCGAGTGCATGCAACGTACAAGTTGGACAGGTACGCCAAGTGGAGACGCTGGTTGGTCTCCTTGGTCGTGCCGCCGCCCGTGGCTGTGCCGCGGAAAAACGCCGTGTCGACCTTTTCCTCCCATGGCTTGTCAAACTTTTTAAAGTTGGACGCTGTAAAGAGATCGCGGACCGACTGCGTCGTTCGTTAGAGCCTCCTCATCACCCGCGACACCACACGGGGGTTGAAGCCACACGTACGGCAATGCCATGGTATTTTCGATCGCCGTCGCAAAAGCACTCAAAGTTGTTGCGACAGTACCGGTCGTCGCCGCAGTCACACTTGTTGCAATGCGTGTGGCTACAAAGAGCGCACGATTCAGGCAATCATCGGTCATGATATTCGGTGGACACTCATCGAGACGACGGATTACATGAACGATGGCGGGAATACGAGGCCCGTCGCAGCTTCCCAGTCTTCCGAGCACGGGAACGGAATATCGGCAAAGCTATACACACACACACACACACGCGTCTTTGTGAATCCACACTGAGTTGCTGGTCGTGGAATCGTGGCGCATCAAACACCGTACCGATTCGAAATGTAAAAGCTCATGATGGGCGCGTACGACGGAAACTTGTACTGCGTCAGGGGCAAGTCGTCCGACGGATCCTTGTCATTCCGGTCAAAGAGAAACCCGTACGGCTCGGACAGGTTGTTCTGCCACGCGAGCATCATGTCGTAAAGTGCGCTTCGAATCGTCGACGCGGGAGAACCCTCCGAACGAAGGACGCACCTTCAAATGGGGGTAATCTCGCTTGTTGATGAAAAACTCGCAGTCGGGGATGTGGCGGTGCTTGCATGCATCGTCCAACCTGTCGTTTGGTGAAGCCCACGGCATTCATGCACACTCGTCCATTCGAACAAGCCACAGCTTATCGCCCGCGAATGTCGGCGCGAACGAAGCATCCATCAGCCCAAACGACAATACGTGAAAAGGCTACCACAGGCACGCAATGTAGGCATGCCGCCACGTACATGTCTCGGAGCTGCGACAGGAACTGGTCGCCCCAGTACTGCGTTTCGTCTTGGCGGCGCGAGTCCTTGCAGTGCTCGTTGCAGATGATGTTGCCGTTGGCCCACCATTTCCGCACATCTCGAATGATGTTTTCGCGGCGATAATGGTTGCGCTTTTCTACAACGGGTCGGCCAAGTCGTAGAAGAGCATGGAGCGCAATGTACCGAGGTAGTACGAGTCAAACGATCCGTCGTCGCTGTCAAATTTCAAAAAATCGGCCCAGTTGTTCTCGTAGTCTTTGTTTGCAAACGGAACAAAGAGCACGACGCGCCCGGCTCGAATCATGACAAAGATGCCGCAGCGCATGTGGAAAAACAAGTACATGAGGGTGTGCATGGTGGATTCGCGGTTCGTGCATCGATGGAACGGCAAATCCATGCGCCACGCGATCCCTTTCTCGACGTCGGTGCCGATGAACCGGTTGTCATCGCGAACGTCCGGGTCCGTCAATGGCGTAAACGGGTACTTTTCGTCGACAAACGACATGGCTGGGAGCAAGATGTCTTCAATCTGCCTCCACGTGACAAGCATCGTGAAGATGTGTTGGAGGTTGCGAAAGTCCGGGTTCGACCCCGGCGCGCAATGCTTCTGAACAAACTCTTCGCATTCGCCCTTTGTCGCAAACTTGGGCACTCCACCCCCGTGCGTTTCCACTGCATTCTTCCAAGTCGGATCCGGCTCGTCTTCCCAGGCAAAGATACCACGGCATCCACCGAAGCGATCATAATCTCCTCTCCCACCGCTTCCTCGGCGCCTATCTCCCCCACCGTAGCTGTAGTTGGACAGGTCGTCGGACTCTCGACGGCTCATCTTCGCTACACGTGATTCAAATTGACGCCGCTAGCAGTGCTACGGATAAAAATGGAATTAACCGGATATCTCCATGCTAAAACGTGGTTTTATATTCGGATTTGCATCGCGCAAAGAAGATGGTCGGGCGGACGATGGCCGCGGCGCTCGTCGGTGTGGTCGCGATGGTATCTGCCGAGGACACGCACGAGTACGAGATGAAGGACGAAGTGTTTGTGATTGCTAACACGGTACGTCGTGCACCCTGGATGCCAGAAGCGCGAAGGCACCGTGTTGCTGACCCAACGACAGATTCGCCCGTCGGCCAACCCGACCGAGACGTATCATTATTACACGCTTCCGTTCTGCAAACCCAAGGAGCGCCAGTGGGACGACCACGACTTGGGGGAGCTCCTTACGGGCAGTCGGAAGATTGTGACGGACTACCAAGTATACTTTGGGATTGACGTGCCGTACGGGAAGCTGTGCAAGGTGCCGATGACCCCGGACACGATCAAGTCGTTTGCGGACGCGATTGAGGAAGACTACATCTTTGAAATGTACGTGGACAACATTCGTCTGTCGGCGATGGTGGGCCAGGCCGTGCAGAAGGACGCGACGGGCAAGAACATGCTCCAACAGCACCTCAACAAGCTTGCGTCGTCGTACGAGTATTACCTGAACACGCACGTGCATTTTGATATTGCATACAACGACGCGGAGACCGCCCTCGGGTACATCGACGACACGGAAGTCAAGTCCCCTGTGCCCAAATACTTGGTAGTCTCCCATGCGTCGCCTCTCGACACGTTCCTCTCACGCGGCTTGACTGTCAGATCGTCGGCGTCAACATGTCCCTTGGAAGCGACAACAAACACAGCGGCGCTGCCAACTCGGAGTACCAGTACCACCTCACCGAGCAAAACACCAAGGACGCCATCTTCACGTACTCTGTCAAGTGGCGCAAAGAGCCGACTTGGACGTGGGAAGATCGCACGGTGAAGGTACGTCGTCATTCTCGTGGATGCGGTCGTCGTCATGGCCGGTCGATAGGACCCACTCCTGCCCGAAGTGCTTGAAATCCACTGGCTCTCCATTATCAACTCGTTTGTGCTCGTGATGCTGCTCGTTGCGTTTTTGTCGATAATCATGTTTCGCATCCTCAAGCAGGACGTGTCGCGGTGTGTCCCTTGCGCGCATGGCGATATCCCGTTCGTGACGGATTCGTAGGTACTTGGATCCGGAGGACGGGCTCGACATCAATGAAGAGACCGGGTGGAAGCTCGTCCATGCCGACGTGTTTCGGAACCCGCCATACCTTGTCGTCTTTTGCGCATTTGTCGGCGCCGGCGCCCAGTTGTTTGCCATGTTGTTTGGTGTGTTGGGCCTCTCGCTGTTGGATGTCTTTCACCCGACCAAGCGCGGCGGGATCATGGCGGCGCTCGCGGTCGCGTACCCCCTGACGGCGAGCATCGGAGGGTACCGCTCGGCCAGTTTGTACAAACGATTGGGCGGGTACGTCGTCCGACGAGATTGTTGGGTTGCTCCAACTGGCAGTAGGCAAAATTGGGTTTGGAACATTGTCGTGTGTGGGCTAGTCATCCCAGGGCCTCTCCTCGGCGTGTTTGCCGTGCTCAACACGGTCGCGATCTGGAACGAATCGTCTGCAGCGCTTCCGTTTGGCACGATCATGATTTTGATTTGTTTGTTTTTGCTCGTGAATGTGCCGTTGACGGTCATCGGAGGCATTGCCGGCCGCAACACGACCAGTACGTTGTCCATGATGGAGTGGCGGCGCTCGACTGACGACGGTTGTGTGTAGGTGTGTCCCAGCCGCCGTGCCGCACCAACAAGATTCCTCGCGAGATTCCGCAGCCCCCATGGTACAAGGCGCCGTGGGTGCTCGTGCTCGCGTCGGGATGTCTGCCGTACTCGGCCGTGTACATTGAGCTGCATCACATTTTTGCCGCGATTTGGGGACGCCAGATCTACACGCTGTTTGGGATTCTGTTTCTGGCGTTCCTGATGCTCGTGGCCGTCACCTCGTTCATGACGATCGCGATGACGTACTTCCAACTGGTCGCCGAGGACCATCGATGGTGGTGGCGCAGTTTCTGGAGTGGCGGCATCACGGGGGTGTTTGTATTTGCGTACAGCATCTGGTACTTTTGCACGAGCACCGACATGGACGGGTTCTTCCAGACTGTGTTTTACTTTGGGTACTCGGCCATGATGAGCTACTGCTTTTTCATCATGCTCGGGTTCATTGGTTTCCAGTCCGCGTCAGGCTTTGTCACGACCATCTACCGGTCGATCAAGGTCGAGTAGGCGCCCAGCACGCCGTCGACGGCTCGCCGACGTGTGCCATGAGGATGGAATGCATCATCGATGTGCTACCGTAAGCCTTAGAATACACTTCCCATTGCGACAGTCCACGTCCCGAAATGCCGTCGATCTCGCAAGCTCGGACCCGACGACGAGCCTGCGGCCAGGGATGCGTCATGATGCACAGCGTCGATGACACTCCCAGCTTCGCATGACCCATGCCTTGGAAAGGCCATAACGCCGCCGCGTGTCGTCGTTTGAGTGTGCCCACCATCGTCCGAGTTCAAAGCAAATGGCATGACTGGGACAGACCGAACGACATGCATATACTTGGACAGGCAGCCCGCAAGGGTGGTCTCGAGTTGGTGCATTCAATTCAGAAAGGTTGTTCTTGGAGGGGAGCAAAGGTGCTATTCAGAGGCGGAGAAACTGGCGGGCGTTCCGCGTCGTGATGCGCGCGACCTCGGCTGGAGAGACGCCGACGCAGTCTGCTATCGCTTGCACAACTTTGGGCAGACTCGTCGGAACGTTGGGAAATTGGCGCTTCCCCCCGGTCGACTCGAACCCACGGCAGCCTGGGAACCCCATGTACGGTGCATCGGTCTCGACGACGAGGCGGTCGAGAGGGAGGATGCCGGCGGCTAGCATGGACTGCAGCGCCGCGCCATGGGGCTCCTTGCAGACGAATCCCGTGATTCCAATGTAAAAGCCCATCTTGATATACACTTGGGCCTCGTCGGTGGTGCCGGTGAAGCAGTGCACACACGCGGGGGGAAGGTTGTCGAGATGGGGAGTCAGCGCATCCAGGAACGGCTCATGGGCCAGACGTTCATGCAGGAAGAGCGGCTTTTGCAGAGACACGGCCAGCGACAGCTGAGGACCGAACCACGAAAGCTGCAGGTCCGGCGATGGAAACCCGTCCGAGTAGTCCAAGCCGCACTCTCCCACTGCGACAATCTCGGTATTGGCGGCGAGTACCGACAGCGTGGCGAATTCCTCCGCGTCAAAGGGCTTTGTCGCGTTGTATGGATGCACTCCTGCCGTGGGAAACACAGTCTAGCATTGTGACGTGAGGTGAACAAGTGTGTCGGCGATGGGGGCCGAACAGAGGGGTGTTGGCGAGCGAGGGCAAGACACTCGTGGCTTTCTTCGATGGTAGATCCAGGGACGAGCATCTGGGTCACACGCACGCGCCGGGCACACTGAACGAGCGCATCTTCTTGTCCTTTGAACTCGGGATGCGTCACATTACAGTCAAAGTCGAACAGGTCGACCGTGTCATCCAACCATCGCGGCAGCTCGTCGGCCTTGCTGCATGCACACGAATCGATCAACACATCCATCCACAACACGGGGTATACCTGTGTACCTCGACGCTTTGGCCGCTTGCTGCTTGCTTGACTTGGGTTTGCGTCCATTCGTGCTCGGTGCCGCCGCGGTCAAGTCACCCGCGCTGCTCATGTCGGTGGAAAATCCTATTTAGGACCTTCTAGTTTAATTGGGTGAAAAACGACCGAATTTCGAGCGGTGGTCAACACCATGCTGCATTGCCATCGCATGCCATCGTCATGTGGGAGTACGGACTGAGCAACTTCCCGTTCGTGCCCGTGGAGGTCGGGCTCAACCGACGTATCAGCTACACCCTCCCGAGTCGTATCCCTCAGAACTGCGTCCGCCTCTTGAATGCGTCCCCGGCGCGAGAGCATTGGGAGTGCATAGGTGTCCCGAAACTTCTCGCGCGCAACCCGGCGAGCTACCCGTATCACTTCCCCAACACCCGACTCAAGTGGCAAGGCAAAATTCGTTATGCCGACAGGCTCTTCTTTTCCAAGACGCGCGCGACGCGGGAATCCAGACAGTTCCAGAAGCGCTTTAAGGACAGCGGCATTCCGCACGACGTCCTGACCGACCTTATCCATGAAGAGAACCGGTACGTTCCCATATCCAGTTGGTACGACGGATGTTTCGATCCACGGCATATTTCCTTAGATTTCAAGAGCGCCATCGTGTCCTTCGCTCCGATCGTCAAGGCAATGCACTGCATGCGACGACGTGGAACGATCGCCACGTGGTGTTGTACCCCACTGGGGAGCTGTTGCACCAGGTCCAAGTAAAATACCGCCGAGGTTCGACTGCGCATTGGCACGCCGGACCCGAGAAACCCATTGATATCGTGAATCGAATCGAGCAAATCGATCTCCTTGGCACTCTCGCGTCCGGCAGCGCCAAGCCGCTTCGCGTGGTCGTGCGCGGCGCTGCCGCGTGCCACGTCATCACATTTCACAACGCAGAGTTTACAGACCACACCGCCGACTCCATACAGTTTCCATCTATGCTGTACCACGTCGCTCCGAGCCCCCACGTCGACGACGAGTTCTCTTGCATCTCCACGTCTGGGAAACTGTTTTCGTGGACGGCGGCCGGCGGCGCGCAAGTCGTCGGGCATGCCATGCCACAACAGCGCTGGCTCCGGTGCGAATACAGCAGGTACATCTTGGCACACTCCTTTGAACACGATAAACGCGCTCTCGACCGTAGCCATCCGTGCGTGCTGTGGGTGGCCAACCGCCACGCAGTCGGGACGTATGACAATCGTATGCCGGCCCCACAGGGCTTCAACTGCACGGACTGGCTCGTCGATTACATTCCCGCGCCTACTGAGATCGTCGACATTCGACGGCATCCATCGTAGGAACTCGGTGGAAGCCCCTGCCTGACAAACAACTCGTTGACGTAGCTGCCCCTTTCAGCTCGTGGTTCGCACGGACACGTCGTTGGATATCTTGGACGTGCGCAGCCCACACAAGTCGATGGTGCAGTGGCGGCACGCTGGGCTGCATCCTGCCACCGTGACCAAACAGCCCCACACGATCGGCACCGTCGACGTGCTGGACATTTCGTCGCCAGACCATGACAGAGGTACGCAATAAAAATTGGACAGAGACATGTGTCATGTATAATGTGGTCGACCGGGCGTAGCGATCATTTTGTCGGGGTCGGCAGTCACGAACAAAGTGTCTGTGCATTGGTATCACGGCCACGCGGCGGACGACCCGACGATGCTGTCGCTACGAGGGGCGTCGGCCAGCCAGATCAGCGCCGCCGATGCCGCGTTTGACTTGCATTTGCCCGATACGACGCCATGGGTTCACCAGATCGGTGCATGTGCGCTGCGCACGGCCGACGACGTGTGCGACGTGTTTCAACTCTCGTCTCTCGGCGATCTCTTCGTCCACGTTATTCAACACAACCCGTCCGACGCCCTCTGCATGCAAGCCAAGTACGCACAGCATCCCTCTTGTCGTCGATGTGACCACATCTTGGTGTGTAGTGTGCCGTGCGGACGAGCGATGCGCACCGCGCCAGAGGACGTTCAACACGAAGACCCCATCAGCATGCCGCTGCCGGCCAAAGCGTTCTTGCCGGAGCATGACGCTGCATCCATGCAGCCGTTCCGCTTACTTCATGTAGCCAGGCTGCAACAGACATTGGCTCCTCCTGCATGCACCACTCTGCCAGCAACGGACCGCCTCGCCGATCTCCCCTCCCGGCTCGCGGCGCTCCTGACGCCATCCACGACCCTCGTCGCCGTCATGCGCACGTACTACTCGACTCGGCCAACTTATAGCCACCTCGTCCATGCCGTCGCGGCGCTTCCCCACGTGATGCTGCGGTTTACCACACCGCACGCACGATCGAGTCAACATACCCTCCCCCGTCGTCATGCATCCGACGACAACCGGCCGTTGTGCGGCTGCCACGACCCCATCTCGGCATACGTCAACTCGTCCCCGCCGCCAATGCCGTGCGAAGACAGCCAGTGCCCTCTGCCGCACCTATGGATCATCCAGCCGACGCCGCCAGACCCGCCGTCGCCAAAGCACACGTGGCATCCGTCGGCTGTTCCGCTCACGAACAAGCCCCTCCAGTACGATGCCCTTGTCAATACGACATCGCACGCCCAGGTCGTGGTCGATTTGGAAGCGGTGTATGGCGATTCCTACGACGCCCTGCCTTCGAGTCCCCGGCGCATCAAGCAGCAACTGCAGTTTTCATGGTAATAGATGGTGGGAAAGCACTCGATGTCTTGCACGGCGCATCACGGCATCTCGTGGCGCTCTTTCTTGACATGTTTTTGCACTACACAAGACCATCCATGTGACGCGCACTCGATCGCACAAACAAGTTGGGTGGTGCGTACGCATTTTCAGCGTTGGGAACGTCATGGAGCATGACCCGCACGGGAATTCGTCCGCATCGGTCGCGGCCTTGGCCGCTTTGCCCTTGACAGCGCCTTTTGACAGCGGCGCGGGAGCAGTCGTCGTCGTTGACGACGACGCTGCGTCGGATTTTTTTTGTGTTTTTCGCTTGTCTTTTCGTTCCTGGCGCTTCTCGGCTGCCTTGCGGTCCTTGTCTTGGCGCTCGAGCCGCTTGGCGGCTTCGTCTTCCGGTGAGAGCTGCGCTTTCACGTCTTGCTTTCGAGGCTGGACAACGCCATCGTCGTCGCTGTCGTCGTCGCGCCGCGCGCGTGACGCCGGTCGTTGCGGCACGGCCTGGTCAGCCGTCTCGAGTGCGAGCAGCTCGTCGAGCATGGTCGGGTCGACCCCAGCCAGGATCATTTGTTCTCGATGTTTCTTTGAGACCAAGTGATTTTGCACTTGTTTTTCCGACTTGAATTCCTTCTTGCACAGCTCACACACGAGCACCATCGCGTCTGCCTTGGCGCGGCGCTTCGCCTCCTCGGCCTGTAGCGTTGCCGTCGCGTACTGCGACGACTCGGTCGCTTCCCACGTCGCGTGAAACTCGGCCTTTTTTGCCGCGAAGGCCGCTTTGCGCGCGGCGGCGGCTGCCGCTTTCTCGACTTGCTGCGCCGCCTTGTGCGCTTCCTTTTCCTGCAAATGCTTGATCATGCGCTTGTCTCGCTTCCGCACAAAGTCTGCGAGCGCGCGAACATTGGCGCTGAACGTTTTCTTGCCGGCGTCCCGGGCCTTCTTGTTGTCCTTTTCCATGAGTCGCCGGATCTCGCGAGTCGGTGCGTCCGTTGTCTTGTACTGGTCCAGCCACGAGAACGTCTGGTCCGTCATGTACGATCGCCAGTAGTCGTAAAATGCGTGGGGCACTTGGGACGCTGACGTGCCGAACGACGGCGCGGAGTTCGGGTCCCCGCGGGCGGCTTGATCGAGCGCATCGATCTACGTACGACATGTCATCTTGCAATCCACCATCCCACCGACCTCTTCGAACACGCCGCGGTAAATAGAGTAGAATCCCCGTTCGTCGTCTTGGAATCCCTTGTACACGGACGTGCTGTGCCGACATGAGTCTCGACAGTTCCCCACTCGACGTCTGGATACCTCACCTGAAAAAGCGCATGATGTCGAATCGGTCGGCATCGCCGTCATGGTGCGCGCCGTCCTCCCCGCGGAGAATCTGTTCGCGATGATCGTCGTACCACGCGCGCTCGTGCGGGTCGCTCACCACTTCATACGCACTCTGGATCTCCTGGAACACCTGGGTCGCTTCGTCGACATCCTGGCCTTCCTTGACCTTGTCAGGGTGCCACTTCAGAGCCAGCTTGTGAAAAGCCTTCCGCAGCTCTCCAGACGACGCGTCGCGCTCCACCCCCAGCACCTCGTAGTGGCACCGCATTCTGCTCGTCGATGTTGAACTCGCGACGACGTCGTTTGACTCGGTGGCGCCTGGCGCTCCATCGAGAGTGGTGGTCCTTTCATGGGAAGTTTCCCTAATCATTGCGGGTTCTATGTTGGGAAATTTGGCAAAGTCCCAACGTTTTAGAATGTCGAAATCTTGGCAGTGTCAAAGCTCTCGCATGGCATGAGGAGACCAGCAGTAGCAGTGCGCAACGTGTAGCGACCACATTGCGCTTGAATGAAGTTGAACGAGAAGGATTAGGTAATTGCTGGGCACGGGATCACGAGCACGACAACGGAATGCAGGGTTCCAACGATTGCATGGCATGGGAAAAATCCCCAGTCCACAAGGCATATTTTTCAAGTGAAACCGAGTCGGTTTCGGCAACGCGCGGCCGACCGACGCCATGGCGACGCCAGGAAGGTCGTTGAGCGCATGCAAAAGTAGCGACGCAATTGCAATGTCTTCTCCAAACGAAGGCATGCCCGTGCTTGGCTTGTCGGCATCTCGAAGCTGTGTGAAGATACTGTCGTCACCGCAAAGTCAAGCACGCCTAGCAACGCCAGCCGAGGTTGCTACGACCGAACAAGTTCTACAGCCCGAAGGCGAGCTCGCACGCGACTTCTTCGTCGACTGCGGCACACACACGTTTCCGTACGGTGGGTAGCTGTCTCCACTTACTGCAGCCGCCAACGTCGCGCCTGCTCACGTAGGAGAATCATATCAGATGGATCCGAACCTTCCAGGCGAGGCTGAAGTCGCAGCCCAGCGCGAGGTATGTCCACCGTTCGTCTTCACGGCATGTCCTTTACGGCTGCCGTGCACTTGTAGATTTGCGACAATGTGGAGAACTGGACTGAAGCCCTCATGGACACGGTGGACGAACTGCTGGAGTGGAAAGACCAGATGATGGCTCTCCATGCGTTGCCGACAAATGCCGTCGCCGGGCTTGTCCTTTTGTCTTCTCGTTTCTGTCGATGCAAAGGACGCCTTCAAGTCGAGCTCGACCGCATGGTCGACATGACACACAGCCTCATTGGCAACCTGCTCCTCAACAGCCACATCAAGCAGTACAAAACCAACATGATTGACATGAGTGTGGCTATGGACAACGAAAAGATGGTGCTCGCGGAGGAGCAGTGCAAGCTGCGCGCGGCGCTAGCCCAGCTGGCGCACGTCAAGGCGGCGCATCGGTTGTTCCGGTGGTCGCGGCTGTCCTGTCGCCTCCGAGAGAAGGAGCTCAGCCACGAGTTGGACCGTCAAGCGAGCGTATTTCACTCGAAACGCGAAGAGTTTCATCAAGTAGTCAAGGGTCAGCGCGAGCAAATTACAGCGTTGACCGAGTCGCTGGCGAAACTGCAAGCAGCTCACGCAGCCACCACCGCCCCCAAAACCAAGATCGTTCTCATGCCGGCAACGGCCGCCACCCAGACGAAAGCAGCTCGACTCAAGTCGGCCCCGATCCGGTCGGTAGGGTTCGAACGCCCGACGCCTGTCACTCCCTCCTCTGTCCCCGACACAAAATGGGAGTCCGCCAAGAGCCCAAACGATCCCCCGACCAAGACTAAGCGGCAAGCGCAGCCGTCCACAAATCAGGAAACGAAGCTTGACACAGGTGTGGCCGTCGTGAAGCCGCCAGCGAGGCCACGGACATCTGGCCCTACACCACGCGTTCGCCGCCAGCACGACGTAAGGCACTCCCCACTTCGAATTCTCGCGACTAAGGGTCGTCGGGGATGCAGAAACAGCAGGACATCCCAGCAACGGCGCTAGAATGGCGCTCACCTCAAGATATGGCTCCAGACGAGAGGCACACATATTACAAAGTGCGGCGACATCCTGTCCTGGATTGCAGTTCTCATCGTTCGAATGAGGGAATTGTCGTAGGAGACATGGCAGGAGCGGCGAGACAAGCAGCGGGATGAGGCCACGACCAAACACATGGGCCACCTCAAGTTGGATGTCCATGCGTCGTCCGCCAATGTGCCCGAGTCTTCAGAATCTGTGCCCGAAACCACGGTCGTTCTGCCGCTTGAATTGTCCGAAGGGGCGTCGGTCGTCGCGCTGGCCCAAGGAAACAACGCCCTTATTAATAGCTTGGGCATTCGCAAAGAGAAACCAAAGCGTTAGCACGATCGTATCGAAATCATGTTGAAATGTCAAGAGATGACTTATGAGCGCGAACGGTGGCGACTACGCGGGGGCGGCGAACGACGGCGCGCAGGAGAGCGCGAGCGAGATCGGCGACGGGGACTGCTTCGTCGAGGGGGGCTGCGGCTGCGTCGGTTGCGACGATCGCGGGAACGGTCGCGCGAGCGAGAGCGATCCCGTCGTTCTCGTCGGCGAAGCGGCGACGCGTTGCGATCGCGTCTGCGCATTTCTTGCGGCGTCTTGCGCTTCTCCTGCGCCATGACAACCGTCAAGCGGTTACCGTCGAGCTCTCGCCCGTCGACTTCCTTGATCGCAGCCTCGGCGCCGTCGAGGTCGATCATCTCGACAAATGCGAATCCACGAGATTGCTTCGTGTAGTAGTCGAGAGGGGTGTACACGTCGCGAACTTCACCGTATTGACTGAAAAGCTCCTTCACATCTTCGGCCGAAGTGTTTTTGTTCAGGTTTCGAACCAAGAGCGAAATCCCGGCTTTGGCAGGTCCACCGCCTCCGCCGCGGGCCGGCTTGTCGTCTCGCGAGTTCGTTCGCTCACGAGAAGCGCTTCTGTGGTCCGAGTCATGCCGGCGTTCAGCGCTAACGGAAGCACTGCGGCGGTTCGCACTTGCAGCAGAGCGCGAGCGGCTGCGAGAGCGGCGGTCGTCCTCGTGATCACTCATGTCGTCACAGCTCGAGTTTGTGAGTTCGTGGCCGCAAGCCTGCCAGCGGGATATCCGGAAAACCTTGAAGGTTCATATCCGGATCGGTTGGATTTCTCACGATGGGGGACGTTTCACCGTCGACAAACGAGGGGGCGTTCTGCATTATGCTGTGTCCAGCCCCGTGAATATACCAGCCGCGCGATGTCCTTCGTCCACAGGTCAGCTTGCCGTTGCGTGAGCTGCGTCACCATCAGCTTTGGTTGCTTCAATTTCCTTGACGCGCGGAACAACACCACATTCGCGCGTGCAAGATTCCGTCCATCAGCAGTCTTCATGGGCGTAAAAGTAAGGGCGAGACTGTATTTGTTTCGTACGTGTTGGGGAATGGTGCCCCCGAGCGCGAACTCCTGGATTTGTACACATTGTGTCGTGCGGCTAGTTGCAACCCCGAAACCCCGCGTGACTGGAGAGTATATTTCCGTTGATATCGGATATTCTGCATATTTGGATGCACTTGCCAAATGGATAATGGATGCGACATGCAAATGCTGTATAATATAATACGGCAAGTTACACGCGATCAAGTCGTCGGTCACCGAGGAACAGCCGCGTCGTCGGTGCCGCACGTCATGCCGTCCTTGCACATCACGCCGCGCGCGTATTTACTGCCCTTCTTTCTGCTCCTTCTGTGTCATCACCTGCCTCTGTGGCTCTTCTGGTTCCATCTACCTCCTTCCGTGTCGGCCTACTCCTCCTGCGACGATACGTTCTCGCGGTGGGCAGCCGAAACGTTTGCACTGCACGTGGCCATTCCCAGTGCGTGCGCCCTCTCCATAATTCTCACGTTTGTCTTGCCGATACATCGCTCCAAGCTGAATCGATCGAGTTGGTTCAGTGAAACCCCCATCATTGCGCTCGTCTTTCTGCTGTATGTGGCGCTTGCGGTGTGGGGCGCGCGCGGCATTTATGCGTCGCAAGCATGTTTTCCAGCATCGATCCATCACCGCGGGGGTATCCTTGCATTCGACCTGACCATGTCCTTGGTCGTGCTTGTCGTGTGGATCGCGTCGATCTGCTCAAAGAAACCAGTCTCGGAGGCCGATATGCGCGACCACTTCACAGGCCGTCTGCGCTGCCTCACATATGCATTTCTGTGCCAACGCTACGACGACGAAGCAGACTTGTACTCGTTCTTGGCGGAGTCCATGGCGCAGTTCTTCTACGTTCGTCGCCACGACTACGTACGTCGATCCACTCAGCTGGAATTCCTCATGTCACATCATGGCCAGGAACATGTACTCCCGCTTCCAGATGTCCTCTTCGCGCTCCACCTCGTGGCCAAGGTAGGCGTCACTTGTGCTCGGATGCAGTCATTCACCCTGCGGCTGTATAGCGACAAGCGAGCGAACGAAAGCAGCTTCCACCGCCGTCGCCGTCCATCGTGATGACAGATGTACGGCACTCCACCGATGGCGGGCATGGCTCGATCCTACTCCACTTCAATTGATCCGTCCATTTTTTGTAGCCATCCATTTTCGACGATGCCATCCAATACGGCAAACTGGCGGGGGGCATCTACGGCTGGCGAGTCTTTCTCTACTACAATCCGTTCTCCTGCCACAAAGTGCTGGCATGTTGCCATCCCCGCGACGTGCGGCGCCATTTGGACTCGGTACCGTCTGCCGCCTCAACACTAGACCATGCCAACGTCGATTCAATGTAGATACGCGAGCATTCCAAAGGCCGCCACGGACCCCGCGACGACCTGTCCTTCCTGAGCTACACGGGCGTCGTCCACACGTCCATTCAGTACATCTCCGGCGCCAACGAGCTGTTCAAAGTGCCGTTTTTGGTGTGCCGCAACGATGAGAAGAAGGAGATCGTGGTGGCAATCCGCGGGTCGTTTTCGTGGCACGATGTGCTCACGGACGTTGTCGGTCGAACGATCCCCATGGCGGACGACGAAGCGATTCCATCTCCCACGGGAGGTACGCTTGCTCGATGATGCGTCTTCGGCTGATCGTGGTGGGGATTATTCCATGCAAAGGCCCGATCCACACGCATGAAGGGGTACTGCGGTCGGCTCGCCATCTCCTCCACGAACTCCAATCGGGGATGCTGCGTGGTTCGTTCTGGGACTTTGCCCAGGCGAATTGCCGGCTAGACGACGCGAACGCCACGTGGCGAGTCGTTTTGACCGGCCACTCGCTGGGCGGCGGCATCGCGGCGCTGCTGACCCTGATGCTTCGGAAGGAACTGAACGTCCACGGGTATTTGTTTGCGCCCATGGCCGTATTGGACGATGCCACCGCCGACTGGACGGCTTCTTTCATGACCACATTCATCTATGGCGACGACTGGATTCCACGTCTCTCCACTCGAAACATCGTACGTGCTCCGTCGCAATGGCGAGATCATGGAGTTGTTCGCGATTAGATGCGATTGCGCAACGAAGTCATGCAAGAGTATCGAAACGTGTCGAATGCGACGCTGCTCTCGGTGTACTTGGCCAGGTTCGACCCCACGCGCATGTCGCCGCAGATCCATCCGGAGTGGGCCGACTTGGAGTTGCTGCAGCCTGAGGCTGGTGAGACCCTTGCAAGCACGTAGAGCGAGCGATTCATGGCTCGAGGATGGTTATAGGAACGGCGCTCGTGATCCCTGGCACGATCTATCAAATTGCCCCTACGTCCAACGCCCGCCTGTGCGCGTGCGAAAAGCTCATGGGCCGCCAGGTTCCGTCGAGGCTTCCGAAGGAGCACGAAAACTGATGTGTCGTGCTTAGGAACTGGAGTGCATTCGCCGCCACCGCCACGACTTTGACCGAATATGGGTCAACTACCGCGCCGTCGTCGATCATTTTCCCCATCACTATGACCACACCCTCCTCCGCATGCAAGACACCATGCGAGAGACGCGAATGCACGATGTGCTGTAGTCGAACCATTCCAGTTGACTCGCTTGTATCACACAATAAATGCATGCCTTGGCACCTTCCCCGCCGACCACCCTTCCCGTTGCTAGCGTCGTTGGCGTCTCGCTCGTTCTCCGAACAGCAAGCTCCCTCTGTCCGTTTCTTTCCCACTGATACGCGCACGAGTTCGATGGCGAAGCGCTGCATCGACGCCATTTCATGGCCTTCGTGCTCCACGGAACCGTCGCTTGCTGCGGTCGCGGCGTCTGTCTCTGGGAGTGTGTCGAGGTCTGTTAACCGTTACATGGTTTATTCAAATGATCGAACGACCAATCGGATTCGAGCGTTCCGCCGCCGGGCCGCTCGCACGTGGCATTCCGCTCCAGACCCACGACGTGAACGAACACATGCACTTTTACCACGCCGTCGTGCTGCTGGCCACAGCGACAGGTGCCACCGCTCCCGACAGCGCTGTATGCGAAGCGCTGACGGAAGCGCTTTCGCTGCCGTCGAAACCATGGACAATACACAACGCGGAGAATCTACCGAAACAGACATGCATGTCACCACGACAGTCGGTGGCGAGCGGCACCACAAAGGAGAGCGAGGGTGACGCATCGATCTTTGGCGACAAGGGCATGGCACATGCGATGACGCGTGTGGGCGAGCTCGAGGCAGAATTAATCTACCTTCACGAGGACTTGGCTGCGGTGTTGGCGGAAATGGACGGCTTGAAGTCCATGTTGCAAGCCAAAGTGAAGGCGCTCGCCGCAGAGAACATGGAATTGAAGCTGCAAGTGATGGAGTTGCAGGTGCAGCATGAAATTGACCAAGACCGCATCGCATCGCTGGAAACCAAACGCACAGCCGCCATGAAGGCCGGGCACTCGGACTCGACCACCGACTGGCAATCCACCATCTGGGACTATTACGACATTGCTTTACACAAGTCGAAAGGAGCTGTCGAGGCAGTCCAGGCCCAGTCCAAGGAGTTCTACGAGTCGCATGTGGTCCCCTCCGGCACTCAAGTGGCCCACCAAGCATCTGTGTGGACCAAGGCTGCAGAGAGTGTGTACACGGAGCATGCCGCCCAGCGCGTGGGTTCCGTACTCGACCACGTGAAAACGACAGTGGAAGAGCAATACGCAGCGCACGCCCCGTCAGTCAAGGACGCGTTTTCAAAAGTCATTGCCAAAGTTGGCGAGGTCTTTGACCCATAAGCCATCACAATGTCATGTCCTTCCCTGAAAGGATCGAGATGGAGACTGTCCTCCTGATGAAGGGAGGGTGTATCGATATCGTGCAGTCAGGCAGGGCCTCCGATAGGTTCTTGAGCCTCTTGGAGTTGCCGCCCCAGCGGGCGTCGCCTCCCTGGCGCATGAGACACGTGACGCCCTCGTCGTGGAACATTTGAACTTTCCACGACTCTCCAAACTCCCTCTCCGACCTGCACTGCATCACGTTGAGCGACTGCGGCAAGCCACCATGCTACCATCCATGTGGATGCAGTTCATGGCTGTATAAAGCTACCCCAATGGCTCCAACGTAGGGCACTCCAAGCTGGCGCAGGTACCCTCGGCATGCCCACCCAATCTACCATTCTTTGGTGGGGCGACATCTCTCAGCTGGCTAGCCACCCTTAACAAAATTAGTGCCAAAATGCGACTTTTGAGCCTTGAGAATTCACATTTGGCGAACAAAATGTGCAAGTTTGCTTCGAATACTACTTTAATTTCTGTTGGAAATAGAGTGGGGTTTTGTCTCGTCATTTTTCGGGGCCTGGTGCTGGGATCCAACGTGGAAGGGCAGAATCCATGCGCGTGAGGTCGCCGCTCCGATCGAGGACAGCGTTGTCATGTTCAATGCGTTGAGCTACGAGTGACAGTGTGCACGACAAGTCGAACGAACCGAATTACAGCTGTGTGTCCGCGTGACCTGTCAACGACAAAATCGTCACAACGGGCAGTGGGATGGGCCTGAAGCCTGGATGCGATACGGTCCCAAGACTATACATCGCACCGGCGCTCTTGGTGCCGCCAGACGTCTCGTCCGCGGGGCCACGACATGCAGTTCCCCCTTCCAAGCGACCTTTCTACCCTGCACGATGGCGAAACACGCAACGACGGACCTTTTCCTAACCGTGTGGCCATACTAAGACGCTTGCAATAAGTTCAAGATCTTCGTCTGCCACACCAAATACCCTGCGCGCTCGAGCCGAATGAGCTCCCGTCGAACATGCGCCTTCTTCAGGTGATCCGCGACGCCCGTTAGGTCAATGTTCCGCAGCGACGCCACCTCGTCGACGCTGACAAACCCTTCGTTGGCCCGAAAGTAGTGCGACATGTGGCTCAAGTACCGCATGACGATGTGGGTCGGAGTGAGCTGCTTGACCTCAACCCTGCACCAGCCTCACGTGACGCTCTGTCACAAGCCCATCGACGGACGTACCATGACATGTAATGGCGCTGCCTGTGTCGTTCGGTACACACGTGAACTTCATCGTGTTCGATTTGCCGAATCACCATGACAAACCGGTCGGCTTCGATGAAGTGGCCCTGCAGCGGGTTCACAAACGTGCCTCTCTCCGTCGTGAGATGGTACAGTCGTGTGTTGGCCGTGCGCTCCTCGACCGCCTACACGTCCTTGAGAACGATACAGCAAGGCGATTCTTGGCGCCGTCGTCGTACAGCGTCGGGATCGTTGAAGTAGATGGCCGACATCTTGGACTCGGCAAACCGGCGAAACGTCGCGAGCGTCCCTGGCCAGATGCACTGCATGACTTCCATCGACATCAAAGGACCGTCGTCGTCGTCGTCGTTGGGCATGTCAAAATGGTAGTACTCCTCGTCCACACGGACGGCTGGGAACAACCGAAAAGGCACGTGCATGTTGTGATACATTTGCTGCGTAAGCCACTCCTTCCCCACCCTCCGCGCATTCGGCTCAGCCGCCAACGATGCACTCTGCCACGTTGTGTTGTTGGCCATGGGCGGCTAATGACGGAGCACATCACGCTGACAAGGAGGAATGCCACGGACGTACTGGAATATTGACGTTCACGAAGCGTTGCATGAGGGTCGCGAGGGACTTGTACTGTTGGGTTTGTGTTGCGAGGGATTGGTGGTCCGTCAAAACCCGGTGTGTTTCTCTCTGAAACACAGCCGCGATCGAGTGCCACGACAACGGGCCGTCGCTCGGCTCTTTCGGCGGCACGCCCGGCCTGGCCCGTTGAAGGCGTTCAAGGACCCACTGGACGTGATGGAGCTCCGCTTCCGCCGCCTCGACGTCTGCGTTCACCTTTCGGCGGTGCTCGCGCTGCTTGTCTCGAAAGTACCGCCGGCGAGCGAGCCGCTTGTCGACGATCGCAAGCATCTCGACGACGGCGTTGCTGGTGGTACCTTGGCTCATCAGCGTGCTGTGATGGCATCGAGTCGACCATCATTCCTTACCGAGGCACCTGATTGGCTAGACCTTTCCAGATCGGCGGGATGGAGATGGTGATGGTGGGAGCGCGAGCGCTGCGGCACTCGATGGAACGCAGCGGCGTCGCTTCGTGTCGGGAGAGTCCGTGGAGAAACATTCGATGTAAATGATGTGCCGTTTGTTTCCCACACGTCTAGGAAGGGTCGGCGGGATGGAGATGGAGCTGTGACGAGGGGCGTGTCAAGCAATGCAGCACTCGATGGAATAGCTGCAGGGTCGCTGCGGGTCCATGGAGAAGCACTCGATGCACCGGATGCGGCATTTGTATCCAAAAGTTTCTTGTCGCGTGCTATGGCGAGCGTCAAGACGCAGGAAGTCGAGCTGTCGCCTAGCGAGGAATGGAATGCACGATGGGGATGGCGAGCGGGATGGCGAGATGGGTTGTGAGTGTCACCGTACGTGGGCGCACTCTGGCGAAAGCAGGCTCGGTTTCGTGGTTGCAGTGTGTTTTTCGACGTGCGCGGCACATGCCGGGGTTCCGGCGGTGCATGCATTATCGTGTGGGTTATAGCCGATGCTTGAGCTTAGCCTGGATCAAGATGGGCAATGCGATTTGGAGCAGATCCAAGTCGGGATCGAGCAAGCGCCCGACGCCTTCTAAGACCCCGATGGACACCACGACTGACACAAACCGTCCTTGCAGCGCGACGTGATGGCGTTGGCACACTTCGAGGACCTACCCGCATCAAACCCATTCCTGAACAACATGCACAACGGGGACGTCGTTCGTACATCTTGCAGCAACTCGCCTACGGGCACTTCCTTCAAGCTTAAATTTCTCGTCGCGCGGTCGACGATGGCCGCGATGGACGCGCTGAACGCGACTTGGTCGGTGCAGTGGTGCGATGGGCTCTTTTCGAGGAGCATTCTCCCTGCCGCCATGCCGTCTTTGGACACAATATGGTGGAACAACTGGACAAAGTCTTCAAAGTCGGACGCCGTGAGTGTGTTGACGATGCCGGCGTCCAGGAGCGCAATGCCTCGGTCGCCGCCACGCCTTGCCGTCGTGACAAGGATGTTGCCCGGGTGAATGTCGCCATGGGCAAAATTGTGCAGGAACAGCATGCGCAGGAAAGTATCGACCGTCGTGGCGGCGAGATGCCGGCGATCCCGCGCACTTGCAGCCGATTCCATCGTGTCGTTGATGTGCTGGCCGTCGACAAATGTCTCGACGAGTACAGATGCCGAGACGAAGCCGGGCACAGGCGATGGAAACTTCACGTTCGGGACCGACGCAAAATTGGCCTGGAACTGCGACAGATTGGCAGCCTCGACACGCAGATCGAGCTGCTTCGTCATCACCTGCAAGGCCTGAGCCTTCTATCGATGTGCGACGATGTCGTTACCTCTGCAAACGACGCCATGCCGACTTTAGCCGACAAGTTTGGCAAAATGTAGTCGATCCAACCAGCGACGACCCATAGCAAGTCCAGATCCAGTGCCACGGACTCCACCACGAATGGGTGGATCACTTTCACCGCGATTTTACCGTTCGTGGCGCGCCACCGGCCTTGGTACACCTGCGCGATCACGCCCGACCCGATCGGGTCCGGGTCGAGCTCCATGAAGGTCGACCACGACGGGCCAAAAGCATCCTCCAACCGGTCCAATGTGTGGCCCCACCCATGGACGTCGCAGTTGGCATGGAATTCTTGAAACGTGTTGCAGAAACGAGGAGAAAACATATCTCGTCGGGTGCTCGCCCACTGTAGAAACTTGATGATGGCAGGGCTCGACTGCTTCCCCGTCGCCAGAGCTAATCTCCACCACCACATCGACACGTCGTGGTCTGTGATTCGCGCGATCGGGTACGTTACAAGCAATGGAATGCCGAGGAGGACGAGGCGGCCGCAGTGCAACAGCAGGCGGAGGAGGCTTTTGATGCGCTGCCACACCGACTTCCGGACCTACTCCAGTGCCCATGAGTTCAACGACTTGCATGCACGTAAGCAGCGTTCGTCACCGTGATGGACACTGCGCTGGAATGGCCGGTTGCAAACTTGATCGTTGCTGCGTTCGACGTGAGGTGATGCCAGTCCTCGTTGACCAAGATATGCGAGAGCGATGGCTGACTGGGAATCGTGTAAGCCATAACTGCTGCTCCTGCAGCAAATAGATGCATGTGGCGCCTCGCCATGCCCGCAGCTCCTGCTCGTAGCATTGGACGGAGTGCCAGCATTGCCGCCGTTGCCGCCACGATGGTTGACGACTGCACGTTGAGGAGTCTCGACCTTCGAAATTCGATTCGTAGTGGATGCCCCGTAGTTTCCTTGATGCGATCTGACGACAGGGACGCGCCAGCCAAGCCATGCTCGCCTCCACCCACCAAATGCAGCGCGGCGCCAGCTGCCGCCTTTGGTTCCAGCGCCAAGGGAAGTCGAGCAGCTATCCGTCGCACGCGGCATTGTGGGTTGAGCTGGGAAATCGATAGGCTGAAAATATATATGCTACTCCAAGTGGATGTGAAGGTTCAATCTGTGTAATGTCTCTTGCTCGATACCGCGCCACGACTGGTTCGCCCCCCTCACTCTTGCATTGAGGTGGGAATGCGGCTGCCAACCACCTCCTTTACATGCCCGCCTCTTCCCGCGCATGACCTCGCGCGATATGCGCGGCTGTCCCACGACCACGTGATGCATCTGGCACGTCGACCCGCATGTGTGATTCGTGTTGAGGAGGGGACTGACTAGGTTGAGACAGCAGGCGCTACCAGCGCACGTTACCGCTGGAATATGCACTCGGACGACGCCGACCTAAAGCTGTTTGAAGGACGCGATCCGTTCACGCCCACCCCGGCGGTCCTCCATCGCGGCACGACCGAGTTTATCGGGCACTTGGACGAAGTTGCATTGTACTATCGCTTGCACCACGACAAAGGATATGGCGTGTTTGCCGCCTCGCAGTCGTTGTACACGATTGTAGACACCCCAACGATCTCGGTGCGCATCAAGTGGGTCGCAAGAGTGCACACTACGGACGGTTTGGTGGCGAAGAAGCGGCATGACTTTTGTGTCCTCGAGGTGGGTATGTTCTGTTGCCGACTGCTGTCGATCGGTGTGCTAGGGACGGCACGTTGTGCAGCCGCGTGGCAAATCGAGCCCTGGCATTGTCGTTATGTGCTGGACCTCCATCGACATGGCATGTTGTCCGCCAGTTCCAGGCATTGTCCGAGGCGTTATGTATCCGTCGGGGGTAGTTTGCATCCAAGCGCCTCGTCCCGGATACCTTCACATGTCCGCGATCGCCCACATCGACGCAAACGGTCCTCACGCCATGGCCATACGCGCGTCCAGGGAACTCTGCCACGGGTTTGCACAAGTTGAACTGCGTTTGCGTCAAACTCGGCTCAGCACGTCATCGTTCTTGCTTGAACGCGACCTGCGGCCGCTGGACAGTCGCCGCGCTTGCTTTCTCTGCCAACGGAGCTTCAGCGCCTTTCGAAAGAAGACGCACTGTCTCAAATGCGGCGAGGTAACCATCTTGACCCTCCTGGAACGGGCATGAATGCGCGGTGGGTGTAGGTTATGTGCACGGCATGCAACCCCAAGTGGAGTGTGCTTGTCAACGGGCACCACGCCAAACGACGAGCGTGCACACTGTGTTCTCTCGCGTGCGGTGCACCTTCAAACGCAAGCACCACAGCAAAACCTCCGACGCTCCAAGGCCGCAGGTGGGACGAAGACCTTTCACATCCCGTCGTCGTGCGCATGTCGGACGCGTCGTCGTTCGGCACTGACGACAGCATGTCGCGATACAGCGACAGCGTGTGCAGCGATGGATACCGCACATAGCGGCTACACTGCGCTGACCTATGGGCTCCTTTGCAAGTTGCTTCCCGACGCCAGCAACTGGCCGCCGCTGTCGCACCTTGAATATGCACGTTTCATGAGATTCATGTGTTCCATGCGTTCATTGGCTAGCGATCAGCCAATCAATTGGGAGAAATTGCCCGCATGGTATAGAAATGGGGGGTCCCCCCATGGTTTTCTATTGGATTTTGTGTGGGTTGGGGGCCCCATAATTCGCACCACCAACCAACCCATCGCCCACTTGATCACGAACAACGGCCATGGCGAACGCTAAGAAACGCGCCGCGGACCCCGCCGCCGATGCTTCGTCCAAGAAAACCAAGGCAGACCTACTCCAAGGCGTGAACATCCAGGCCATCATGAATGCCGAAGGTACGAGAACGCTGTCGTCGTTGGAACAATCCTGATGCAGGTCGTGTTCCAGGCCCGGTCGTCCAGTGTGTGTTGCTCAAGGCCGACGGAACCATGGAACAAGTCACAGTCGACATGACACCCCAAAAGCAAGAGGTCAAGGCTCTTCTTGGCGGCGCATGCCATTTCTTGGGCCAGTACGAAGACATTGAAGTGTTCCTCATGTGCAACCCGGACGCCCAAGACGACGACAGCGTTCCAGTGACCAAACAGAAAATGCAGCCACCGTTCCATGGCCGTCTTGGCGAAATTCGCGGAGACATCTTGATCTTCCGCACGGACGCTAGTGGCGAGCAGCAGGACTTCACCGTCGACGAGTACAAGTCGTTTTTGGCGCTGGACCTGCCGGAATGGGAGCCCGAAGAGGACGACGACGACGACACCGAAGCTGACGACGACGATGAGGCGTATAAGAAGGCGGCGCTGGCTTATCTCGTTGAAGAATTCACGGAGGAGAACGGTGAGAACGAGATGTTGTGCTAGGAACGTGCTGACAACGATCCTAGGCCGCGAACCCACGGAAGCCGAGCGCCACGACATCGAAGCCAAGGTAGAGGCGGAAATGGCCGACTCATCCGACCACCCCGATGCAAGCGAAGCAGCCCTGCAGTTCTTTGTAGCGCAGTTCGTGGAGGAGCACGGTACTGGCATCGTTGACACCGCGAGGCGACTCGCTTCATGACACGGCGTAGACAGGGAGCCGAACGAGGACGAGCTGAACGAGCTTAAGCAGCGCGTCGCGGAAGAGATGGAGAAGCTCGTCGTGTCGGAGGACGACGACGGCGGAGACTTGGAAGATGTAGAAGACATCCACGAGCTCATGTACGTCAACTCCACCCCACTCTAAAGAAACATCCCGCGTGTGTCATGTTGTTGGGGATGCAGTCAGGCGCTGATGGACGAAGCGATTGTGCGGTTCACAAAGGAGCATGGCAACGAGCCAGACGACCTGACCAAGCAAGCCATTCTGAAAAATGTCACGCGCATTGCGTACACGCTGCAAGGCGACGACCAGGATGTCCAGGACGACGACGACGAAGAAGAAGAAGGTGGCGAGAATGACGTCGAAGGCACAGCGTAGGCATCGCCCTGTGAGCCACCCATCGTTTGAATAGACTGTTTGGTGTTACGCCGTGATCGAGCGCGTCGTTACGGCTTGAGTGCCTCGAGCTCGCCGTCGTCTTTGAGCTGCTGGATGATGTCGAGCCCGCCAATGAGCTCGCCATTCACGTACACTTGGGGATACGTAGGCCAGTTCGAGAAGGCCTTGAGGCCCTGGCGCACCTACAACCACCTCGTGCTTGAATCGACCAGATATGATGGACGAGTTCAGCACCTTGTCGTCGGTCGTGATGTCAAAGTAGTCGTATACGAAGCCCGCATCGTTCAACGTGTCAAGGAGCTGCCGGGAAAAGCCACATTGGGGAGCGTCCGGCGTGCCTGGGGCACAAGTGACGTCGCCAGCAACCTACAACGACCGGTACCTTTGATAAAGATCATGACGGGTGCCCGGTTGATCAAGGCGCTGAGGTCGGACGCGGGCGATTCGCGCTTCCGTTCCTTCTTCTCGACGCCGAGTTGGTCGGCCAAGTCACCTTCCTCCTGCATGTCCATGCGTTTGTAAGGGATCCGCGACAACCACCCAGGAGGTAGGGTGCGCCCAAGGCACTCGGGAGCGCTTGCCGTACCGCCATCTCGGTGAGGATGTCCAGGCCGCCGACGAGTGCCCCGTGTACGTACAGCTGGGGATACGTAGGCCAGTTGGACATCTTTTTGAGTCCTTGGCGCACGGACTCGTCCGATAGAATGTCAAACGTGGCAAACTTAATGTGGTGGCCGCGGAGAAGCTCGACAGTCTTGCGGGAGAAGCCGCACTTGGGCTCGTTTGGCGTTCCTTTCATAAACAAGAGGACGGGCGCCGACTGGATGAGTTCCGTTAGGCTCGCAAACAAAGCTTTCTCGACTTCGTCGTCATCGAGAGGTTGAATGCCAAACTGGTCCGCCAGCGCGCCTTCTTCCTGCGACGACGCCATGAGCGCGTTGGTCGCCGACCGGGACACAGTGGAGGTACCTTCATTTCTGTGAGAATGTCGAGACCGCCGACGAAAGCTCCATTCACATACACTTGAGGGAAGGTTGGCCAGCTTGAGAACACCTTGAGTCCCTGGCGGACCTGGAGAACGAGGCCACTTGGCCATGAGTGAACCCAGACGGATGGAAGGCCTGTGACGATGGCATCGACTTACGGTGTCATCCGTCAATATGTCGAACGTGCCGCACTCGATGTTTTCGTCCTTGAGCAGTTCAATTGTCTTGCGGGAAAAACCGCACTTGGGTTCGTTGGGGCTGCCCTTCATGAATACCATCACCGGCGACGCCCTGCAACAACGATCATGTTCATGCCCACTGTTTAACGTTGATGATGAAAGAGTACGTCGTAAGCTTCAGCAGTCGGTTGCGCAGCGCATCGTCTAGGACCGCGGCCTTGGATTCTGTCTCAGTTGTCCCAGTCGGATCGGCAAGGCGTTTGCTGGCGCGGTCAATAGCTTGGGCCACTTCAGCCACCTTCATGCCCTCGATGCGATCAACAACGTTCGACGACACGCTGATGATAAACGTGGGCACAACTTCGAGGTGGAACTCGGTGCTGAGCGCAGGCACGGCCTCAGCATCCACTTTGCAAAATGACAACCGGGGATGCAACATGGCGAGCTGCGTAAACAGGACATTGGCCGGCCCCAACCAATCTGCGTTGGTGTCGCTCGAGGCAATGCTGACATTCTTGGCGTAAAAGAAGAGCACCGTCACCTTGGGCGTCGACACAAACGCTTTCCATTGCGCCACCGACGTCACTTCCGTCACTTGCTGCATTCTCCCGTGCTCGTTGACGCTCTTCTGGCGCCGGAAACCAGTGCTACATATCCGGAAACCGTATCCGGATTTGCACAACCCCGAAACCCCGTTGCATGTGTGCATCATCAGCACACGAGGCACGCGTTCCAGCGGAACGCAACGAGATCTCCGATCGACAGCTGCCTCCATGGGCATCTCGTGCTGAGTGAATCAACTTGGACAGATCATTTCGTTCAGATGACAGCCCATGTCCCGTCTTTCGATCCCTCCCACCTGTGCTCCCTGCGTAGTAGTCCAAGTCGTGGACGCTGCACGTCCAAAGCACTCGACGTACTCCACAACAACGCTTCACGTGGTTTGGATCGTGTCACGTACGAGTGGAATGCCTCCACTGGGTTTGCCCACCATTGATACACAGATTCATCCAATACCCCTCGACGACAACGGCGCCTGCATTCTGGGTTTTCGTGGTCCTTCATGGTCGCATGCGTGAATCCGTCCGTTTGAGCATCGTTTCGCTTCGATGCGTTCTTGTTTCGGCTGATGGAGGAAGACGTCTAGCCACCGACTTTGTCGTCGTCGCTGCTGTCGTATGCGTCGTCAACTGCGTCGACATGGATGTCGTTCGCCCGCTGGGTCGATACAGCTTGGGCTTATTGCTTTCACAGTGCAGTCGACGTATATACTGAATCACTGAGCAACGCACGCTTTCAGGTCCTTTAACATTGGTTCATGCGAGCGAGCGAGGGCAGGACAGCGAACGCAATCAGCTTGGACGCGTGCCATGGCAGTTCCCAACAACACCTGACCGTGGTCAAAGTTGCCGCTGTTGGCCGCAGCCTAGGCCGCTTCCATCGCTTCCACCGCCCTAACGCGCTGCTTTTGCTCCACGACATGCGCGTCCAAGTTGCGTCGCGGCAGCTCGAGCGATTGCGACCGTCGTCTCGATGCATGACAACAGCACATTCGCAATACCGCACTTGAAACACCACGTAGACGGAGGTGTCGGAGGCCGGCCGCGCGAGCTCCACCACCAGGTCGCGCATCTCGTCAGCGTACATGTCGCCGAGTTGGACGACGGCGGTGGAGTTTTGGACGGTCGTGGGCCGTTTGGTCATGATGGCCTTGACGGACCCGCCGTCGGTCACGAGGTTGCACGCGGCGTGGATGCGTTTGCGCCACGACGCTGACCAGGCCGCCGAGGCAGTCGGCGAACGCCAGCATGACGGCGTCGACGTTCTCGACAAAGTAGTACGAGCCGCGGTCCGCGAGTTTGGTCAGGAGCGATGCGTCGTGGCCGTTGCCGTACCCGAACGTGTGCAGGGACACGTGGCGAGGCAGGCAAGTTTCAACGATGCTGGAGAGTCCGACGATGTGCGTCACACCTTCGTTGGCCTGGCTATCTGTGAGGAGGAGAATCGATTGCACGGTAAGTTGGGTTTCGAGTCCGACAAGAACGGGAGCTACGCCGTAGCAATTCTTGGACGCCTTGACGTAACCTCTCGCTCAAGTTGGTGCATGTGCCAGCCGTCAACGCGCGGACTCTCGAATGCAACTAGTCCTTGCCCTTCCCCGTCATCCTCGTCGAGTGGAGGTTCGTGGTCACGGTCGAGTCATATGAAATACACCCGACGCGGTCGTTTGCCGTGAGTTGCTGCGCTAGAAAGTCGAGCGTTTTCTTGCATAGGTCCAACTTTTCCCTGCTCATGCTTCCCGAGCGATCCAACACCACGACAACGTCAACACGTTTGCGCTCGTTCTCGTCGCAGGGTGGAGCAACAACACAGCAGTTGACAAACACGCTCTCGTGTGCTTCCGCTGCACTATACTCTTTCATCTCTGCTGCCGAACTAGCCGCGATGGACTCGGTCGGAAGCGCTAGCGCCATCGTCGTGTGATTGTCGAGTGCACAATGGGACATGCAGCTACAGGAGTGTCAGTCTAATACATTCATTCCGAATGTTCAACCAAATCCAGCCATGGGGTAGGTGTCTCGCCCCCGATGGTGGTCGCCACCCATCGAGTTGGCACGATTGCTTCGATCGCGATACTGAATCGCAGCAAAACGCGAAGCGAGTTGCGAACGGAGCGTCCGTCGGCCCATTGCGCTCCATCGAGATTCGGGCGCCCAGTGCCATGCAGTTGACTTGGTGCGACGAAACCTCTCATAATTGAATACCTCATGTAAACGAATACACTCTGGCCGATTCAATCTTGGTGTCGAGAAATGCGCCGACACGACTTCAAATCGACACCACAGGGACGAAGCAGGCGAACAACAGGTTGCGTCGTATGATGTACGGATTCTTGTTGCGTTATGGCGGGAAGGGCGCGCGCCGCCTTTCTCCATGCACACGATTCCAGCAGATCGCAGAGCGCCTTGTTTCGTGACCGTCCTCGCGTTGTTCACCGTAAGTCGATCCTGATTGGTTGAAAAAGTTTCGTGGATTGTATTCTGCGTTTTGATTGGCTAATCCAACAAAGATCGTCCGCATGACGCAGGAAGTTGGGCAGGTGGCGTTGGCTGAGAGACCGACTCGACCATGTTACTTTTTATGCTTGACGCGGACGGAGCCTTTGCCTTCGAGTACGCCGTAGCACGGGACGTACACAAACGATTGCTCAAAGACGGCGTCGACGACTGCCCACGTGTCGTCGTCCGAGTTGCCTTGTGGATTGAGATCGCACACTTTGTACGATGTCGACGCGACGATCGTGATGTGCATTTTTTTCCCCGCAAACACAAGCAATGGAGGGTCCTCCGCCGCCACGCGCTGTTCTTTTCCAAACAAGTGCAGCGACGACGCTGGTCTGCCTTCCGCGAGCTCCTCCCACGCGCTGCCGGGGGACGTCGGAATCGAGCCTCCTGAAAAATGCCGCACATGACCTCCTGTGGCCGCCCTCGCCATGCCGCTAGAGCAAGCATCACCCTTTCATCCCAACCCACAGCGTGTGTACATACCTGTCGCGACACCAATGGTCGGTCAGGTCAGTTTCTGGCACGTACTGCGACACAGCCGGGCACGGATCATGGAGGAACACGTTAATCTCGAGCGGATCTGCTTCGAGTTGGTTGGGGCACAACACATTCTGCCAGACGCCACCACGTCAGGTTAATGACGTCGCACCGGCATTACCAGGGTCGGGTTGTGGTAAAGGAACTCGACAGCTTCGTACGTGTCGCCGCCCGACTGTGTACGGTTGCAGCTGAGCAGTAAGCTGCGCACGATCGACAGTGCCTCGGCTTCGGTGAGGTCGTTTTGAACGTCATGCTGGCCCTGTACTTGTATAAAGACCCGCGTGAGGGCGCCTAGTACACACTCGCTGCCGTCGGCACCGCTGAACACGCGATTGTTTATCTTGACTTTGTCGCGCTCCAAGTCCTTAAACACTTGGTCCATGCCGCATCGACCGCGCGGGTGGCGCGCGACCTGTTCCTGCTTGTGGATCCACTCGACAGGCATGTGCAGCTCGCGTTTCGAGTGCCTACGAAAGCGATCCATGGTCCGGTCATCATGGGCTTGCATGGCGTACTGCAACGTGCGGAGATAGGCAGCTTTGTCAGTCGCTGCTTGTACATGGCGGCGTAGCAATAGGACCTCGTAGCAGTCCCCTACGGGCACAGGACCACGAATGGTACCGCGTTCGGCGAACGTTCCACGAACGTACCGTCAAACGTGCTGCCACGGGACAATACATGGTACTGCGGCTCGTTGATGACGGCGCGAATGGCATGCACCCACACCCGCCGCTCTTGCTCCGACTTGGCCATCCATACGAGCTTGGACTTGGACGCTTTCGTCGAGTTGTTGTCTGTTGCGATCAATTCGAATGCAAACTTGTGCTGGAAGCGCTGGCTGACCACCTCGCGACACACAAACCGAACGAGGGAGATGTTCTGGGCCTTGTCCAATTGGTCTGAGTAGTACGTGAGCGAGCCACGCGTGAGGACGACGTATTTCTTGGAACACGACCGAAGCGAGTTGTCTTTCGCCTTGCGCAGGTGCCCTGCCAGCAGTGTGTCTGGAGGAAGGGATAAGCGTGGGGGGAACTCGGCCGGCGTCGACCATTTGTCTTCGAGGAGTTGGATCGCAGCCGCGAGAAACATGCTTTGGTAATTGACACGAGGCGGCGATGTGTGTGGACGGGGTGGAGGGTGGTCTAGTGACGTTGTCAAGTTTTCCGCCACGTTGAGATCGGGGTTGTTGGTCGCAGCTTCGCTGGGATCCGTGTCATCGCCAAGGATCAATGCTGCTGCAACATCAGTGTTGGAGACGATAGATGCAAGAAAACTCACGGAAACCATGCAAAGATGCCTTGCGTCGCAGTCGTGGAGACTTTAGTGGTACAGATGCTCTTGTGTCGAGCGTCTCTTCCATCTGTGTCCCCCTCTGCTTTCGTTCATACTCGTGCAGTGCCTCGTGGTGACGACGAACTTCGTCGGCAAGGTCTTGATTGAGTCGCGCGAGCTCAGGAAGAAGGATTCCGTCAGTTTTCATGGCGTCAACGACGCTCAAGTGATCGGCGATCGATCGCGGCTCCACCTTGGACGCGAGCTCGAGCAGACTCTCCACGGTCAGCAGCATCGCGCGACTCGAAAGGGTACGCCGCCACAACCCGAAACGAACTACGATATCCGGAATACATATCCGGATAACGCGGATTCGAGCAACGCGATTTGCGCCATCGTCAACTATGGCACACGACAGAAGCGATGAGCAGGCAGTGATGAGCCTGCTGTCGATGCTTATGGTCAAGCCGCATGCAAAGACGACACGTATGCTTGCAGAGGAACTCGCTAAGCTGCCGTGTGGGGACTACATGTGGATGAACGTTCTCCTGCTCCACGTGTACCAAGCGTTGATGGAAGCGACGTCAACAGCCGATAGAGATGCGTCCACCGCAACAGTTGCGCAACTTGTGGACGTACTAGAAAAGGCGTTGTCTATATGCTGTATACAAGACGTTCAGGGCTCGGCAGCGCAGTGTTTCAAGCTTCTCCAATGGTGCAGATTCCTTCTTCTTGTCTCGAAATCGTCCTCACCGCCAACCGCGTGGTAGTTTGCTCACTCTGCTGCCCAGTGCAACGGAAACGCTTGCATTGGGCAGTAGCCTCACCGACGACAGTCGACTTGCTGTCCTACACTGCATTCAACTTCTTGTGACGACACCAACTCCCCTGCCGTTCCTCGCGACTTCCGTCCCATTTGCCGCATACTTGGTCCGTCGTCCTTCGCTTTACCAATAATACCCTTCCTTTGACAATGCCTTGTCAGGTATCGGTGCTCCTCGCCACTGCGCAGAAGGACCAGAACAGAACGTGTCGAATCGAAGCGTTGCGCACGCTGACGGCGGCCGTGCGCGCCATCGACGACGCTGACGTGCTGACCCAAGTGCTTCCTGGCCTCATGAGCTCCCTCTTTCAAATCGTTCAAAGCGACTACAAACTTGGATCGAAATTACCCACACAAGCGATTCGGTGTTTGTCCATCACGATGACACTCGTTCTACAGGACACTCGATGCCCGTCGCTCGTGACAAAGCCATCCTACTCGCTCGCCTTCCTCGGCCCAGATCACCCCACCCTACCAGCCTCCAGCTCCGCTTCTTCTTCATCACCTCCACGGTCGCCTTCGCTAACGCCGAAGTCTCTCGATCGCACCCCAGCCTGGCTCGACGCCACTCGTTCCAACCTGCTCACGCTGGTTGTATCTATTTGCGGCCACCAGCGCTACCACTCGAATGCATTGGTCAGGCAGGCGCTCACAAGTTTCTGCGTCGATCTACTTGTGCACTGCCGCCTCACCCTCTCCGAGTGCATCCTTCCATGCTACGAAACGGTGCTGGCACTAGCCCAAGACCCGATTGACGTAGGGCGCCAAGTCGCGATCGACGGCCTTGGGGCAGTTCATGCGGTGTTGAGTCCCTCGGAGCAATTGCTGCTGCACACCAATGCAGGCGAGCGGTGCATGGCACACCTGACGTCTTTGATGCAAAAGTGTGCCGCGCCACCGCTCGATTTTGAGCGCGAGGCCGTGGCGACGTTGCAAGTGTGCCTCGGTTATGTCACAACATGCCAAGAGAAATGGGTGGTCGACATTGATCGCGTCATCAATGCATGGACACACATCCTGGCGGTGGATGCCGTCGACGTCCATGTGCTAGCGTACACAACGTACGCGCCCAACGCAGCGTACTTTCGCACGCGCTTCGAGCACTTTCGATCGGACGACGCGGTTGCTGTGGCGTGCCAAGTCGTGCGGTGCTTTGGAGCGACGTCCGACTTTCCCGCGTACGTGGACGCGATTGTCGCCCACGTCATGGCATTCCCGACGGTGCGACTTTGGCGCAACTTGACCACGTAACCAGAATTGCGTAGGACTCGATGGAATGGCTGGTTGTGTTCAACCAACTCGTGCTTGGTGCCGCGCGCACGGACCTTCCAGCGCTCTCGTCGGCATGGGCTCCACCAAAGAAGATGTTGGACATCCATGTTGGAGCGTACCTTGTCGACGTCGTCCTGCAATTGCCGCTGTGGACGACGACGGAAGGTTGTGATGAGAGCATGAGCATTCTCGTTGAGATCGTCGGGTCGATCGCGCAAGCTTTAGCAGCGGCATTTTGCCCCTTGCTCATGCATGTGCTGTACCCCCTCGTGGAGCAGCTCGGGCGTCCGTCGCCAATCGTCCAACAGGCTGCTCTCGCCACCCTCGCGCGACTCGCGTACTCGTGCAATTTTCACAGCTCTGTTCCGAAGCTCCTTCATGCCAACATGGACTACGTCGTGGATATGTTGGTGAGCCGACTGAACCAACTGGACGAGTACCCACACACGCCGTTCGTGGTCGAAGCACTCCTTCGCCATGGCGGGAGCAGTGCGACTTCGCCGCTGCCTCTGTTGGAAGAAGCGGTCGCCGGTGTCATCCGAAGCGTCGACATCCACGTGGCAACCCCACAGCATGCCATCGGTCTTCTCCGCGTCATGAAAGTTGTCGTAACGAACGAACCCACCGCCCCATGCAAGCCTCTCCAACGCTCCACCGCTGCATCCTCCACGTCAACTTGGACATCGCCATCTCGACGAGTCACTTCGTTCATCCACGACATGAAGAACCTGTTTGACCCCCCAGACGACGATATCGCCGCTCCAGCCGATGACGACGTGAACATGCCACGTGCAGGAAGCACCAAAGGCGCGATGCCCATCGAACACAACGAACATGCGTCGACATCGCCGCCCACAGGCATGGCCAAGCTCGTCCAAGACATTGTTTTGCGATCGACGTACTTTACAGCAGCGCGCGACACCGAGACAGCGTGCTCGGCATGGCAGGTCCTCACGCAAGCCTTGGCGGTGGTGCCCTCGGAACACATTCGCCCCCTTGTCCACCGCATCTGGCCGCAGCTGGCCCAACGCGTCGGCGATTCCACCCACAAGCCGAAACACTTGGCTGCCGTGCAGTGCCTCAGCGCATTGGCTGGCCTGTGTGGCGACTTCATCGGGGACAAGTTTGTCGAGTCAGTGTGGCCAGCGTTTGAGACCCATTTCAAGCATCACGCGAGTGAGTCCATGCAGCATGGGGCGCTAGCACTGGACGATCTACAGTTTGTCGTCGACGAGGCGGAACACACCGACGCGGCTCCCTCTGCGACGTCGTCAGCGCTTCAACGCCCGACGTCCCTCACCAACCAAATTCATCTGCACATGATCACATGCCTCGAACGCGTCTGCCGGTCCACCGACTCGGTCGCGTTTCTCGTCCACGATATTGCCGATGCCACGCAGCCTTTCCTCGCCTCCACGGCGCCCCCTCCACTGCAAGACCAAACGGTCGCGCTCTTTCACGCGTTGATGCGTCTCAACGGCGATCTGCTTTTTCCACGACTGGTCTCGATGGCGTCGATGCCGCTGCCCCCACCACCCTCGATCCACTTTCCAGTGTACGCCCCAGACGCGGTCCTTCGCACGTCGGACTGCGTGCCGCACCCGGCCTTGTACGCACGAAATGGTCGCCGCCTCTTCCGCTCACTGCACGCTCCTTTGAACTAGAAACATGCCGACCAACTATCTAGTTGACCTGTGTTTTGTACCATTACTCTTTTAATCCATGTCTTGGGCGCCGCTGGATGCACTCGCACCGACGGACGCGGCAAGCTCCTCTGCTTCTTGCTTCGCCTCCAACTCGGCCAGGATCGCATCATCCTCGTCAGCGGCCGCTTCGGCAGCATCAACAATCGCGTTGACATCGACGACGCGTTTCGAGTCGCTCGCAACTACAAGCGCCTTGCTCCCGCCTTCCGCGTTGCGAACGTGCGCCTTGACGGTCAGCTGGCCCTTCCGAGTGACCGTAAACGACACTTCGACCTCGGACTCGCCCTTGGGGGCGGGCGGGATCCCGGTCAAGGTCAAGTTGGCTAGCAACGTGTTGTCCTTCTTCAGCACGCGCTGGCCTTCGTACACTTGCAAGTAGACTGCGTGTTGGTTGTCGACTTGGGTCGTAAACACTTCTTGGTGGTTCGCGGGCAAGATCGTGCCACGATGGATCATGTCGTAGACGGTGCCGTCCGCCAAGCCGAGCGACAGGTTGAGCGGCACCGCTTCGACGTTGTTGAGGGGGTCTTCCGGGAGCGTCCAGTCGGCTGTTTCCGACAGCGTGCCGGACTCGACGGTCGCGCCGAACGCGACAGCCTCATCCGGGGCGATCGTGACAAGCGCCTTCTTGCCATCGAAAAAGTCCTCGACAGCCGTTTGGACCTTGGGGATGCGAGTGGACCCGCCGATGAGCAAGACATGGTCAATCGAGTCCTTTTCGTACCCCGCGCCTTCCAAGAGGGCCGCGATGTCCTTGGTCACCTTGCGGATGTGGTCGATCACCATGTCTTCAAAGCGCGAACGCGACAGCTTCACAATCAAGTCTTGACCATCGGCCAGCGAGTCGACTTCGATCGTGACTTGAGTTTGCGTTGACAGCGACTTCTTGGCTTGTTCACTCGCGACCTTGACCCGGTGCAAGGCGCGGGTGTTGTCCGCCGCGATCGTGACCTTCTTTTGGCGCTCGAATGTCTTGATACAGTGCTCCACGACAGAGTTCGTAAACACTTCGCCACCCAACGCGTGGTCGCTGGCCGTCGCGATCACGTTGAATAGCCCCTTGTCGACGCTGAGGAGGGTCAAGTCCGTCGATGCACCACCAATGTCGACAACGACAGCCAACTTGGATTCGTTTTTCTTGTCTTCGTCCAAACCGTACGCAATGGCGGCAGCGATGGGCTCACTGATGTAGCGCAACACGTTCAAGTCGGCCGCGGACGCAGCTTCCTGCAACAACGCCTTTTGCTCGTCCGAGTACCCTTCTGGAACAGTCAAGACAGAGTTCTTCACGGACGACCCCGTGTAATCTTCGGCCAACGCCTTGAGCTTGCGCAACACGATCGTGCAAAACTCGACGGCATGGATATCACGCGACCCGTCCAAGATCTTGGCAATGGGCGCGCCATGCTTGTCCGCAGCCAAGTCGAAGCTCCAGTCCTTGACGTATTCATGTGCGTGCACGTCCTTGTGCTTCTTGCCGAGGACGCGCTTCAAGTGGTACACTGTGTTGGCAGCGTTGTTGTGGAGCTTTGCGACGGCCGAGTCCCCGACAACGACGTCGTCGCTGGCAAAAGACACCATGCACGGCGTCGTGCGGAAGCCTTGGTCGTTCGCAATGACCGACACCTTGCCGTTGGCCCACACACCCACGCACGCATGCGTCGTCCCGAGATCGATCCCAATGCTCGCCATGTTGATTCGAGTGGTTTAGAACGGAGGTTCAAAAATACCTCCAGTGCCGATGCAGGCGAAGTTCAGTACTTGGAATTTGTATACCTCTCGAAGGCCACGAAACCGAAGTTTTCTCAACTTCGACTGTCGGCAGCCCTTCAAGCGCCACCCAATCCATCCGAGTGGGATGGCGGCGCGCATGGACGGGCTCAAGGGATTGCACCAAGAGGGTGAAGAGGGTGATGCATCGTGGCTGGAATAAGCTGCCGGGGCTGCGCATGCTGCGTGCGCTTTGTGTCACTATGTCAGCGTGCGTTGTGAGATTGGCGTAGCTGAGCGGATCGCTATGACATGGCTGCATCACCGTCGTCGAGGAGAAGAACAACACTGACAAGAATGAGCAGAAAAGCAAGATGCATGGATTCGTGGTGGGACGAGGATTGTCTGGGGAACCTGGAATGCGATCACGGAGCACTTGAACACACGACATGACTGGGTACTTTACGCCTTCTTTTGGACAATCAATGGGCCGACGTTGTCCCCCGTCGCTTTGTTGTGCTCGTTGTGCGAGCCGTCGCAAAATGGAAACTACAACATAGTTTTGGCACGTTGAACGACGGGGGCGGGGCAACAACAGTACCTTCTTGGATTTCCAGCAACGGCACAAGACACATTTCAATGAACCCTTGGTGAACATGTCCTCGATGTCACACGTGTCCACGACCTTGTCCTTCTCAAGTGCGATGGATGTGTTGATGCGGCGAGAGGGTTTCTTTCCTCCGCGACCAAATAGGCCCAACAACACTGTCACGAGCAACACAACAACGGTGACGACGAATGGAGCGAGGATCTTCCATTCGTCAGGGGTCAGCTTCGTGAAGCCTTCGACCGTGCTCGGAATCGGGAGGGACTTGAGGTACTTGGGTAAGTCGATCTTGAGGAGTCTGCGGATGGCTTCCATCTGTCTTTGGATCTTTGAAAAATGGAAGCTGAAGTGATTGCTGGCAGCATCCGGATACCGTCCCTGAAGTATTGCATGCCGCTGGAAAATTGTTCCAGAAATTGCTCGGTCCTCCACCAGCAACGAATCGATCCATAAACAAATGATGAGCAACTCCATCAACCAAAAACGACAGTCTTCGCATTGAGGGGACATGGACGATCTAGCCGAAGCCACACGCTTGGACATGCATGGATGCGTTGCTGGTAGATCTGACCGAAGACGGCGCGGGACTCAGTGGAACCCCGAGATGGCGGCGACGAGCTACCCTACGAGGTCGTGGCAAGTCGCTCCGTTGCTTCGACCTGCGACAATGCCCCCATCGTGCAGGTACACCACGACGCTCAAGGCAGAACCGATTGAAGAGAGAATATGCATTAACTTGTCAGTCGTCGATGGGAGTGGTGAGGGGGAAGCCGAGCTTCTTCTGGCCAGCCATGCACGCTTGGACGCATGAGAGCCCCCACTTATCGCAGTTTCGATTGAGTGACACGAACGTTGGGCAGAGCCGCCGGCAGTCTCGTCGAAGCGACATGTTGAGCCCGAGGCACGCGTTGCCATAGATAGAATACACGCTCGAGTTGGTGCAGACAAAATTCACGCACGCATTGCGCACCACGGCGAGGTCGGCGTCGCCGGCCCCGGTGACGGTGTACGGCGCCAGCATCAGAATCGTGCAGGCCATGTCGAGGCGCATGGGGTTAACGCGGGCGTTGGAGGGATTGTCAAACTGTTGACTCCGACGATCCCAGCATGCCGGGGCCTTTTTTCATGGGCCGTTGGGGCGTTTCGCGGCCGAGTGACGCGCCATGGCATAGCTGGCGAGGCAGCGAAGAACTGGCAACGAATGTGCCTTTGCGTCGGTTGGCATCTCGTCCGAGACAATCGGGAAGGCATCCAAGTACCTGCGGCAAGTAGCCGACTGCGCAACAAGAACGTGGATGCTGCGCATCGTGACAACCCCCGTGGCGAAGAACGTTGTCGTCGGAAGCGCATTCCTCGCGCACGACGTACTCGTTCGAGCTCCAGGGACATCAGCTTATATCCTAGCTCGTATGGCGGTTGAGGAGCATGGCAAGGAGGCAAGATTGATTGCACATCTCGCCGGGCGTTCTTGTATTATCTGGTACGAGGATGATGCGGCTGAGTTTGTCTGAAGGTGTCGCTTGGAAAGGGGGATGATGGGCCAAGCTGTGGGTGCTTTCCTCTGTTGCGCCAAGTCATCGCCCCCATCGGGAACCGGGTGTAGAGTGGGCATGCCAGGGGATGGTCGCGATTGCGCTGGCGACCGCCATCGTCACGCGCTAGTTGTGTGCAGGGGGGGGATGGGCCATGTGGAGGCAATCGACGCCTCACGTAATTCAGACAAGTAGCCAGCGACAGCGCGAAGCGACGGCGGTGTCGACTCGGACGCGGGCAGCTCACGCTTTGCCCAAATGGCCGTTGCAAGGCAGGTGGGACAGCCTTCATACAGTGGCCCGAGCATCCACTACACACGCTAATGGGATGTTGGGGCGTCGTGGAATCGTGCCAGAGGGACGCCGTTGTTCTCGACATGATGAGGGGAACTCGCGCTTGCCGTCAAGATCGGGCGGCACGTCGACACCTCCGTGTGGTGCATGTCCAACGCAGCTTTCAAGTTGGAGCTCTGCCCACCCCCTGGTCATGCACTCTTTTAAGCGGCACAAGTCCCCCCCCTAGAGAGCAACGGCACTGCCCTTCCAGTACAGTGCCAATTCAATGTCTGACTTTGTTAGCAAGTAGCCGCCGTCGACACACACGGGGACGCCCCCACTTCGTATCAAGGATGGACGGATTGTTCCCGTCGGGACGGCCAACAACCCGCGCTTGAAAATTTTGTGGCTTGCGTCAATTGGCCAACTGTACTTCGCGCCATCGTCGCTGCGAGCCTCGCCATTGAGCAACTTCCCCGACGCCTCTCACATGACTATCGGCGACTTGGACGTGTCTGCCCTCGTTCGGCGCTTCGACAACATGGGGGCGCATGTGCGACGGGTACACCAACGCCAACTTGCTGCCGACGCTACCCGCCTTCGCCGTCAACGCCTCGAAGACGACATCCGAGCCCTGCCCTCCGAACAGCGCGCGCTACTTAGAGCGATCATGAGACGAGACCCGATCGTAGCCCGCATGACCGGCCAAGCTCCACAGTCCGTTCCTTGTGGACAACGTCGCCGCCTGCCCGCTATTGACATCTGCAAGATGAAAACGTACCTGGACATGGTCGAGAGGGTGCGAAACACGCCACCACTACGCCTCAAGACCAAGCCACGATCGGTCACGTTGAGAGAGGAGCGTGCGAGGTCGCAGCGCCGGCGGTGGCTGTGGGAAGTCGAGTCGTGCCGCGGCCGCAAGCCCGTCGTCGTCGGTCCTCTACCCTTGTAACTTCAAGTTCCATTCGTACTTGCGTGCAGTGTCGTCAACTTGTTTTCATTGGCTAAAATAAAAGTTGTTCAGCGATAGGATTGGCTAGAACCGCTGGAATACCCAAACAGGCTCTCTGTCGTGACTTGCGGTTTGTATGGAGACAGAATGTTGGTAACGTCCAGAGGGCATGTGGCAGAGGCTGGGCGCCGTGGGCTCGAGCACGTTCGTCGCACTTCCGATCCCGCGCCGTGCGGACGCCGCGTCATGGCTGCTGCGCTGTACCAACGGCAATCGGTATTCCAACCGTCACCTCTAGATGAAGAAGACGCATTGATCCTTTCCAACGACGACAAACGTTCGTCGTACGCAACAATCGAAGTGCCGAGTACCGTCAAGAGCATCTACTCGTCGTTCGTGACGGCCTTGGTAAGGATCGTTGCGTTGATGTTCGCTGTCCGTACGTGAAATGACGCGTATTCGATGCAGCTTTACGTGCCGTCCGTCATGGGTTGCTGATCCTGGCCGGTGGTGGCGACCAATTTCTTGACCGCATGCGTGGGTACGACTGCGTCGTCCAGCACGTTGCTGTTGTCCAAGAAGCTCGCGGTCCTCATCACCATGCTTCTCGTCGGATACACCATTCGATCTATGTTCCTTGGCGCGACCAAACGACGAGGCTACGGTGCGCAGTTCGTCCCATCTTCCCGCGAAATCTGACGAGCCGCGTCGTAGGCCCGTTCATGTTGTGCCTGTTTGCATTTCCACTCGTGATGGTGCAGCCCGTGCTGCAAGTCCTCCAGAGTTTACATTACTACAACTCGTACGCGCCGATGGTAGGCCCGTCCGCGTCGTCTATGTCGAACCAATGAGGCACGACGTTCGTAGACCAAGCTCATCAACGTGATCTCGTGGATGGGGCTCATTCAAATGTCGACGGCGTCGATGTGGAATGCCAGCTTGGATCAGTCCGTGCTGGCGTGGTGGAAGCAGCGTCAGCTGATGTCGTCGCCATTGCCGTCGCCGCGGTATATGCCCAACAAGCCCGTGACAGTCGTCGAAGAAGAGGAATGTGGTACCTGACAAGTGTAACGGGGTGGGTTTTGAGCCTCGACTTCATTCCTCCACCCATTTCCCCGCGGATGTCACGTCCTCGATGATTTGCCTACGCTTCAAGTCGCCAGGAAGTGCATGACAGCGTTCCCAGCACCCAACCCTTGCGTTGGATGGGCCCACTTGACAACTTCCTGACGAGCTCGACCACAATGACGACGTGGAGGCGGCAATTGAATGACGCAACGTGGACAAACCCTTTGCCCAAGGTGCCACCCTGCCGACCAAATGCGCGCCGCTTCCTTTGTCTTGTTTCACAGCCCCCGTGACTTGAAAATCAAAGTTCTCTTTCGATACCTGTCGTGTTCCATGGCTGCCCTGCGTGTGATGCCGACGCGACCGCGCCATGTTGGGGCGTCATGGGCAGCACGCGGGTGGTGGCGCCCCGTTTTTTCACTCATGACGCACTCAGGTGTTTTGAATTATTTCGTCTTGCGGCCATACACGGCGTACGACGTGAACTTGACGTGGGACGGCGTGTAAAATGGCACGTAAAATGCTCGGAAGAGGCGGTGGGAGGCCTCCGCGAGCAAGTACGGCTCGGCGTGGAGCTCGATCCAGTCCGCGTGCAAATCAAACCCAGGCTCGTCCGGGTGGGCCGACGCTGGTGGGACCGTGCGATCGACGACAAAGTCGCACGTGCTGAGCGGCACGTAGCGGGACGGTTCGTCCACGTTTTGGTCATTCATGTTGGGCGGTACGTTGTGGGTCGTGTTGAAGAACCCGGGGAGTTGCCCTCGAAACCCACTGCGGATAAAGTGCAGTCGTACGTGGTCGGGAAAGAAAAAATGGCTTGGAAACCGATGCCACTCCTTTCCAACGCACACAATCACGTGCGCATTCGGTACAGTCGGTTCGGCCGACGGCAGCACTTCCGTGGCCATGTGCTGGTAGAGCCGAATGGGGGCACCGTACTGCGTCGAGACACTCGCGACACGCATGACCGACAGCGTCGTGTACAAGATCAACGCGATTGCGACGACGACGGAGCCGAGTCGCCGAGGCAGCACGGCCGTGACGACGGCGTGGATGGCTTTGAGCGAGAATGCGGCCGCGGCGCAGACGAGCGGGTACACCGGGAATAGAAATCGCTCTTCTTTGTGCGCTTGCACGATCATGATCCCGAGCCAGATCCACAATGGCGATAGAAACAACGCTTGGCGCATCGTCTGTGCGCGGTGGCGGCCCATCGCCACCATGCCAACGGTCAAAGGGACGCTCACGAGAGCCAAGACGGCTGCGATGTTGGAATTGAGAACGAGATTCTGAGCGTAGTAGTGCCATGGCTCGATGCCGTACAGTTCAGACCCAGACGAGACAACGTTGTACACGACAATGTTCAGCGCGGGGAGGACGAGCTTGCGGTAGTAGAAGTAGTTGACGGCGAGTTCTGCCGCCAACACCAGCGACACGACGACGAGGCCGAATCGAATTGGGCGTACGACGCCAAACCGCACAATGGAGTCGAAGAAGAATGGCACGCACATCACCCCCACGTACGGCCACCCGCACAGGACGGCGGTGACGCCAGCGACGAGCGCGTTGACGCTGAATGACTTGTCCGACACCATCCACGCGTACGAGAACAGCATGAGGAGATACATGACAAACGAACTGGGGAGAAATGCCGTGCTCGCAAGGAACAGACCGCTGTTGAACGCGAGGAGCGCCAAGGTGTAGCGACCGACGACAGGTCCAAAGGCATGTACGATGCCGCGGTAGAAGAGAGCTTCCGACGCCGCGGAAATGAAGGCGAGAGCAACTCGCAACCCAAAGAAGAACCCCAGCTTTGTGTTGCCAAACACGAGAACCGCACCAAGTTTGGCTGGAATTGCGTGGGCTAGCAGGTACAAGTACGATCGCAACGCGTACGCAGGGCTGTACTCCCAAGTTTGCAGACCAAACCCATGCATGAGGTGGTGCAGCGGCTCCCAGTAATTGAACACTTCATCGCAGTCCGAGATGATATTGACAAGTGCCGACAACACACGCACGACGGCCAAGAGACTGAACGCCGAGTGAAAGTTTGGAGACCACAAACGCTTCTCGTCGTCGTCTACGCCATGAATCTTTTCATCTTGTTGCGTGTCCTTGACGGTGGACGCCGTCGGCGCGTTCTTCGTCGCGTTTCGCGATCGCATCGACGAAGTCATCGCGGTGTGCGGTTCGCTTGCTGCCACGCAACTTCCGGATGTACGCATTTCGGATACCTCATACCGCACGTTGATTGGATGAGACAATAACTATTATAGCCAATCCAAATGGATCACCAACCTCAAAACCCCCCAACCAACCAGGTGCCCAACCAACGGAACAGGGGCAAAGCAGCGCATCGTCACTGCCTGGAACGCATGAAAACTCATGCAAGCGAGTCCGTCTGGCTGCATTTAGGCATTGCCACCCGGTGTGGCGGCGCCAGCATGCTCTGAAATCAATGGGTTGTACACCGTACCCCGCTTCCTCTACCTTCAACGCTTCTGCGTCGAATCACAATGGCGAAGGATCGATCCAAACGCGGGTATTGAGCTCGCCCCTGGCAGATTGAAGGGCATTGAGAGCACGAGTGCAGTCGGTCGCAAGTCGAGTCGGCAGCGCAAGCCGGGCTCGGCAAATCCGCGAAACCCCCCCCCAGCCGTGGACGGCAAACGGTATTACTTACAAACCGCTGCTTTGTTTACAACTTTTGGACCAATCGGATTTGAACAACGTTTTTATTTTAGCCAATGAAATCGCCTCGCCTTGTTGGAGATCCAAATTTATCCCACCAACGTCAAGTGTTTCATTCCGGTATCGACTGCCATGAGTGCCGAGATCGCGGCGCCGTTCGACGACTTGACCGAAGTGATTCATGCGATGGGGTCGCCAGAGCGCGTCGTGGGTCGTGTCGCGCAGTCTGCCGATAGCGATGCTGTCGTTTCTCCGGTCCTGGTGCCTGTGGTCGACGAACCGGTTGTACCGCCGCCGCCTGCCCCTGCAGTGTCCAAGCTCACGAAGCCGACATCGTCCGTGGCGACGAAACAACTTCGTAAACCAGTGGTGAAAAAGGAGGACTCCACTGAAGTCGTTGCTTCCAAAGTCAAGACAACCCCTGTCACATCTCGACTTGCCCTCGGTGCAACCCGTCCGTCGTCCCGCTCGCACAAGACGAACCAACCCTCGGCAGAAGTCAAGCCGGCATTCTTCCTCATGCGACTTCCACGCGCCGTGTACTTGCCTCTCTTGTCTTATTTTCCCATTGACTCGCTCAAGAATCTGTCTGCCGTGAGTCCCGAGATGTATCACCTGGTCAACTCGCACTACACACATTGGGTAACCTCGCCGTCGTCGGACGCCGACCCCACGACGCAAAGCCTCCTAGCGGACGCCATGAGCAAAGTCCAAGATGCCCGTGTTGCCGCTCGCGACGCGCTCTCTAGTCTCGGAGACCTGGCCGTGTCGCTGAAGATCGAGGATCTGCGCGTTCTACGCACGTACCGCAACCCGCCACCCGCCGTGCTTCGTCTGTCCAAAGCGCTCGTTCAAGTGCTTCGATTTGCACCCCCGAAAGGCGGCATCGACGCGCGCGCGGCCGCTGGAGACTGGGGCGTCATCAAGACGCTGTTTCTCGACCTGAAGATCATCGTGAAGGCACTGAAGACCGCCGTCGACACGCTGACGCTGCCACACCCACCACCGCTATCCATCTCCCGCACTCACTTGGATGTGTTGGTCACGCTTGCGTACGGCCCCGAGCTGGAGGAAGCCAAGTTCAATCGCATATGCGCCGCGTTGGTGCCAACCCTTACGGCGACGCGCAAGGTCGCAGCCGCGATCAACGCAGAACTGCGGGCGCTCGATGTGACGCAGCTGTACAAGCGGCATGCCTCCGATGCTGTATCAGAAACCGACATCGCCGCAGTCATGGCCAAGCTGGTCACGCCTGTGCACGACGCCACGGCTCAGCCGGAAGCGAGTCCCGCGACGAGTCCCACCCATGCCACAGCAAAGCCAAAGCCTTCAACAACATCGCGACTTGTCCCCAAGTCCACGATCGCGCTCAAGAGACCAGCTGTGGCCATCGAAATGCCCAAACCTGCGGTCGACAAGAGCTCGAGTGTTCCTCGCAAAGGCACCCCACGACCAGCTAGTGCCGTGCCTCGTCCTCGCCTCCAAGCATCGACTGTCGCGGTAGAAGATGCCGCAACGTCGTCGTCGAATGCGTCGACGCCTCGTGCTGCCGCTCGAGGTAAAAGCGTGTCTTGATTTTCGTTCACGCCGTGGAAAAGACAGATTCCCATGTCACTCGGTGTAGGCGCGGTGGCGAAGAAGGTCGGTATGGAGCACAGCAAGGGAACGCCTTCCATCAAGAAAGCAGCCCCTGTCGACGCGGCAGCCACCGGTTCCGAGCCCCGAGGTACTCGACGCCGGAAGGATGTCGATCTTTAGCTGTTGAATAGTGATCCCAAAGCGTACGCCGCTATCTTCACGCGCGGTGCCGTCCAAGGCTGTCTCCGTGGTGGCAAAGCGCACGAGCTTGAGCGCAGACGCCACCAGTCGCGAAGGAACGAAGGCAACCGTGTCGCCCGCGTCGCCCGCAACGTCGATGGCATCGTTGCGCGCGGATCTGGAAAAAGCGGTCAAGGACTTGCAGAGTCGAACAGAAGCTCTGGAAGCCCAAGGCGTCCAAGTCGCGGCGCTCGCGGACGCCAAGGCGGCATTGGAGGACCAGCTCAAGCAGACACTGGACCAACTCGCGGATGTCAAAATCCAATGGGAACTGAGCCAAAAGGAAGTGCAGACGCAGCAAGCGATGCTTCTCGAGGTCAAATGCGTGCAGGAAACGCTCCAGTTCCGCGTGAATGAAATGGCGACGGTGGACGCGGCGCGATCGGCCGAGTTGGACGCGCTCGCGTTGGAAAAGGAACAGCTTTTGCTCGACGTGAAGGCTGCGCAGACCCAAGTCGCGCAAAGCGAGGCCGAGGCGGCGGAAAAGGCCAAGGCGCTGGCCGACGCCGAGGACCGCTATGCCCAGCGCGAACTCGACTTGCGCGAGAGCCTTCTCAAGTCCGCCGAGAAGGACCGCGAAGCGCTCGTGGCGCAGATGGCATCATTGAAGAGGGAGATGGAGACTTTGCAAGCAGAGCACCATCACGAGCTCGAGAGTACGTAAATTACGCCACACAGCCAGGCAGGGAGCGCGCGGCGTATGTAGCTGCTGTCGCCAATATACATTTCGCTACCTACTTGCGCATGGCGTTCGTGGTGTCTAAAGTTGTCGTGGCTCGTGTAGTCAAGCAGCGGCGCCTCGAACAAGCCATGGAGGAGAAGGAGCACCTCGGCGCGTCCGTCGCGCAGCATCATCGGTGGGTGTTGCAACCGACATTTGGTCGTTACACCTCTGACGGACGTTTCGGTAGTTTCGTCACGGCAGTGCAAGCGGAGAAGGCCAACCTGGTGGCCACCTTGCAAGCAGCGCAGTCCAACACGTTCAGCCTCGGCCAGACCGTTGTGCAGCTCCAGGACGAGCTCGCGCGCGAAAAGAAGCGCGTGGCGGCCGCCGAACTCGCGTACGAGGAATCGTTGCGGTGGCACGACGCCCAAGGTTCGCACCACCAACCCGACGCCGAGCCCATCGCACTCGTCGACGTCGTCCCGTCCCAGCCTTGATTGTACAAAGAGTTGGAGCCATGTTGAATGTGTTATTCCGACGATTTGGCTTTGCGATGCCGGTCGACCGTCCGCGTCGACGACAGCTCGAACGAGGTCGAGTGGCACTCGGCAACGCATCGAAACGTATCGATGGGGGTGCGAGGGGCGTGAAGGGAAGGTTGGTTGGGCACGTCGCAGTCGGCCGGCGACTGCAGAAAACAAAAGGCCTGCCACCAGCACGTGGATGAGGAACGACAAATGCCAGCGCGCCGCCGCGTACCCGAAAGTAAAACGGAAATGTCTCGGCGGGCATCGACCGCGTTGCCTTGCGCTTTTTTCGCAGGAGCGGCTGCAGTTTCCACACGTCGGGCAAAAACATCCATGTGCTTTTGCAGCCGCCGCCGTCGACCGACGTGCCATTCTAACGCCGGCAACGCCTTGGATGAGACACACGGTGGCGGCAAATGCCGACGGGGCCCTACCTAGCACGGCACACGGCATCGAGGGACACGACGTACCTCAAGTTGCGACGCATCGTAGCCGTCTTGGCGAAAGGCGTGCCATTCCCCCAGGCCGCGGAGAACGGGCGGCGTTTCCATCGAACACCCGGGGGAGATTTGTTCGATGCGCCCGATCACGTGGATGTGGGGGAGCCAGACCGGGCTGTGGAGTTCGCAATGAACCGGCGTGCGGCAGACACCGATCGACGCATGCTTCTTGCCTTGGAGCTTCATGTCATGAAAGTCGCCATGCTCCGGGCAAAACGGAAAGCACTGCAAGTTCTTGCGGCCGTTTTTCCAGTACCGTGGGAGGAATGGCGTGGTCAGGCGAAGGTGAAAGCGACTCGCGTCGAGTGGCGGTGGATGCAGATGCAATGGAGACAGGGGCCCGCTGCCTCCATACGGCGGCGGCGGCGGCGGCTGGTGCGACAAGTTGAGGTCCGCTGCAAACGCCAAGTCCAAGTTGTGAAAGAACATGGCGTCGTTCGGGTCGTCGTCATCATCGTGCTTGTTGGTCTCGTCATCCAGAGCGGAGGACGGCCCGCGCTTGCCGCCGGTCGTGGGATCGTGCGGGGACAGATCTTGTCGACAAAGGGCAGACACAAGAAAGGCCGCCGTGTCGTCGTCGACGGTCGCCATGGAAATGCAAGAGTGACAAGATCGCGGCGATGAAAGGACTTCACGCAGCGTCCCACGCCGTTCCCGAACGTTGGACAAACGGCGCGTTCAACTCGGCGAGGGAATGCAGAAAAGAAAGCGCGCGGGGGGGTGGCGGTCGGACGAATTGGAGAAGGCTCCTGTCGATCGCGTTGCGACGAGATCTGGGGAGGAGTTGGTGTCAAAGGCGAGTCTTTTGCCAAGAGCGTCCACGGTCCCGCACGCCGTGTGGAGGGGCGCCGAAGACTTCCGTCGAGCGATTACCTGGACGTGTCACATGGTGCGGCGCGAACATTGCTTGGAGGAATCACGTCACGAGAGGCATCCAAGCAACAACAATTCGTATTGTCGAACGCTTCCCCTCCGCCGCCATCTCCCTCGCTGTCGACGACGTTGCAAGGCGATGCCGTCGTCTTGCGACACCCCGAACCAAGTGGCAGTAGCCACGACGACGCAGTAGCTTCATCCACTCGAAGCGGGGGGATGTTTCGGGGGCACATCCCCCATGGCACCATGGAAAAACCTACATCGAGGGGCTCATCGCCCGCGCCATTCCAGTTGGAGCAAGCCGTCGACTCGACGATCGGGGGCAACTTGGCAACGGCCGTCGCCGGTTATCCGAAAATTGTCCGGATACGACGACAAGTTGACGCAAAGTCAGTCGATCAGAACATGTCGAGCCACCACCCGACGTACACCCTGGCTGCCTTGATGGTACAGCAGCCTGCAAGGCGCCTCGTGTGCTTACGATGACGTGTAGGCCCTTGGCGGTGTCATGGGCTACGTGAAGCGCAGGTCTGTGATCTCTCTTGTGGCGGGTGTTGGTGTTGGCGCCGGGTTTGGCTTTGCAGGGTACCTGCTGCAACAAGGTCAAATGACGAACGGCCACGCGACTGCGCTCGCGCTGAGCTCGGTCACGATGGCCGCCATGGGTGTCCGCGCCATCAAGACCAAGGCCACCGTTCCCATCGTCGTTTCGTCGCTGTGCGCTGTCTCGGCCGCGTACCATGCCCAAAAGTATTTTGAATGGGCCGGGCAAGAATAGCACGTCCCGACCGTGTGCTTTGTGCACGAGAGTGAACCCGGTGGCATCCGCCGTGCTCCCTCCACGTTTGCCGTGTTTCTAGCGATCCCCAACTCGGGGCGGCAACACTGAATGCATACATTACTCCTCCTCGAGCACCCCCTTTCCATCGCACAAGAGGTGGTGGCGTCGGCACTGACGATGTGCCAGTGGCCTCTACACGCTGTCCGGGACGTATGATGCCGGATTGTTGTTGGCAACGGATGCGACGCACGCCGCCAGCATATCGTCGAACATGACGCCCGGCATGTCCTTGGTCAGGTATATCTTGTCCATCTGCAACGACAACACGGATGGACTCGCATCGACGCCCGTCGTATCTTTCGGAGGGGCGGCGCTTCCAACGTCCTCTCTGCGACCTGCTTGGTCTTGAAACGCAAACAGGTTGGTGTAGCCAACGGATGACGATGGAGGGATCGCAATCGGCCCAGTCGTCGACGCTTGAGGCGTCGACGGCGGTGTGAAGCTGACCGAGGACGCGCTCGACGTCGACGCGCTGCGCGTGAACTCCGGGACGCCTTCGGGGTCTCCCCGAAGTCCAGGCGAAAATGCAATCTCGACGCGGAACCGGTTCTCGTCGTCCTCCTGCTCGGCAATACCCATGAGGTGCCCTCCATCGTTCGTACCATTCAGCCATACGTACAGCCAACGACGGGGCTTCGAACACGCGGATGATGATGTGGGCAAGGTAATCGAGCTCCGAGACACTATCGAGGGCCTGGATCGCGTCGGGGGTAATCATTTTGGCCACGTCGAACGAATACTTGCGCTTGGGGAGAGTTGGGGCATCGTCCGGACGCTGCGACGTCGTCTCGGACGAAGTGGGCATCGTGTTGATGCCCATGGCAGCCAAGAGGGCGTTGGCAACGTCCTCTTCCGTCGCTGCGTTCGAGTTCAATGTCGTTGCATGGGATGCCGACTGCTGTCGCTCGACCCACGCCGGACACTGGTGGCGCAGTACATTGAGCAGCGTGTGCATGTGGCTCTCGCTCGTAAAGTACAGACGCGTGCGCACTTGCGTGCCAGGGCTCTTGATGCGCAACTCCTTGGCGAACGACGGATCCAACCGATATCCATTGTGCTCCAAGCTCTCGGCGTCTTCCGGATCGTCCATCGCAGTGCACAGCGGCAGGAACGACTTGCCGCCAAACATGCTGTTGACCACACTCGGCTTTTCCTCGCGCTGGATCGTCATGGCCGTCGCAATATCTACACACATCATCCATGACCCGGCACCACAATGACGGCTGCGCACCTGCTCGAATCTTGGCGCACAATGCCTGGGACACCTTGATTCCGATCGACTGCTTCTCAGCAATGTCCATTCCTAAGCATGGCACACACCCGTCAAATGTGGTCCCGATCCGTCACACTACCGCCGCAGGGGCGACGGCCTCACCGTATTCCTGGGGCACGTAGCACGCGACAAAGAGCTCCGCCATGTTGAAGAGCGCGCGGCCGTATTTGGTCGTGGCATGGGTGCCGTTCAAGTTGTGGAGCATGTCGTACTTGATGCAGTCGTAAATGTCGGGCAGTTTGCTCAGGTCGTACTCTTGCGACTTGGCCGAGTAAAAGTCGCGGTGGAGCTTGTCCCATCGCTCGCTCATCAGCGAGTACGTCTCGCCCATGTAGAGCTCGTTGAATCGGTCGTCGTTGAGGCTCAGCGCGGTCTTCTCGGCCTCCGCCGCCAGTTCCTTGATCTCGAGCTTCATTTGGCGAATCAGCTCGTACAACTTGCCGAGCGCTTCCTTGGGGTTCTGCAGTCGATGGAGCGCATCCACGATCGATTTCGTGCCGAGCGGTGCCACGCAAGCGACCAAGTCGTCCCACGAAGCGTAATCTTGCTGGATGACACGGCGCAGCTTGGCTTTCGTGCGTTCGATTTCTTCGTTCGCGTCGGCTTGGCCCGAGTGGTCGAGCATCTTGTTGGCGTCCTTGTCTAGAGTCGTGACGAGGCTGACCAGGATGGGCGTCAAGTCGCCTTCAAGCTCCAAGAACCCCTTGGCAAATGCCGCGGCCGTCATCTGGACGCGGCCTTCGTCCGACGTAAAGATCTTGAGGTCGTGGCGGAAGGTGGAGTGCAAGCGCAGCAACCCACCTACGCGGCATGGATTATGTATTTGACGCGCTTTGAACAGCGCGGGTACCTTCTTCAACGGGATACAGCTCGTTGCGAAAGCGGTTGCCGAGCAATTCTCCCTGCCGTTTGCCCGTTTCCGTCAAGTCGCCGCCCCATTTCATGATCAAAAGCAGCTCGGAGTTTGCCCCGGACGACGGCGGCATGTACTCGCGACGCGGCTTGAATTGCACCTTGCGGTTGATTCCGGCAAACTTCCACCGTTCCAACACGCGCTTGATCTGAAGCAGCTTTTCAAAGCTGTCGCCGCCTACACAGCGCGTGAGCTGCAACGCACATGCACGAGCGGCCTTGCCTTCCTTCTCCCACACCATGCCTTTCGACCCGACGTTCGGGGCGTACTCCTTGATGAGCGTGCGTACAATGTCGAGGAGTTCCTGCAGATCCAGCACAGCCTTGACCTTGACTTCGTCAAACTTGTCCTTGGTCCGGCGCTTTTCGTAAAAGTTGACGAGCGCCGGCTCCCATACACGTGTCTTGAGCTTTTGCTTGGGGGTGCGGTCGCCATGGCGCTGACGAAATGCCCGAGGGTTAGCCCTCGGATCCATCTGACCTGCGTTCATCTCGACCTACCACGACGGCGATGACGGCACGTAGCTCTTCCTTCTTCTCGAGCCAATGCATCATTTCATCAGCGGACGCATTTGAGCTCGTGCGCGAGTGGTGGAGCGGCTGGGGCGACCCAAACGAGTTCTGCATGTCAAACGGGTCGGACGGCGAGCTGTGAGACGACGCAATCGAGTTTTCTCGAATCGGGAGAAAAGGATGGTGGTCGGGGTGTGGTGGCGGCGCCTGGTTGAGCAGCAGCGGCGTCGGCTCTGTCGCGTACTGCGACGCCCCCACGTGGGGGGAAAATCCCATCCCGCCTTTCGGAGACAACTTGTACCGCGGACTCGGCGACCGTCGGTGGTGGCGGTACCGGAGCGCCGTGAGGAGGTAGTTGTGGAGGACGAGACCGCAGTCGTCGTAGTACTTTTTCGAGTTTTTCACAAAGCTCCACCCGTTCACGTCGCACACGAACGACGTTCCGCGCACGCGAAGCAAGTCGAAGCCACACACGGTTTGCTGGAACGCGAGGCACACCTTGCGCGCAATGTCCTTCTCGATCGAGTTCAGGATAACGGGGTAACGAACTTCTTTGCCGACGCTGTCGCGCATCACGCGGCCGTCGAGGACGGGCGACTTGCGCGCTTCCGCGTGGCCATAGTTGGGGCCAACCGTGTACACTTTGACATCCGTTCCTTGCGTGTTCAGGAATTCCTCGTATATGTACGACCCTTCGCGACGAACCTAATGCAGATAAATGAGGTCGACTGCGGCAGGACGAGCTGTACGTGGTGGACGTCCGGGTAGAACTCGGACGATCGGTCGCCGACTTTGCGGAAGAGCCGCTTGCTGCCGCCACCAGCGCTCGACGGGTAGTAGATATAAATGTTGTGGTCTTCTGCGTCCGCGGGCTTTTCGACAAACGGCTTGTTGATCTGGACGCCGTTCACGATGACGTAGTTTTCGCTCTCTTCGAGGATGTCGGGGTTGGGACAGTCGCGGTTCACGATGGCGTGGCGGGGAACGTTTACGCCGTTGCGGATGAGCACTTCGTACACTTTCCGTCGATCAAATAGCACGTGTTGCATGCTAAGGTCGTTGACGAGCACGGGGCGGCGGAGGTGGACGTAGCTCTCAGCTTTCGCAAGGGGGAACCCTGTCGAGTAGAAACTGAAGATGGCTTCACAGATCGGCCATTCCTCAATCGGGTGATTCAAGATCATGTCGTCCGTGAAGATGACCAGGTCAAACTGTTTCTTTTTGACGAGGCGGCGCAGGATTTCTTGCATCGGCTTGGACCGCGACTTCTTCTCCATCGCGCACACACCGACAACGTACCGCCGCTGCGCGCGGCTCTGGAAGCCCGGGTGGTTCGGGTCTTCCTCCGACCCTATCGATGACGACACGAACGAGTGCGACGCCATCTCGACCGCCACGATGTCGACCGCTGTGTCGGTGGAATCGCCGAATCTCAACTAATGCCACTCTGCGGACCAATGGGGCATCGTCCAAGATGGGGAGGTCCATGGTTCCACCAATCAGAGGCATTGGAAACTTAGTGGCGACACCGGATTGGCTAATAAAGATTTGGAACAACGCAACCTGGGGTTGCCGCGTCAAGAATGGAGGTGCCTGGCGATTCCACCATGGATGCGAACCAGCCTGCGCGAACGGAGCAAAGCACCAAGCCCGTCCACCGCTATCCCGTTGTCGACGCCTTTGGTCGTACTTGCACGATTCGAGACAACTACACATTCAAATGGATGCGAGGACGCGTTTGCATGTCGCGGAAACGACCGTGTGTCATCGACACGTGTTACGCGAATGGAGCGGTCGACACCGCCTCAAACGGACAAGCGACATGGATGGCACGAAGGCTTTGCACACGAGCTGATAGGTGCATACTGTCACGCGGCAAGTGGCTCGTGGAGGCCGCCCAGCAGACAGTGACTTCAATGACAACGCATGATGCGATGGTTTATTAACATCATTATTGTCGATTTAAAGAGACGATTGGCTGAAATTTCAATGTATTTTGACCAACCACAACGGTCGAGTTCAATAGAGGTATATCCTGGAAGTGATGCACCCATTTCACGAGCATGCTGAAGCGATTGCTTGTGGTTGGCGGTTCTGGCGCGCTTGGCCGCGGTGTGGCAGCGCGCTTTAAGGCGGCCAAGTGGTCTGTGATCAACGTCGACTTTGTGTAAGTTCATGGCATTCCTCTACAACTCCTCCATTCAATGAGCCTCCTGGGTCGACCATGACACAGGACCAACGACAACGACGATCTCTTGAATGTCACTTTGGATGCGAGTAAGAGCACGCTGCAACAATTGCCCAAAGTCGTGGAAGGGCTGAAGAACAAGTAAGTTCTCGGATGTTGAATCGCTTGGTCATGACACAACTTTTGTGTACAGGAAAGTCGATGCTGTGGTGTGTGCTGCAGGGGGCTGGGCCGGTGGAAACGTTGCCAGCCAGGACGCCGTCCACAATCTGGCGCAAATGTACACGATGAACATGGAGTCCGCGCTTCTCGGTAGAATCCCCTCCCTTGGCATTTGTTTCACATACGAGATAGCTGCCCATGTGGCCGCAACCTCGTTGAATCCTCACGGCCTGCTTGTCTTGACCGGATCTGCTGCTGCTTTGACCGGTACGCGGCACCGCTTCCAGCCACAGTTCTGTGTCTGAATAATGTGGTGCCGTGGTTGTAGCCACGCCAGAAATGGTTACGTACGGCATGAGCAAAGCCGCGACCCACCACTTGGTCGCGAGTGCAGTGTACGGTGCCGCACCCCCGGCTTGGCATGACGATGGTTTCTAGACCAACCCTCCCTCCCGGCGCTACGTCGCTGGCTATCTTGCCCATCACCATCGACACCCCAACGAATCGAAAGTTTATGGCCGACGCCGACTTCTCCACGTGGACTCCAGTACGTCGGTCCGTCTTTCTTCGCTCACGATCGCAACAGGTCGACGAAATTGCGCAGCAATTGCTGTCGTGGTCCATGGACCCATCAACTCGCCCGGCATCGGGGCATCTCGTCCAAGTGACGACGAGCCGTGGCCAGTCGACGTGGACGCCAAAGGGGAATCCATTTGCCTAAACGGCACGAGCTAGTGGAGTTGACGTTCTTTCGTCTCCAGATTTCACAGGCACATTCCATGACACACGTCCATGCCTTGTTATGCCCAAAATTTCTTGGTCTTATTCCCACCTACATGACAACACACGACCGTCGACAGATCAATCGCCGCAAATCCGGCGCAACTTCGCTGACGACTGTGATCTCTTCAGGGCACCGCACGTCCAGGATCTTGATGCTGCCTTGGCGCAAACACACGAGCGCCAGGCAGTCCGTTGTGACATGCACACTAGTCACGTCAGCGTCTGCTGCCACGTACGACCCGAGTCGCTCAAACCCGTGGAGTCGACTGAAACGCAGGATGCAGAGGCCACCGGGACCTAGTGCCACGTACACGTGGTGGCCAACGACTTGGACGCAGTTGGCAGCGTACGAGGACGGAAACGAGTGCGACGCGACCTCAACGGGATGGAATGGATTGCTCACGTCAAGGACTTTGAGCCCGCCGTAGCTGAACGCGACGAATAGAAAAGACGAAAGCAGCGCCATGTGTCGAGCGTCGAACGTGCCGTGGGCGTACGAACTGATCTCGCAGGGCAAACTCGCATTCGTGACATCGAGGATCCGAATGCCGCCGGGACCAAAGCTCACGTAGCCCCATCCGTCCTGCAGCAGGACAAACCGTGCTTCATGGAGCTTGTCGTCTTTGAATCCTCCGAGCTCGACAGGGCTGCTTGGATTTGCAACGTCCAAAACACGCACGCCGGCTTGACCGAACGTGACCAGCGCGATGTCTCCTTGCACCGCGATGCACTTGGCACTGCAACGTGGATGGACGAGGGCGCCGATTTCGTCAATCGCCGCGTCGATACTGGTGAATATCCGCAGACCCGACCTCCCGCACGCAGTGTACACAATGCGCCTGTCGATGGTGAAGTGTTTCAGCTTCATGCCTCCTTGACCTTCGAGGAACTCTGCGACAACTTGTGGGCACTCGGGCGTCGTGATGTCGATCACAAGCATGCCGTACACCCCCAGCGATAAGTATGCCTTGGTGGTGTCGCCCAACGCTTCAATATGGGCCCACTTCACCCTGCATCGAAATGTACTGGTCAAGCCAAGTTGATCCTGCACCGTACTTGTAATCATGGACAAAATGTCCGCCATCGTTCGTGCCGTCGGCCGCCACAATGCAGAAGATCTTTCGTCGAAACGGTGTCTCGTACACTATTTGACGTCAAGGCGAGTCGATGCACAGTAATTTACGTACTCTATATAGTGTGGTTCCGAACAAATCGTCAACTCATCGCTTGTCGATGAGCGCCGCTGATCCGAGCAGCATCAACCCTTCGAAAGGAAAGGGAAAGATACAGGCCAGAGGCGGCGCTACCTCGAATGCAAAGAGTGGGGACAACTTGTATGCGTGGAATGAAGATCGTGTGAATGAAATCCGCACGAACAAGCAGTGGAGCCAAGACCCAAAGTACTTTCGACGGGTGCAGGTATCCCCATCTGCAACGATGAAGATGCTGTCACACGCCCAGTCGGGTGTGGAAAAAGGCATGAGCTCGCCAGGAGGCAAGCCCGTAGAAGTGATGGGTTTGCTTTTGGGACGCCCGTCCACAGACCCCGCGAATCTCAACACTCTCATCGTCACGGATGCATTCCCGTTGCCGATCGAAGGTGCTGAAACCAAAGTGTTGGCCGACGACCAAGAAGTAATGAACTACATGATTACACTGGGGGAAGCGATCGAAACGACGCGCAAGGAGAAGTTCATGGGGTGGTATCACAGCCACCCCTTCGACGTCGAAGTTACGTCCCATTGCTTCCTCAGCAGCACCGACTTGAGCACCCAGCTTCAGTGGCAGCGGTCGGAAGACCCCCACGGGAACCCGTGGCTCGCCATCGTCATAGACCCTCTCCGATCTCTCGCGAAGAAACGACCGGAAATGGGCGCTTTCCGTGCATATCCACCAGAGTTTGCCGCGCCAGTCAACGAAACCCCCGACGGACAGATCGTGACGGACGACACAGCTCGCGTTGAGCGGTGGGGCAGCTGCTGGAATCGGTTCGCTTGGCCTTCCGTGGATCGCTCTCATGGACACGACGTAGGTACTATGCGCTCGAGATCGAGTACTTTATGAGCACGTTGGGCGCGAATGTCCTCGGTGTTCTCAGCGAAAAATTTCTGTGGATGCGAACTTTGAGCTCGACGCCGACGTTGGAACGAGAAAACCGCGAACGATTCTCGGAACGCATCGTCGGGTTGGCCACCAAGTTGGACGGGTGCGACGCCTCCGTGAGCCACACCAAGAGCTACCCGTGTACGACCGACCGTCCCCTCTTACTTGCTGCCGACTCATGCGCTCTTTGTAGCTCGAATGAACCTTGGGTATTACGTCCCGGATGCGATCAAGCCGTCGGCGGCGGCCAACGAAGAGTCGGCGCTCGACAAGTGCACCCAAGCTGCCAACGATTTGTCCATCGAGCAACTGCATGGGCAATCTTTGCAAGTCGCCAAGCAGTTTTTATTCAACTAAAGGGCAAACATATCTTGTGCGTTCGTTGCTGCAAATTCGTCTCGGCATGGCTCAGCAACGGGCGACCGCATCTCGAGGTTGTGTTGTCTTTTGTGGGCGACACTCTCTCGCCTACCGTCGACTCCGGGATCCTGTTTTGTTGGTTCCAGGCATGTTGGACGTAAAAAGAGCTTCCGCCAGGCGCTCCCGCGCTTCGAGCTCTTCGTCCTGCCTGGCAAATTCCCGTCGATGCTCCAAGTTGACAGGCACAACGTTCGTGAATTTCGTGACGAGGCGACGGCGCACAGGCATGGCCACGACGTGATTCTTGCGGAACTTCTTTGCGTTGTACGCGGTGGATGGCGGCGGCGGCCGAAGCGACGCGGTGTTTCGGGGCAGGTACCGGACGTGGGCTGTGATGTCGATGCCTTCGTTGTGATGGGCTGGGGTTCCTTGGGAACTTGAGCGGCGAACGACGAGCGGCTCGAAGACAACAACGGCCGCACCAATGCATACTTCTGTTTCTTCAGGATTTTCCACTGGTGCTTGACGGTGCTCTCCAAACGTTCGCTTCAACGGTTTACGTCTCCAGTCCACGTCATTGGATGGGTGGCAGGGTAGGTCGAATGCGATGGGGCGCGCAGGTGGCTCTGGACGTTGGGGTGGCCGTGTGGAATTGCTTTCGATAGAGAGAGGGTCGTCGTGGTGTGCTGGAAGGGTGGCGTGAGCTAAATGGAGGTTTGCGCGATGGCGTTTGTCCTGCTGACCCGTGGCAGAGTGTTTCAAAAGAGACTACACGACAGCAGGTCAACGAAGGCTCAAAGGAATTCTTGTACACTGTCCGAGATGAAATATACCTTGGACGAGCAGCGCGTTTCCGCCACCGAGTCGTCAAGAGTTTCGGCCGATGCAGGAGGAGCTTGGTTCTCGAGAACGATGCGGTCGGATGCCCGTGGTGGCTTCAAAGACTGGAATATTGGCACGGAAGGATCCATGGATCGAATATGCCTTCCGAGCTCTTGCCTCGTTGAAAGAGATGACTTGCTCGGTTGCAGGACGTCCGCTGGCGACGGCTCGGCGAGTTGCCTCGTTGGAATCTCCAACACTCGACGCGGTCGTGGCTGGGGTGTCTCCTCAACAGACTGGTTGGCGCATTCGTCCAAAGCGTTGGCTGCTGCTTGCACCGACGCAACGGAAGCCGACTCGGACACGATTTGATGGTGCAACGTTGGTCCGATCAACTGCGACACAGTCTCGTCCGACATGGTGGTTGGGGGCTTGGTGAAGATAATGCTGGCCGCAAGTTCTTGATGGAGAACCAAGGCAAAATGCGCCGCTTGAAAGTGCTGCAGTCGCCGCAGCAAGGCAGAATCCCATTCACATGGAGTGGCACCACGTCCCTGCCTTGAGCAGGACTGGAAGGATGACGTTTGTTTCGTTGGGTGGGTGGATGGCTGTTGTTTTTCCGACGCGACCCCGCCATCTCCTGATGTGCTTGGATAGACGATGACTACGTGATCACGGGAGGACTTGCGAAGATAGTCGACAAGGAATTCATCGCTCTCGTGGGACGTGTACGCTGGGAACACTTCGCCCCCCATGACAGGAAGGAGCGATTCCATTGATGATGGCGTGAGGAAAACGACCAGGAAGTTGCTGTAGAGCGAAAAGCGGCGGGGATCGGGTGAGTACGATGGCAGTACCTTCTCCTGTGTTTGAGCTATATGGTGAGATGTATACAAGGGAGCGAGAGTACGTACTTCGGTGGCGGACAAAGCGTCGGGCTGGGGAAGGAATGCCTCGCAAGATGGAAGTTCCTCTGCCATGGACTTCCGTCGCAAGACTGCTTGGACCCACTCGGACGATACAATCGGGTGATTATGCACCATTGCCCACAGAACCTTTTCCGTCGCGACAAACTTGCCAGAGTCCGTGATGCAGTAGTTGACATCGTCAACGGCCGCGGTCACGTGATGTATTCCAATCGCCTTGCATCCCTCCAGGAGCTTCTTTCGGTTCGCTTTCTGAATGCGAGACGTTCGCGCGACCTAAGCGCACCATGGGAAGAGGCGCCAGTGGTGGCATGGAGCACCGTACCATCTTCAGGTACCGCACTCGGAGGATTGTGCTTTTGGCACCAAACGAAATCTTGTCCCCTGCTCGAAGCGGCATCGGTGTGTTCGGATTCACTTGCACGTCGTTCAGGTACGTCCCAAAGCGGGATTTTTTGTCGATGAGGACAAACGACGGCAGCTCCGCGACGTTTTCCAGATCCTCGAGCCCGCCCACTTGAAACTCGGCATGGCTGCGCGAGATGGACTTATCCTTCGGGAAGTTGAACACGTTCCCGCTGCGCCCTAATGTCCACTCTCCTTGTACCAGGTGCAACGACATGGACTCCGACTCGACGTCCAGCACCCACATGAACAGGTTTGGCGCGCGCGTTGCGATGGAACTTGCTGCCACAACAACAATCGTGATGGAAAGCCGGATAACATATTCGTATCCGGTATTTTAACTTGGCATGGCATTTCCACAGCATTCCACGGCTGGGCAGATCATGCGAGTCCAAGTAGTGGTGGAGCTGCTTCCACAGCGCTCGACGGTGTGCCTCTCCTTCGATCAATGTGACGTGACTGCAGAACATGTCAAGACGCAGCTGAATGTACGTTTGCATCTACCTTTTTCTCGTCCTGACGCAATGAGATCGCAGATTCAAATGTGTGTCCCCATGAGCCTTGTTCAACTCCTCCACGGAACAACGCTCCTGGGCAACTCGTGCGAAGTGCCCCATGCTCCAAATGTCCTTCGTGCAGTATGTGGTCGCGGTCTTTCGGGTGGGAAAGGCGGGTTTGGTGCCATGCTTCGCAGTCAAGGCAAGGGCGCGGGGGCCAAAGCAACACGAGACTTTGGGTCGTGCCGCGATCTCAGTGGCCGTCGCTTGCGCCACGTGAACCAAGAAATCGCCATCAAGAAGTGGAATGACGAAGAAGGACTCCGTGCGCAGCGCAAGAAGGATGGCGTGGAAGACCGTGAGCTTCCAATGGAGGAGACCCCGAGCGGCATTGCTGGGTGGCACTTGAGTACTCCGACGTGGGCCGAAGGGTTTGGGAAAAAAGCGTCATCTCGCATGAAGAGGAAACGAAAAACGGTCATGTGCACGAGTTGGATCCAAGCCCGAGCGCGGGCGACACCTCCGCCAGGTGCCCGACGCGACTGGGGGTGCCCCCGCGGCCGCAACTGCAACTACGCCCACGGAGAAGAGGAACTGCGTGGCGAAGAGCTGACATTGTACAAGCAGCAGCAAAAAGAGAAAGCTCAGCGCGAAACGGACCAAGCTCGGGAGCATTACGTTCACGCAATGGCCCCCGCCGACATTGAAGCCGACGTGAATGACGCGTTTTTGGCAGGTTTGCGGCAGCGCAAGGCCCTTCAAGCGTCTCAAGATGCGATCAAGCTCGAGCTACAGACGAAGATGGTGTACACCCCTGGCGATACCAAGTGGGGCACGTCGACCCTCGCGTCTCGCGCCGGTGCCTGGCTCGTCCCGCTCAACGGGAACGTCCATGTGGAGCAGTCGACACCCGAGCTCAACGCGACCGTCGAAGGCCGAGGGACGTTTGGGACGGCCACCGTGTTTGGATGTGCGCTGCATCAAGGCAAATGGTAGCTACCCTACTGAGATCGACGTGGCTGCTGATGGAGCGTGATGGTTCAGGTACTACGAAGTCGAGCTCGTGACCTCCGGCGTGATTCAGCTGGGGTGGGCCGACGCAACGTTCGAAGCGGATGACGACGAAGGCGACGGTGTCGGGGACCACATCGCGTCCTGGGCGTACGATGGATGTCGGCAGGTCAAGTGGACAAACGGCGAATCGGTCGAATTTGGAGACATGTGGAGCGCAGGCGATGTGATCGGGTGCGCTGTCGACATTGGAGCTGGCGAGATTTCGTTTTCTCGAAATGGCGTGCCGCTGGGGGTGGCGTTCGTTGGCATCGAGGCGAGTGAAGCGTCGAGTGTGCAGACAGGTGGGCTCTTCCCAGCGTTCAGCTTGGAGGAGCACGAGCGCATTCGAGTCAATATTGGCGACCACAAGCTATTGCACATACCCGACTCGTACTTGCCCGTGTTGAACGCGTTGGTGGGAGAGACTGCACCACCCTCATGCGAACGTGTGTGCCATGCGATCCCTGCTCCCATGGTCGCCGTGGCGTCCCCGCAGAAATTTGTGCTGCCTGCGGACGCAGGAATGTCCCTTCCCTCCCCAACCAAGGACACGGTGCAGCAAAACGACAAATGTCCTCACGTTGCAGACGAAGTGGAAGGGGTGCTGGAAGATTTGATGTCGTTCGAGTCCATCGATGACCTGAAAGCGCTTGGGATGGACAAGCTGAAGGACCAACTCAAGCGTCGTGGGCTCAAGTGCGGGTATGGCACTTGAGAAATGGAAATTGTGTACGTCTGTATGGTAGGGGCACATTGGAGCAGCGCGCCGAGCGATTGTTTTCGATTCGAGGCAAACACGCACAGGACATTCCTGGCAGCGTCAAAGCCAAAGCGTAAACAGAATACGCCACATCCAGCATATGTGAAAGCCAAGGCGAGGATTCGAGTCCACATCGTTCTGTTGTACATGCACTAATTTTGCCACGTTCTTCTAATGATGATGGTGCTTTGGACCCACGGGCGTCGGCTTCAAACTCAAGCTCGGCACGAACGAGCGATGGGGTTTGGCGGGTTGACGAAGCAGAGCAGGGCCAGAGGGTGGCGGAGGCGGCGGAGGAGGAGGTTGGTTGTGGAATAGCATCGCGAGGGACGCGACCGACGATGACGTCGAACGTGGGTGGTAGCCGTAGAATGTCGTAGGAGATGGGGAACTGGACGAGGGCGGTGGAGGGGGAAACGAAGGAGGCTGGTGAGGCAGCGGGGGCTGCAAAGGCAATGGCGGCACGAAATGTTCGCGTTGGGGAACCGGTGGCAGGGGGGGTTGCATTGGTGGAAGGGGTGGTTGGGGAGGTGGAGGCGGCACTTGGCGGAACGAGGGTTCGGGCGCGGCAACTGGCGACGGCGGCACGGGTGGGTAAGCAAACGCGCGATCGACGTCCGCGAACGACCGTGAGAGACCGCCAAACGAGTCACCGAGTCGACTACGAGGAGCCAGGTCCAAGTTGCTTCCATCAAACGAGTCCAAGTTCCAGTGAGCCAAACGACTGATTGCGGGTTTGGCAGCAAGATGTTGCGATGGCTGGTCGTTCGTGTTGAGGTGGCGGAGGCGATCAAGAAGCGAGACAGGCATCATGGGAGCTTTCCTGGGAAAGACTTCCTCTTCGACAGACAACACGATCTCGGCATCTTCGTCAACGGGTGGCTCGTAGAGGTCGCCGAGACACAATTGCAGCCTCGCTTGGATTGCCGGAGACAGTTGGCGCTGGCGCTTCTTCGCCATGAGCGCTCGAAACGACGCGAGAAGGTGGTCTTTCTCGTGCGCAATGTGGCGCAGATCATCTTGGTACGTCGCTTCCAACTTTAGCTTCTTGATGTAGAGCAGCGCGACATGGAATTGCCTTCGATCGATAGCGAGGTCAATGAGTCGGCGTGAGTCAAACGAGGGTTCCTTGGACAACCCAAACTTGATCGAGTACTTGAGGGCCTTGTAGAGTTCTCCGTAGCGAATCATAAAGTGGAGCATGCGGCGCACGAGCTCGACGTTGCCCGTCAAGTCGAACGCTTTGAGGTAATGCAAAGATGACAAGAAATCTCCGCTCTGGATCATGTGGTGCACAAGGACCTCACCAGTGTACTCGGCGCCAAGCTTGGCCTGCTTGACGCACTTGATCGCGGCAGACCACTGGCGTTCCGCCAGCAAGTTGTCGATAAGTTTGTCGAGCGAGAACTCAGCGTCGAGTTTGTGCTCCTACCGCGATGGACATGAAAGCGTGCCGTACAGAGGCTGCCGGAAATGGACGTACCATGATCACAGTAAACGCGTCGAGCCACGCCTTTTCATGGAGCATTCCCTGAACGAATTTCTTGACGGGGAATTCGGTCGCCAAGTGGAACTGGAGCGTGTACTTGAGCGCGGGTTTGTACTGCTGCACGCGAATCATGGCCTTGATCAGTGTGCTCGGTGTCCAGATGGGACGTGTCGATGGATCAGCGTTGGGCGCGTTGAACTGAGGGATCAGTTCTTGCGCGTACCGCACGGCCAAATGGAAGCGACCGCTGCGCACAAGTTCCATCACGAAAAACGTCACAAGCTGCTGGTTGTCGGCCAACTTGTGCTCCCGAATGAGCCGCCCCGCCAAATCAAAGTGACGATGGTCTAGAACTAGACGAATCACGTCCGCAAGCTTGTACTTTTCAGACAAATACGCCGATCCGACGATCCACGAGGCGGCGTCTTCGAACCGGTTGGATGTCAGCAACGTCTGCAGTTGTTTCTCCTGCTCCGCAGACGACAACTTGGAAGGCGAGATGGACGGCACACTGTGAGGCGCATTCGTGGACGGCATTGCACGCTCCTTGCCTGGTGTGCTTCGCGAGCGAGTCGCGTCGTCAGGGCGATTGGTGGAGCTCGCCACGGTATCCCCAGGCTTTTCCTTTCCTCGCCATCGGGTCCGAGAAGGGGGCTGCTCGTTCGGTGAGTTCCATGTCTTCTTCTTGGCAAGATCTGCCTTGCCCTCTACCGACGCCATCGAGGGTGCGCCGTCCCGTTTGTCCACCTTCGGCGTTCACGTGAATCAACCAACGCACGGGCGCGGAGTGAAACTCAGGATATTCTCTCCAATATAATAATGCGAAATATAATATATCAGAGGTCACGCCATTGGTACTTGGAATTTGAAAGTGGACACAGCATGGTCGCCCAAGGAGTGGCGCCGCCGGAGATGGCATTTGAGCACGAAATCGTGCATGTCGAGGACAAGTGGGCAGAGCTTTTGCCGGCGCGAATACCCTTGCGGTATGCCTTCTTCCGGTACGACGCATCTCCTGTCGTGGTTGACCTGGCGCAACGATTGACAACCAAACGACGTGGGTAGCTACTTGGGATTCTGCATCAAGGTGCGGGGTAGTGCGACCGGACACACAGCGCACAAGGCGCTGAAACCTGCGTCCCGAGCGGCTCTGCGGATAAGAATCACCACGAGCCAGGGAGTCGTGTTGGACGAAAAGGTTGGATCGCATTTCAAAGACGGCGTTTACTATGTTCAAGACATCTCGTTGCAAGACGAAGGGCTGCATACGATCAATGTCTGGATGGAAAGTCGATTTTTCTCTTCGGTGAAGCCATTCTCCCACGAGCTGCACGTCCACCAGTTCATGAGGCTGCATGACGACCCGGTTGGGCTGTTTGGTGGCCCATATGGAGGACTCCGCAGAACTGTTGACCCGTACCTGTTTGGAGGACACGATTATGAAGCGAGGGACGATGTACAATGGACAGACGCCATCCTGGACGAATGTTTGGCCAAATCCAAGAGCAAACTGCGCACTGCAGACGCCAAGGTACCATACTTGCCTCCCGAGAACCATCGTGATCTGTTCACGCAGTGGTGGCTGCGGCAATTCGTCGACCAAGGGGAGCTGCAAGCAAAGAAGCAACAACAATTGCGGAAAGCCACCGATCAAGTCGCCCATCCCAGGCAAGGGAAAATGTTCCTGATGTCTTTGTAGGCCTTGCGCTCGACCAGCCACCCCGCGCGGCCGCGCAAGCAGTCACGTCCAAGTGCGTCTTCCATTCGCTTTGATGCGCATACCTTCCATGTCGCTCAGTGTTGTTTCGTAGTCCGCTCGGGTGACAAACGCGATCACGACAACTATTTTCAAGGGCGTCAGAGGGAGATCAAGCGTCAACGCTCCGGCCAAATTCGCATCTTTGCGCATGAGCCGTTGCATGGTACGTCTCACGCAAAGCGCGCTAGTCTTCCCTCCTCTCCGTCCTCACCCTCATGCTGCTCGCAGCGAACGAGACCCAAGTCGTCTTCAGCAAGCGCGACCTTCATCACCAGCTTGTGCTCTATTCCCAAAAGCAATGAGGATGGTCGTGAATTTAATTGATGGGAGTATTATTGGTTAAAATTAAAATCATTCTTGCAATTGATTGGCTATATGGATTATTTTGTACCCAATGACCATCGAAGAGATTTCAATTGAAATCCGTGCCGCCATAGGTCAAATCGTCCATCGGCGCGCCATCACGCCGCCCGTGCAATGTATGGAAAGCGGGAAGCAAACTCCATATTTGGGAGCGTTCCATTCAACCCAGACGACCAGCAACGGACTGATGCGTACCTTCGACAGAAGCTGAACGCGAACTTCCTGTCGCGACGACCAGGACCTGGTGGACGGCGGTTGACTTACCTCGAGAGCTGCAAAGCGATCGAAATTGCAAACGAAGCGTTCGGCTTCAATGGATGGAGCTGCCGCATCGTCGATTGCAATGTGGAATGCGTATGATGGATATTAATCGTGGGGACGGTGCTCACGCACGATGTAGAAGGAGAAGACCGACGACGGCAAGTGGACTGTCATCTACAGCTCTGTTGTACGCATCGAACTGAAAGACGGCGCGAGCCACGAAGATGTCGGGTTCGGACAGAGTGAAGGAATGAAAGACTTGGGGGCTGCTCTCGAACAAGCCAAGAAGGTACCGAATTGTTCTTTGGTAGCCAAGTTTGTTCACACCCACTCAGGCAAGCATCTCCGATGCGAGAAAGCGAGCTTTGCGCTTGTTTGGGGAATACCTGGGGAATTCATGCTACGACAAAGAGGTCCATGGACCCTTTTCTCTTGGTTTGCCTACTTACAATTGGCATGTAGCATATAAAAGACGTAGCTGCCAACCGAGTACAGATGCATCTCTACCCCCCTTCCCCACACCTCATCAGGTCCGTATAGGCCAACCATTCGACTCTGCAGTCTCCAACATCCATCAAAATTGAAAACGGACAAGTGCATACACCATCGGGAATGAACACCCCTCCCCTTCACCCTCCACGGGCCGCTCTTTCGGTGCGTGCACTTCGTTCGGTTCTCCTCCTCTTTCACCGTCCATGTAGTTGCAAGCACCAACCGCCGCTCCACATTTTCAACCACCTCCTCGAGAGATCCCATCACCAGTTTCTTCGGAGTGTGCAGTCGACGGCCGTGCGAAAGTTGGCGACGGACACGCTACTGGAAATTCGTTCACTCTGCATGGCCCACCCGCGAATACGTCCAACCTACCGTCACATCAAGCGCCCACAAGTCTTCAACAAAAGCAAGACGTGCGGCTAACGCCAGGGACTTCAGCGATGAAGGCCGAACCCAGAGCCGTCTCTGCACCTCTGAACTATGCGCTTGCCCCACGTAACCCGCCGCCAGGCACTATCCCCGCGGCTAGTTGGAACACACTGGCGAATTCGTCCTCCAACTACACCCCAGGCATTCATCCAGCCCATGACCAGCATGCAATTGTGATTTCACGTGCCCCAACACCGTGTGAAAGTAGAAATATGCCAACCCCGCCTACATTTCACCGCCCAATGCCTCGTAACACAACGCTGTCGTCGCCATCCATGCAGCCCGTCCACAGCACCGACAACTCAGCAGACATCAATCGGAAGCGGTGTTTGGACGTGTATGGCGCGAACGCGACGAGTCACAACTCCCGCATTGCCGCCGTCGACGATCTAGATGGATTGAGGTTGTCACAATTTGAGTTCGACGATGGGTCGGCTGCTGTCGCCAAAAAGGCGCGGCCGTAAACGCCCTTGTGGACTTTCCACTGCACCACTTTCGAGACGAGGTCGTTTTCATAAAGACGGTTGAAGAAGACTGTGTATTTGGTGGTGCCCGTTTGTGTTTTGTGCGGGAATGCTCGCTCGTTGGTGCTGCGGCGGCGATGGTGGTTGAGCGAAGGCCGTGTTCACGGCAGAATCCCATTTGTGATTTTCTGGAACTGGTCGTACCGCTTCGTCCATTTGTTCTTGTAGCTGAGCTTGATCAACTTCATTGCGTGCTTGACCGTGTGGTCCAGCGGCATCGTCTCCACGAAACGTTCGCGGAGTTTTTGGAGCTCCTTGACCACGTCCCGGTTTTGAAAGCACGGGTACGACGATTTGTGCATCATGATCTCGACCATCGTGATAATCTTCTCCGCATTGCGCTAGAACACATTCCGCCTTGCTCACGCGCTGTCGTTGCACCTGTCGCTCGTACCTGGAGCGCGAGGAAGCCCTGGGTGAAGAGCTGCACAAACTTGGCAAACATCGGCGACCCAACCCCACCGAGAACGTCGACCATTTCCTTGGTTAGTTTGAACGGCGGTTGGCTCTCGAGGCTCCAGGTCCCGCCCGGCGCGATGCCCAAGAGGAAACCAAAGTCGATGTGGATCAAATGACCTTCCGTGTCAAGCAGGATGTTGCCGTTGTGCCGGTCCTTAATCTGCAACACGTAGCACACGAGCGAGTACCCCACCAAACTGTGGACAAAGTTCAGTGTGGCCGTTGCCCGCGCCGCCGCCGACGTGTACGTCTTGTCAAAGTGGTCTTTGAGCGATTTGTACTCCTTGGCTTTCTTCATCGCGTCCAGCGACTGCGCATCCGTGATGGTCTCGATGAGGCCGGTCGAGTGCCCCGTCGAGACAATGCGATAGGACCGAAGCCAGAGCGGGAGGTGGGCGTCGCGAAAAATGCCTTGGCACTTGGAAATGAGCTGGAGCGCAAACACTTCCTGCCGCATGTCGTCGTTGCTCTTGGAGATCTGCGCATCAGGACCATGGTGAGCGCTCATCAACGACACAGCTTCCATTCGAACCAGAGACACGACGTTCCATCCGCGCAAATGGCCGTGTGGCGACGCGGCTTGGAGTCGTTTCTACGCCGTCGACGCTGTCGTCAGTGACGTCCGTCCGCAGGCTCAACATACCTTTTTCGTTGCCCAACTCTCGCCAAACACGGCGGGCTCCATCAGCATGAGCTTGGCGAGGCTCATGTCATACGTCGTTTTGGACGTGCGGCGCATGATCGTGGCCTGGATGTTCTGGTCGACCATCTCCTTGATCGACGTCAGCGTGCCGGGCACGTTGGACGACGGGTCATCGGGTTCCACACACAAGTCGTCCGCCATCAGGTCCGACGACGACGATCGAAACAGCGCAGCGTAGTTGGACTGGATGCAGTGAAGGGTATCGGGGTCGTCTTCAACGATAGACGCTTGCGACGCCTGCACCGCCAACGGTGGCCGAGTCGACTGCGATGGACTGGCACCGGTCGTGGGTTCTTCGATCACTTCAAAACAAATGAGGCACGGCGCGCGGCTGTGTGTCGAAAACACAGTGCCTTCCGATTCAAGCACCCTCAACACACGGCAGTACGGATCGGACGCCCGGCCCAGTGGAATATACGCCATCTCGGGAATGACTAATTTGGCCAAGAGCCCCGGCAGCGCCGCCTTGCGGCCCTCGCGCGGCTCAAAGTGCCGCATGGTCTCGGAAATGGCCGTGACAGCGAGAATAAAGTCTCGCTCTTGGTGAAAGTACTTGTACCGTTTCTGGCGCTCACGTTCCATCCACTGAAGCAACGTGTGCTTTTCCGCATCCGAGAGAGCGATCGACTGCGAGGATGCGTCGGTCGGACCGGTCGGCTGGGCAGTACGTGTCTCATTGTCCTTCGTGGATGATGCTGGCAGTCGCAGAAGCGACTCTTTCAGACCGGGAACGTCCCGAAAGAGACGGACGACGTCCCGCAGCTCAAAATGCTGGTTCACGACCTGTGCTTCAATCGACATGATTAGCATCGCCACGACGTTGTACGTGGGTGTGCCTTGGCAGTCGTGGATCATGGCTTCGAGGAGCCAGAACAAATGCAGCGCAACGTGAATCGAGTTGCCCAAGTGGGCCACGTATGTCTTGGCTTTGCAAATGGACAGCACGAGGTCCACTAGCTTGTCCTTGTTGCGACTGTCGCTGGCGCACGAGTGCACCAGGACATGCACGATTTGCTGGAGGTAAAACTCGACCTACGCACTCGCGCCATGAGGAGTGGATCCAGTAGGGCATGTGTGGGCTGGCTGCTCACGTCGTCGATGTTGGACTGCGCATATTGAGATAAGTGCTCCACAATCAGATCCGTCGCAACCGTGTTGTCTCGGTATTTGTAAAGAAGCCTGCGAAGGTCACGCAGCGGCGTCGTGAGCGAGGCAATGGGGATCGGGGACATCGACGTACGTTACTGCAAGTTGGGCATCAAAGTCGGGCTGGTTGAGACTGTCGCGGACGAGATCGCGCTCGGCATCGTCCGTGCAAAAGTTGAGCGACATCATGGCATGGAGCCACCGGTCTTTTTCGGTCTTGGTGTCGGCTTCAATCACAATCAACTTGGACTTGAGCGTCGACACGATCAGCGCGTTCTGAAACGCCGCCGTCCCAACCAGCGTTTCCCTTGTCCCTTTTCCCAAGTCGGCCATGTCCTTGACACCTACGACGCAGCAGAACTTGCGCGCTGCTTGCGCCTTGTCCACATTGGCGGCCTCGTCCTTGGACCCAAATATGCACAGGTTGCGGCCTGTCAAGACGCAATAGCGTCGGCGGCGCTTGTTCATGCGTATGTACAGGTACCCTTCGATCTTGACAGGACCAACATAGCTCTCCTTCGACACCGCCATCGATGGAGGCGGCGCAGAGGCTGCCGCATCGTCGCTGTTGTTGCTCATGCCGCTGGAATCCGCACTGCATCTCGAAAACAACCCGATCCACGTGTAACGGTCGTACTTAACAAAACGTACTTTACGCGTTAACATGCAAATTTCAACCGTCGCCAACTCCATCTCTCGCGCCACGATGCTCACACTCGGACGTCCGTGCGCTTGGCGCTCTCGATCTGCTTGTGATGATCAAAGGCGTGGTGGGCCGAGTTGTCTAGGTACGCTCGAATCTCTTTGGACGCGTAATACTTGGCCGTGGTTCGGTTGAGCTTTTCGTCTTCGCAGATGCTCAGGAGCACCGTGTCGATTGCGATTTCGAACACACTGAAGAAGAGCGACGCAATCGAGTAGGCGAGAACTGCCGTAATGACGAGCGTCGGGAACGGGCTTGACAGGTGCAGATCGACCTCGTAGTCTGTGATATCCCAGAACACAAGTAGCGTGCACACCGCAGCAATCAACATCTTGCCCATGAACATGACAAACGTGGACACAATGGACAGCGTCCCGATGCGCAACAGGTTGGCCGACACGAGCTCGAACGCGTCGACGATCGCCACGCAGAACGACGACCCTTTCATGGCGATCACGATGTACCCGTTGCGGCTCAAAAACTTGACAAATTTGTGGAGGCACCAGAGGCACGCGCGGCAGCAGCACAGCACGACTTTGACCACCGAATTTTGCGCATGCTTGGTCTGGTGGTCAACGTATTCGAGAACGACGCGGAAGAACTGAACGACGGCAACGACCGCCGCGCCAAATGCGAGTGATCCAAAATGGTACCGAAAGCTGTGGCCGTACGATTTCCTGTCGCAATCCGTCCCTGTAAGGGTCACGATCGAGTTCATCAAGATGCGTACATGACAGCAAATCCGAGCTGGTCGGACGAATCACACCAGTAGAACCGCGCGATCGCGCCCGCAATGGTGCAAATCGTGACCGCTTCGATGAGCTGCTGCGTCCAGAAGATGCCAAACACGTTGTACGCGAAGCACGCCTTCATCCAGTTCGATCCCTGCGTCGTGCCATTGCCATATTCGATCGTGAGTGTCGGCACCGCTGCCTCCACGACCTTGGTGTTGACGTTGCCCTGCGCTTGGCCGGTCGAGACGACGCTCTCCAAGTCGGCCAGCGAAATGTTGCCGCAGCTCGCAATGTACAGAGATGACGCGACAAAGTAAACAAAGAGCGCGACGAGCTTGCCCATCTGGAAGAGCGGGAATACGTACAGCGACGGCAAGTGCTACCGACAGAAAACACCGATGAGAGGTCGTGTGCAGGGAGAAGAAGCAGGCGAACCCCGATGCCACGGCATGCTTCGTGGATAACGCCAACACTGAGGCGCACGCGTGAAAACATAAACGCGAGAACAAGGATCAAGAGCGCCGTGATAGTCAAGAGGACCACCGTGATGTACTTGAACCCAGTTTCGTAGTAGTTTTCCAGTTGAAGCTCAAACGAAGCCGCGATCGCGGTCGAGATCACTTCGCTTTGGATAAAGTTGGCCTGGACGGCCGCGACTCCCGTCGCCAGGACCAGCGTCGCCACCGACACAAACAAACTGCCCCATACGACGGTTCCGGGAAACCGGTGCATGAGCGCCATCCACAGGACCGACCCGAGAAACCCGATCCCGCAGCTCACGCCAACGATCGGGCGCCACGTCTTTCGGATGTCTTCGATGAAGCGCGAGAGCAACTTGAAATTGGTCGCTGCGCGGCCCAAAATCCCAGCGTAATCGTCCGCGACGTCGTCGCTGACTGCCGTCAAATTGGATGGCACGCACCGGTGGAACACGTTGACTGTGTCGTACTCGACAGCGATGCCGCTCACGACCTGGCCTTTCGTCGGGCACTCGGCGACGCAGATCCCGTAGTAGTACGGACTCTAGCCATGGCGCCATGAAGCAATGTCCACGTCACGGCGGCTCGTACACCCACTTTGATGTCCAACGTCGGATGCGGGTAGAATGCAACCGGGGCCGACGCGTTGCAAAGTTTGCCTGGACAGGATCGGTCACAACGACAGCCGTCAAGAGATCTCGTCGTACCGGAATGGTCCATCGGGTACACTAGCGCACCCACGTTACCGTTCTACGACGTGTTGGGTCAAGGCAGTGTCGGGGGCGATGCCAGTCTACCTGGTACGCAAAGATGGAGATCGTGGCCATGCCGACCCAAAACGCTCCAAAGAGCACGCCGCCTGCCCGCGCGCGTTAGTCGGACGCGTGGAACGGATCGACCTTACACAGGACGTCGCGGCACTTGCGGTCCGCTTCAAAGTATGCATTGCGGCGAACATGCAGCAGTGGCTGGCCAGAGCCGTATGTGGGCGACGCTGGAACGACGTCGGCATACTGCGGGGGCGAGACGGGCGAGTCTTTCGGGGACCCTGGCGGCGCCTTGCCCAACGACGCCTTCGTTTTGGACTTTCTTCCCATCGCTCGATCGAGGCGGACCGGCACAGCAATATCCACGACTGAAACGTTGCTCTCGGAACCTGGCTCGACCATATCTTGAAACGGTACAACCTTTCGCAATCCAATCGTGCAAGGGGAGCCAGGCGTCCAGTGGAGTGGTGGGGCGAGCCTGGCGTCCACAAGCGCGCCGACTTCCAACGCTCGACATCGTCTTCCTTGACCATCCCGGTCAGCAACTCAATGTGCCGTGGCTTTCACGACGAGTGTCTGGCCCTTGTGTGCGTTTGCATGTGGCTATTTATAGGTGGTATCCACGCACGATGGCGCATTGCCGTCATTTGATAGACTACTGCGATGCGAGCAGCACGAGCGCGGGCGTTCTGGCTCCTGGCGCTGTCTCCATCATGGACGGGGGCTGTCGTGAGTTTGCCCAACCTTGAATTCAACGCCGCCCTCGGCCAGATTCCCCACGCGTCGAGCTACTACAAGTTCGACTTGAACCCGATCTTGGACACCAAGTACGTGCCTGGTACGATAAACCTGCTGCCCATTTCGCTCCTATAACGAAATGATGCAGGCAATGCGATCGATGGCCTCGTCATGCAGACGAGTTGGTGGTCTAGCGGCGCGGCCGGTGAAAACGTGTTCTTCCAAGTGAACTTTACGGCCGAGTCGCCTGTCATCAGCAAAGTTGTCGTGCGGTGGCATGGGTACATGGCCGCTAGGACGTACGCGATCAAGACGTCGTTTTCGGGGTTTGACGCGACCTTCGTCGAGTTCAACACATTTGAAAACGATTCGCCTGCGTGGGACCGCGTCGACACGGTCATGCCGTGGACGAATTCGTCCGTCAAGTTCAACTACCTCCGCCTCGACCTGCAAACACCCGCTGGATGCAATCCAAACATCACGGTAGAGTGCAGCAACCGCAGGCGACGATTGGCGGCAGGTCAAGGGCCGATCTATGGGATTCGGGAGGTCGAAGTGTGGGCGGCTTCACAGAAGAGCGGTAGGCGAACGGCATGCCCATACACTGGTCGTCCTCACCCTTTCGTCCTCCTTCCTAGATGCGAGTTCTCGGTATGTCAGGCGAGGCTGGATCGCATTGGCGGCGGTGGCGCTTGGTGCCGTGCTGGCGGTGCAGTAGTAGGCGCCCGAACATCCGGAACATGTCCATTTATCCGAACAATCGAGAAGCATCCGGAAAATGGGTATACATCCGACCAATGGAGGCAGTTTCCAACACTGTTTTGTTGGAATATTTTGTCATCTATTGACTTGTTTTCAGTATATGACAGAAACACGGCACCATTTTTTCGGAAATCGGACGGAAAAAGATATTTTCCATACAAACATCAAGGTGAAAGGATTTTTTTCGTGATTCCACCCCTCCAATATATCACGACGTGGTGGAAAAACTCGAAGAACGGACGCGTCTCGGCCACCATTCCCATCGGGGCAACTGGTCGATTCAGTCGGCGGAACGAGGAGTCGCAGCCCATCGAGCAATCATTCCCTGCCACAAGCAGTCGCTCAAGCATCACTGCGCCATGTACGATGAGTACCCTCTGGGTCATGCGGGGGGCTCGGACCATGACGAGGAAGACGACATGGTCATCGTCGACGTACTCAAGGGCGGTGGATTCAGTCCCACGACTGAGTTGTCGCTCGTGACCGAGTTGCCGTCAACGTACCTACGAGCATCTCGCGTGCGCCCGATTGTTCGAATTCGCGGCGACGGTGTCAACGACAACGACATTGAGTGCACTGTGTCGACGCCCGACCCTCCACACACATACGGCGCGACTCCACCCTCCCACGACCGGAACATGTCAAATCGCACTAGGAGAAGGCGCTCTTGGTCGAGCAGTAGCAATGGCAACGATGCCCCATACATACTCCACCGTGCACCGCGTGCATCTGTCCAACGGTCTGAACGGTACATGACCATGCTGGCAACGCAAAAGGAGCGCTACTGGAGGATCACGCCCACAAGTGTGGAATTCCTCGTTGGTACATGCTCGTGGCTGTTATCGATGTGATCTCACAGCAGCATGTGTAGAGCGGTCGCTGGGCTACATCGGGGGCTTTCGCGGTCGGAGCACCGCCATGACGGTGGCGCGACATCTCTTGTGGAAGCAGTTTACGGTGTTGCTCGATTCAAAGCGCGTGTCTGAGCGGAAGAAGCGGGCCGCGCGGCTCTTGAGTGACCAAGCACCGGCTTCGCAAACACGCACAGTGTCACGGGAACAACTGGACGACGGAAACGAAGACGGGTTTTCCAGGTGGAGTCGCGTAAAGCCTCGAAACATGGCCGAGTCCATCGTCCTCGATCGGCTCAAGCAGATTTTCAAGTGTTCTACGCTCAAGCGCGAGAGCGAGTCCCCGCCGCGGCCTGCCTCCTCCGACAACGTTGATCATAATTCTCGCAAGAAGGCCAAGAAATCCAAGCGCGCAACGTTATCGCCATCGATTGCTGCGCCAGCGTTGTTCACGGAGGCATCGGCGCCTTCACATGCGGCACATGATCGTGCTCCTGTCGAAAAGTCAAAGCCGGTGGACCCGCGGAGGAGGCTCGTCGTGCCATTTGGCCCTGCCGCCGCCGCCCCCGCTCCATCACCTTCACGGTCCGCGAAGCAGCCACCCATGGACCCGCGCTCTCGCGCCCACCCCCCACTGCCTCTGGCAGGAGACTTGCTACCTTCGAAGAAACAAAAGCCTCGCGATATGTCGAAATCGTCGAAACCAGCGCGCGAATCGAAACCACAATCGAGTGCCTGCTACGACGATTACATGGTCGCAGTGTACCCGTCCAAGCCGAAGAAGCGCGCGCGGACGGATCCATCCATGCGCCACCTGTACAACAAGCCGTCCACTGGCGCGTGCGTCCCCGCGTCGCCCACGTCGCACGTGACGGGTGGGTCGGCAAGTCTCCCGGAGAACTGGAAGTGGCGGCCGCTGGCGCAAGACATCAAACCGATTCGACCGTTTGACGGCATGTCGGTTGAGCAGATCGAGGACCATTTGCATTCGATCAAGGTGGAAGGGCGGCTGTGGCGCTTCCGCCGGTTTGGCGCGCTGCTGCAAAAGCTCATGGACCATCCCCGCAACTGCAACGGCGTGTTCAACTCGCCCGTCGACCCCGTTGCGATGAACCTGCCGACGTACACGTCAGTGGTCCGGCATCCGATGGACTTGGGTACGGTCAAAGCAAGCCTCGACAAGGGCCTGTACGCGACCCCCGAAGCGCTGGCCGCAGACATCCGCCTCGTGTTTCAAAACGCGATGGCATTCAACGACGCCAACCACTGGGTTCACGTGAACGCAGACACGCTCTTGAGTCACTTCAACGAGAACTGGAGTCTGGAGCATGACAAGCTGCTGCTGGAAGAGTCCAAGGCGGTGGCGCACTCGTGCGACGTGTGTTTAGGCCACACGTGCGCGGCGTGCGATCAGCGCTGCCTCGAGCTCGTGGTCCCGTTCAACCAGTGCTTTGGAAACTGCGGCACGACGTTTCGGAAGGGCAGCACGTACTTTGTGACGCGCGACGGCACGCGCATGTGGTGTGCCAAGTGCCGCACCAAGAGCATGCGAGAAGAGCGCCTCCTCCAAGAGGACGACGAATGCTTTCAGAACCCGCTCGTGAGTCGGCGCAACACGCTCCCGACCGCGTCCGAAGTGAGCGCGTGGCTGGTCAAGCGAAAATGCGAAGCCGACGTCGAGCCGTGGGTGCAATGCAGCTGCTGCGCGCAATGGATGCACCAAGTGTGCGTGCTGTTCAACCCGGTCGAAGACGCGTACGCAACGGACAATCGGTTTGTGTGTCCGCACTGCCAGCTCCAGTCGCGCCGCGTCGCGAGCATCCCGCCGAGTTTTCTCGACTGCACGTCGCTGCCCGAGACCGAGCTCAGTCGGTTTTTGGAAGCGAGTTTGGGCGACGCGGCGGGCGACGCGATCGATTCGTTGTGTGTGCGCACCATGACGTTTACGGGCCAAGTCGCGCACTTGCCCACCGAAATGGTCGACATGTTTCAATCGAATGCGCGCATCGTCCGCGAGCACTTTGGCCCGACGACCGTCGTCGACGTACCCGACCGCCTCGTGCACAGCACCAAGACGATCTTTTTGTTTCAAAAGCACCACGGCGTCGACGTGTGCCTCTTTGCCATGTACGTGCAAGAGTACGATGACTCGGTCGAGTACGCTCCGAACCGTCGCAGCGCCTACCTTGCGTACATCGATAGCGTCCGGTACATGGAGCCCGCGAGCATCCGCACGGCAGTCTACCACAGCATCCTGGCATCGTATTTCGACTACATTCGTCGCCAAGGCATGGAGCGCGTGTACATTTGGTCGTGTCCGCCGCAGCGCAGCCAGAGTTATGTCTTTTGGTGCCATCCGCATTTTCAAAAAACGCCCGGTGTCGACCACCTCCGCATGTGGTACAAGCGCGTGCTGGACACGGCCAAAGCCCGCGGCATCATTGCTTCGTATGGCACGCTGTACGACATCCACTTTGCCGAGATGGCGCTGCAGCTCAAGAAGGACAGCGCCAAGACCGACTCGGTGTGTGGTGTTCCGGCCGGGCACACCAAGGCCGCTGCCGTTGCGACCCGCCGCGGCTCGGGCTCGACCGTCCTCGACAAGGACGTGTACTTGTGGCCCGTCGCGACGATGCCGTTGTTTGAAGGCGACTTCATCCCTGGCGAACTCGACCGCGTCGCGCGCGCGCTGAAAGCAAAGAATAAACCGCGCCGTGAGAAGGAACCGTCGTCGGACGTTTCGATTTATTTAAAGGACGCGTTTGCGTCGTTCATGACGGCGCTCAAGGGGATGCGGGACGACCTGCTCCAAGTCGATTTGACCCCGCCGCCTGCCGGCTGCCCCCTCCCCGCGAAGGACCCGCCAACAAAGCTGCCGCCGTTCGTCGGGTCCCGCTTCGCCTTTCACCAGATGAGCTCCCGTGCGTCATACCAATTCGACTCGCTTCGCCGCGCCAAGCACTCGACCATGATGCTTCTTCACCAAATGATCAACGCGTCCGTGCCCCAGTGTAATACGTTCTGCCATGAATGCGCGCTGCTTATCACGCACGCGGACCACTGGTTTTGCCGGACCTGTGCCCACTTTTCGCTGTGTGACTGGTGTCATGCCCACCACGGCCCCGACCACCACCACAAGCTGTACCGCGGCCTGGACGACGTTGAAGGAAGCTAGTGCGTCCGACAGCCCTCGACGGCGTCGTTGCCGTCCGAGTCGGTGGTGTGGATGCGGACCCGTCCACTGCATGTCGTCGGAATGTGTCTCGAGACACGCCGTGCGTTGGGTTGAAGCGCTCGGCCGTCCAAGCCTTCCAGCAGATGCCGTTCGTGTGTATATATACATCATGGCTGTGCAACGATTGCAGTCTCGTAAAGGGTCGTGTCTCTGTGCGTATCGACGTGCGCGCATGGCGTGCGCCGATCGTGTGGTCGCCGCGGTGGTGCCAGAGGCGGCGCATGCAGTCCGTCGGATCCTGGGGAGGGGAAGGCAGTCGAAGTTCGAAGTTTTCTACGTGCTGCTGTTTGTGTGGACCGCGGGCCTCGCGTCCTCGTGCAGCGGTGCGAGTTGGTGGCATAGCTGTGTGGCATGACAGCGTGCATCCGTGCGCCTCTACGATCCGAACCCGCGTGCTCCCGCAGGTGTGCGGAGCCATGAAAGTGGCACCGTCCACCGCGGCGCGCTGAGCATGGAGAGAGCAACTTTCGAGAGGACCGGTGAAGTGTGGTCAATGAATGACCAACGAACCATACAAACATCAAGTGAAATGGGATATTTTTATTGAAAATGGTGTGTTTTGCCAGTGTCGCCAGAGGCCCGTCGGCATGTGGATGTGCCTACAGATGTCGCAGTAACACGTCGTGGTGGACTCGTCGAGTGTTCAGACTTGTGCTAGACCGACTGGCTCACCATGACAAGGAAGCGCAGCGCGATGGCGTGTATCGCCGTCACTTTCGTCGTCGCCACCCCGTCGACCTCTGCCGGTACACGCGTGGTTGTCATGCCACGATCTCTCACCGCGTCTGAAATGTCCAGACCACTCGTCGGGTTCGCACATCGTCCCGTTGCTACGCCGGGCCCAAGCCGCTCCCAAACTCTTGCGTCCACACTCTCTCGGCGCTGTTGAAATCGGCACACCGGATACCCACGCAACCGCGACGCAGATTCCGCCCGCCGCGGTTCCTGTTCCTTCAGGTGCGCGCTCCAGCTCATCTCTCTGCTTTCTGTAGTCATGAGGCACTTGGCAGACTCGACTCCCGTTCCAACACCGTCGCCAACGTCCGCTCCAGAAATGAATTCGTCGGTGCTGGTTGGCGTCGTTCTAGGCAGTGTTGCGATGGTGTTGGTCGTTCTGGCGATGGTCTTGATGTGCCGGCGCCGCCAGGCTCAAGTCCGGGCCAAGATCCTCTTCAAGGGCGGGCCATCGAACCCGACCACGGAGGCAGACGACCCGGCGAAACACCCGCGCCGCGGCGGAGAGCCGTTCAGCTCTGTCTACGCCACGGACTTTGCTTCGTCCGACTACTGCGACAGCCACTCCCCCAACAACCAATTTGACGGCATTCTCGACTCGGATCCGTTTCGTCGAAAGGACCGCGTCAAGCCCGAGCTCGACCGACCCGCCCCCTTCTTCTCGTACTACCATCAAGGGATGCCGTCGCGGCGATCGTCGCTCGAGTCGCAGGATTCGTCCATCATGTCGTACACAGAGAGCGACCGGATTCGCGGCACCACGACGTCGTCTGCCGCCGAGGAAACCCCCCGGCAGCACATGAGCACGTCCATGATGGCGCATCATCCACCCCACACCCGCGACGACAGCATGTCCAGCACCGTGACCGCCGGGTACGGCCGGGACATGTGGGGCAGTTCATTCGTTCGATCCAGCGGGGTCTCGACAAGCTTTTCGTCTGCCGGAATCGACAGCCCATGCATTGTCGGCGGCGGCGCGTTCTCGTTGCCGGAAAAGATGACCATGCTCGACGACGGCGCGTCCCAGACGTCGTCGCGCGAGTCATATGACATTTAAGTGTACAAAGTGGGCGGGATGTCGGCGGCGGCGGCTGTCACGATGAAGGTCGTCGGTCGTGATAAAGTAATGTTATTGTCGAGTGTGGAGTTGGTGGGAGGCAATGTCCCGTTGCTGGATGCGTTCGTGGCGCTGCGCCGACGTCGACTTGGCCGCCAAGTCGTGGAGCTACACCACGTGGGCCAACTTCATCAAAGATTGTGTGGAGGGGGGGGGCTTTTACCTCGTCCCCGAGGTCGCCCGCGATCGCGTGCTGCTTGAGGAGGTGGAAGATGCGCTGGTCTCGCCCGCACACATGTTCTGCCAACTTGCCGTCGCGATTCGCAACGTTCCATCGGCCACCTGCGCGCGTTGTCATGTCGGTCGATCGCGAGGCCCGTACCAGCTTCCAAGAGGCACTGCGTGATTTCCAACTGGTTGGCTTTCGCGGCTTCGTGCAAGCACGTGTTGCCGTCATTGTCTTGGGTGTTCAAGTCCATGCGATGCGATGGAGGGGTCGCGACGGCGTTGGCGGCCAGCATGCAGCGAACTACGTCCACGGGCCCAACACGGCATGCAATGTGGAGTGCAGTTTGCCCCTAACACGATGGTCGTTGTCATACTCGACGATCGAGAGACTAAAGGGGACGGAGGGGGCGGACATGGTCGTTGGTCGCGTTGAAATTGGGCCGTAGGTGGACGAGGTGTTGAATGGCAAACTCGTTGCCGAGCTGGCACGCGTGGTGCAAACTCAAGTCCTTGTCACGAAAGTGGTGCGACTACACGATCCAAGATGAACAAACGGGGGCTCGAGCGAGCCGCACGGGGGGACGCACCCCCTCAGATAGCTTGCCAACTTCCCAATCGAGTCGTTCCATACATCGGCCGTCGAGGCACTGGGGACGCCCGATCAGCACATGCATGCTTTGTCAGGATGGAGGCAGACCGACGCACGCACCTTGCCGAATTGGATATGCTCGTCGACATTGCAGCCAAAGCCAAAGTCCGCCTGGAGGTCGCGATGGCGCTTTGCGATGGTCGACACAGTTCGACGGACCGCGCGCGCCGTCGAGATTGCGCGCTTCGTGTGCTGCGGTCGAAGCTTGTCTTGTCGTGGCGCCTTCTTGGGCATCGCCTTCATGTACTCGAGCAGATCGTCTTCATGTCGTGGCAGCGCTGCCTGGGTGGTTGGACGCGCCATCCCACCTGAATGGCGCGGGAGGTTTCCAAATGAGCCGTGCCTAAACCGTTACATGGTGTCGACCGATTGGGATGGAAGGCGTTCAGGTTGCAGCGCCGGCGTGCCTTGGCGCAAGCGAGCACTCGACTGGACGGGACCGGCGTCGGTGCTGCAGAGGTCCGCTGTCCATCCGGCCGTGTCTCGGGCGAGTTGTGTCCAGAGAGGTGGTGCCGTCACATTTCTACACAATGTGATACAGTCGATTCGTTCGAGCCCACCGCCGCCGCCGTTCGTCGGGATGCGTGCATGCCACCTCGCCCTTGAACACGGCCCGGAACACTCACGATGGCATCTCCACCGAGGCAACGAATGCGATCGCGTCATGGCGCGGCGCGGACAGATATGTGACAATTGCAATGTCAAAGTCGGAAATTTCGACGGAACATTCGGAGAACGATGAGAAATGTAACGACAAACTGGCTCGAATCGCACGTCTTCTGAGGTCACGTCAGTGCTGGCGGCGGCGGGTCGGCTGTGCCGCGGCTGCAGGAGTCTCGTCCCCATGCGCTGCTTGGCGAGGCGATGACGACGCCCAGCATCGAACCAGTCGAGTGACCAGGACGAGCACTCTGGCTCAGTCGGTGTTGTCCCCACGGACGGGCGTGTCGATCCCATGCGTTGTGGACATGCTCCACTCGCCCCTGCGGCCATGAAGGTCAACGTACGAATGCGAGGACGGGATGTAGTCGAAACATGGCCCCACGACGACGGCGATACAAACCAAGGTGCGTCCATCGCACCGCCAACGTGGTACCTTTGAACCACGGAGCCGAGTCCTTGAAAAAGGTCAGTATAATCCAGACTCATATGCGGTCGTGTCGCAAGTTGTCACGGCGACGGCATCGTTGTCCTCCCTGAATGTGCATGCCGCCGTCGCCCCGCCGGAGGTGGCTTGGGACCGGCGGCAGCGGTCGTCTGCGTAATGGGCATGCGAAACGTGTGTCGACGCGAGCTGCAACGCAATGTCTCCGTCGGTGGTAATGTTTCGGCGCGCTTGGCGGTCCCCTGGCGTCAGGATGCACGCGCCAAAGTATGTTCAGACATGGGATATCTTTTCTGACCAATCCGAGGCGGTCTACTCGATGGAATTGGCGCATTTTCCGGTTTGCAGCGCTTGGATTGGTCGATTTTAGACCAATCCGATGCCTAGATCGCGGACAAATTTTTCCAGTGTCCAACACGGCGGTAGACTTGAAAAATGTATGCTACCCGGTGGAACGTATCGTAGCAATCCACCAACGTATCATTTACACATTTTCGTCGCGCAGCTCCCACGATGAACTCGCCGATCGCCCGCGCCGCTGCGACAGGCAAACCCATGAAGCGCCAAGCGCCGTCGACCACGTCCATGTCCCCCACAAAGCGCGCACGACTAGTAGGCAATCTCACAATCTCCGTGTCGGCGAACCTCCTCGCCCGAACGGACGAGTATCGTGGCCGGTGCAAGTACAAGTCGGGGCGATGCCCCAACGAACGCACGATCAAGTTTAGCGGCGAACCCCACACGCTGTGCGAAGAACATCGCGTCAAGCACAACAAGAACCAACGCAAGTCGGACGCGAAACGACGAGGTGTGGTCAAGATCAAGCGCGACGGTTCAACCTCGTGCGACGACGACGACGATGGGTGCCCTGTGTACATGAAGAAGGGGCTTCCGACCTTTGACAGAATCGTGGTCAAAGCCGAGCCGTGCGTCAAGGCTGAACTGGAAGACGACGATCCGATCGAAATTGAAGAGATCGACATGTCGGCAACAAGCAGTTGCTGGTCAGACGACGAAGTCGAGATCCTCAAGCACATATTCGACTTTGACATGTCGCCACTGAAACTGTAGACCACCCCCCCGTTCCCCACCTAGAAACTGACCTATCTAAAGTAAATACATCCTAATTATCTACCTGGCGGGCGTCCCTGCGGCCGTCGCGGCCACCTCCGTTGGCAGCGCCACAGGGGTGTAGAATCGCTGCGCCGGCCGCGGAAGTTCGTGGACCTTGTCCGTGAATATTTTGTCGCAGATGGGTTTTTCCCTTGCGGCGACCCCATCGTGTGTTTGAACTGTACGTTATACATTTTGATTGGATACGATTGCGAATGCTACAACACCACCACCCATGTTTAAACATAAAACGCAAAATACCAAAATGTATCCACCGCATCCGCAATGTGCACGCGTGCGCCCAACGTGATCTAGGATGCCGACCACGTGCATGGGCCATCGTTCGTCAAGTCGGCCGATGCACGCACGCGCCTTGAGCGGCACGTAGGTGTGGCTTTGGCCAACTCCGTCGGCGGCCATCGCGCTGCTCTCTCTCTCTCGACACGGTGGGATTCAGTAGATTGTACGTACTGCGGCGCGACGCGGAAACGACTTGACAAGAACTGACCACATGGGCACAACATGGACATCGCGGCGCAAGATACGAATCATGGCTTCCCACGACTCCTTTCCAAGTACACTGCTGCCCCCCAGAGTGCTCGAGTGGCATCCCAAAAGAGCAGCGAGAGATGTAATGCACACTTCTACACAGCACTGCCGATGGGCTGCAATGCATATGCGTCGAAGGCACCAGCAGCGCGTGCGACATGGAGGTGTGGATGGCTGCCCCGTCACTTCCCCGAGTTCTACTGAATGCCAACTTCCTGGTGTCGCAGCTGACTTGGATAGAACCTCGACGTGGCAGCGTTGGGTCGGTAGAGACAAGCGGTGACGACAGTGTAACCTCGCGCCTGTGAACTCGCCTTCGTTCTCCCACCAACATGGTGCTAGCGATATTATAGTTTGTCCTCGGTATTCTCTCGCGCATCGCCCACGACCGCAATGGCTCACGGTGGCATCAGAGCCACACACCATGCGACAACACGTCCGGGCTCTGGGGAGAGGTCGCATGGCATTGCTGGTTGGATGGAGGTCGCACCAGGCAGTCTCGACGCAGCGAGTACATCCGGCAGCATCCCGCTGCTCACTGGCGTCGCCGCGTTTCGGGGATGACCGGCGGCTGCATGCTGGCGACGTCGGAGCCAAGCACGATCCATTCCACACGACACTCGACGTTTGTGCAGCCCTCTTCCCCTTGACCTCCCATCTCGCTTTGCACCCTTGTTACTACTACGGCTGCCTCACGCACAGCGTCCCCCATCGGCAACGTTTTGCTACCATCGCATGTTGGTCGACGTTAACGATAATACGTTCCAAGCGGCGCCGCGTGGTGCAGGACCGACGTCACGTGGTCAGATGCATCCATCATGGCGGCACGAAACGACACATCTTCTACGCCGCGGTGAAGCGCCGATCCTATGAGCGAGACATACCTTCCGTGAGGAGCGTGTCCAGGTCTTTGGGCACGTGGGGGGACGTCAGCCGCGTCAAGAGGCGATGCTGCACGATGCGTGAGCTCTGTCGTTGGCGATTCAACATGTGCGCGCCGCTTACTTGGGCTTCGACCAGTGCCATCAACCGGCTCAACTGAGCTTGCATCGCCGCGACTTGCTTCGACACGGTCGACGGCCCGTCCGTGTGCTTGGGGATTTTGCGCGAGTGGCATCCATCGCCCCCCGTCGAGATCGCCGCGCCATCCCCGCTCTTCCTTTTCGACATGACACAGATCGGAGTCGTCATGACGGCAGCGACTCCACAAACGACGCTGCGTGCCGGGTCCACGTCAAACTTGAGCTTGAATCGCTGGCCGTCGTTGCGTCGGCTGACCTGAACATGCACGACGGGGCAGCTTCCACGTGACGCCAGCGTGCATCCTACCTTCTCCAGGCGGAAATGAATCGTGGCCACAGGATCGTCGCTGTGCAGCGTCAGCGCATTCGATCCCATGACGCGAAAAATGTCTTGGTCGTCGACGACTTGCCCTACACCGTCGATGCACGCGCATGTCAAAAGTCGAGTCGCCGTGGCTGAGTACCCGACTCAAACAGCAGCGTGATGCGAAGCGGCACCGACATGGACGACCCGGCGCCGTCCCGCAGACCGACTTGCACCGTCAAATAGTTGGCGCGGCCTCCTACGCGTCGTCATCGTCTGAACAATACGATGCCCGTCGACATCGTTCGAACCTTCGTCTTTGAAAAACGACGATGCGGGCTGCGTCACCACGACGAGGCGAGGGATGCCTCTTGTGGCCATGCGACCGCAAAGTTAAACCGCAAGTGGGTCATTCAACCACGCGCGCCCCATGGCCCCCCTTTCTCGAGATAGAACTCGACGTGATGCCGCGCGACCGTTGACTTGATGGGCATGCACGTCGCCATCACCCTGGCGTTGGTCCACGTGGACCGTGCGACCGTCATTTTCATTGCAGTGCGTGCGGAGGATGGGTGCCCCAAGGAAGGTAAGTGCGGCGGTAGCAGAGGTGCCAGGCGATGTGCGGTCCCAGTAGCGTAGCATGGCTGATGTTGGGCGAGCGATGCCACCGACGATGGGTGCTCCATGTCCAAGGGACGGGAACACGACGACGAGTTGGTCGGGCGAGGCATGTCTGGCACGACAAGTGTTTGGGATGGGATTCGCGGACTGCACGGGGGACGATTCAAATTGCATTCCAGGTTAGGCAATGTCGAGTCGGGAGGACGACTACAACCGAGGCGATGTCGGGGGCATGACGTGCGTGAGCCATTCCAAGAGCATGTGGTTGACTTCGCGGGGGGCTTCGATCCCGAGCCAGTGCCCGCCGTTCTCAATGACGCGGCGTGTCAAGTTGGGGATGACTCGTTCCATGCCAGCACTGAGAGCCGGGGGAAGCGCGATGTCTTTGCCCGCGCCGATGTAGAGCACGGGGTGGCGGAGCTCGGTCGGGGCATTCGCCGACTCGTCCCAGTCGCGCTCGTATTGCTTGTACCAGTGCAGCGACGTGGCAAACCCGCGCTTGGTGTATTGCTCGACGTAATACGCCAAGTCGATCTCGTCGACGAGCGGCGACGTCGCGCCCGGAGCGAACTCGAGCTTGTCGAGATGGACGAGATTCTCGTACAAGGATCCAAAGTCGTTGGCAACGGGCGTCCCAAACAAGTAGCGGAACGCGGCGCGGGCATGCTTGTCGAACGCGTCCCCAGCGTTTGGGGCGACGAGGACGTGCTGGTACTTGAAATTGGGCATGTGATCCAGGAACGTCGCCCAAGGCAGGAGTGCTTTGGGTCGAGGGACGTACGGCGTGCAGATGGACGCGACGGCGAGCACTCGCTCGGGAAAGTATTGGCACATGCGCCACACGACGACGCCGCCCCAGTCGTGCCCGATAAACACCGCGTGTTGAATGTCGAGGTGGTCTGGTGTCGAGTCAGTGGGTGAAGAAGGCGCGTGTGGATGTACCAAGCAGGTGAACGAGGTCGGTGGCGATGGTTTTGCGGCCGTACGAGGCGGGCGACAGCGGCGACTCGGTCTCGCCGAACCCGCGGTTGTCTAGATGGAGCGTTGGAAGATGTGGGTGGAAGGGGACGCGAACAACACCTGGAACGATCACTCGGTAGGTTGCACGGAGGGCTTGGATTTGATGCTACGACAGGCAAACATGCATGACGTCCATGGCAAGCGCGGCCTACGTACTCGCCAGCCGTACCACAGATCTGGCCACCCGTGGACCAGAACGACGGGCACCCCGTCTAGACAAAAAAGCACGACGGTCACCGACACAATGGGTAGGACGGCAAGCCACCTCGAGGGTCAACGTCGATGTAGTGCATGCGGATGCCATTCACAGTCGCATACTCGTGGTTGTACGCTGGGTCATCGGCCCGCGGCGGGATGGTCGAGGCGGTGTCGGCCATGGCGATTTCGCAACTGGCGCATTGTGCCGTCGTCTCACTCTGGGCTGCTTGGTGGAGCGATCCCACCCAATACGGACCTGCCACGTTTCGTCGGCACCTGCGTGAAAGGGATGCCAGCCGACTCCACACGTCGGTGACTTCCTGCGGGTGCACGGCACAGCTTGCACCTAGCTCACCCAGGTGATCCAAATGTCCCATCGCCGGCAAGAGCGTCGGGTTGGGTACGCCTTGTCCATGCTGCTCTGGGGTTATCCCGACGGCACAAACACGCGGCGCGCGTCTTCCAGCGGCGTATGGTTGGCTACCTTCCCTTGTATGCGCGGAACGTGTGGTCCATGCAAGTCGCGAGGCGCCACGCGGCTGGCTTGATCGTGTTGCCGAAATGACGTCGCGTTGTGTCGACAGAGAAATTGTCGCGGGGCGTAGGAATCACAAGAACGTTGTTTCGATTCAACTCGTAGACTACTTGTCCATGGTTGAAGGAAACGGGGCGGCGCGACGTACAACAATCGTGGGCCGCCATGGTGCGTCGGTGTTGGGCTGATGCCAGTGACAACTCTACTCGACGTAGGAGGCTTCGGTGGGAGGCGGCGAAAGCGCAGTGTCCCGACCGAGCCGACATTGAAGCGCACTCCATCCGCGACTGTCAGCCACGTCTTTGGAACGAGAGATCGGCGACGGACTTGGGGAATCGATGATTCCATTCAAACGAAACGTCGCCCATGTCGATGCACATGTCTGTTGTCTAGGGCACGTCATCATTGCCACCACGTCGTTGCGACGCCATCGCGGGATGAAAACGTGTCGACTACTGTCCTGGACGACGTGACCAAGTTCATTTCCCACCAGCCCACACTCGGACGTGAAGATGGCATTGGGGGCGGTGCGCATCGGATGCACTGGAGACCGCCTTTTCGTCGGCTGAACGCTCGGAGAGGTAGAAGGGACCGAACTAGCTTGTGTTTGCAAGGACTTCTCACACGCTTTTGTGGGGAGCGGAAGGAGGGTCCATCCCCAGAACTCTCTTCCTCGCAACACTTTAGCTGCCTCTCGCGTCTTGACGTCATCAAAGTCGAGCTGGTGATGGAGGCTGTGGACCTAGCATGAGTCTATGGCACCATACCATCGTTCGAAGAATTGGTAAAGGTTTCTCCTTGCGTAGCTACTGACAGCGACAATGCACTCCATAGGGTCGTTGGAATCGCCGGGGCGTCCATGGCCTCCAAGAATTGCTCACTGAATTGGTGTAACACGGCCAGCGAAGCACCTTGCACAGCAAGCCGTGCTCGACGGCTTAGACGGGTTGCGCCCAGCGTCGGCAAGCCCCTCCCAGACGCGCTCCACGACCAGGCTGCCTCTGGTCAAACAATGCGTCCAACCAGTCGGTGCAATCGTGGCGGTGCCGTGGAGTTGGAAAAGAACTAGTCGTTGCGGTAATCGACGGACGATGGGCTGCTTGGCCAGCGATGTGTTGACGCCGTGGTGTGCCATGAGGGCTTCCATGACGTCGATGAAAAGACCCGTCATGGCACTAGCGCCAACACCCAACAAAGGTCCGAATCATGGACGAGACGCGCCTCGCGGACATCGTCACCAGAGCGATTTGGCTGGGTCCATCGCGCGATTCAGGTTGCTCGCGACCAAGTGCATCCATTGCAAGTACACCGACACAGTCGTTGCGGACTGCATACGCTTTCAACACGTGAGCGAGGATCTCCTCTTGTTGTGGCCAGTTTGTGCTGAGGTCGTGTTGTCATTGTCCCGGCGATTGGTCGGACATAGGAAGAGTGTCCGAGTGATGTCTCTCCGACTGCCTTCGACGCCATTGCGTCCGTCGGGTGACCTGGCGACGTCTTCGTCGAAAGCCATGGGACTCTAAACATGACCGAAAGGCCTTTCATCGCGGGCGCGCATGGTTGCAGCCGTCTCCTTTGTTCAGAGTCATGCAGGTGGCATGGAATTGTTGATGGGATTTCCTAGAGCGGCGCCTCAAGTGGGTGCGTTCGGTAACGTTGAGGCCGCGGGGTTGCGGTGGACGAGAAGAGTTCGCCACAGACGATACCATTTTGTGTTGCGTGGGTGGTGGATGGAGTCGCATACGTTTGGCCGGGCGGCTGGACATCGCGAAGATGCAGACGAGGAACAACGGGCCGAAGTACGGGCTGAAAAAGGGCCTGTCACCGCTTCAACGAGCCTCGTTCGGAGGATAGGCGGGCGATCGCGGACGGCGTTACCTCTTTGCGCGCTACCACTAAACCGCTGCGCACTCTACGTCGCAGTTCGTCGCTGTATCAACGTTGACGCGATGTACAAATGGGTTGTTTTGAACAAGTCGGCGATGCTCCACGGACAATGGCTCGACCACGATTCCAAATCGATACGACAGACCACTACGATGGTCCTTATGCCACGGCCAACTTGGTGTTGGCACGTTTCGGCTTGGGCATGGCAAAGTACGGCGTCATGGCCACAAAGACGAGGCCGAGCGCAACGAGCGGCCTAACAGGAAGTTGTGATGCCTTCGTCGGTCTCTCCATCAAGACCACGTTACCTGTACCAAACCCATGCAAATGCCATGACAACGAGCGCCGTGCTGATCCTGAACACGGTCGTTCAGAGCGCTACCAACGATCCGAGTGACGTACCCCAAGAGGCCGCTCATGACGTCCACACTCCACGACACGACTGCCACCGCAAACGATCCCGCGAGCGGTACATGCAGAAACAGGTGCGCGAGGTCCACGACGGGCTGCAACAGGACATAGTACCCCAGCACGGCGAGCACGAGGCCGACGAAGCGAAGGCCCCACGTGTACAGCGACTAGAAACGCGTTTAGATATGCCCATGGACAAGCGGTCGACGCACCACCAACGTCTTTGCATGGGCAATCATGTCAGCCGCGCTCACGATTCCTTCCTCCAGCAACGCAATCGTGGCCCCCGACGACGTCGTGAACGGGTGCAAGGTTGCGCCGCGCGTTGGCATCGCGAGGACGCTCACCTGGACATGTCAGGTGAACCAGAATCGTCAACGAAAGGCCGGGACATCCTACAACGTTGGCCGGAGTCACTTGGAACTTGATTCGCATGTCTCCCACGGTGGCGGTGGCTCGGTCCCGTGCCTTGACCTTGTTGCCGGTCGGCTTGGAGAAAAACTGGTTGTGGCGAATTTCCATCGTCTGGAGCGCCGGGATCGAGTCGACCCGTTGCTCTACATGCAGAGCTAGCTCCATGATTGACGCCATTTGCTCGAGACTGGCAGTGTCTAGCGCCACTTCGTTCCGAGTTGAGATCATATCGAGCAACTCGTTCGGAACACTGTATCCGCGAAGAACCACCGATGGCGCAGTCGTCTGATCGCACAGTCATGTTGGGAGGGGTCGAGAGGATGCCATACCGTCTTGGACGTGTACGTCCACGTCGACGGATTCACGTAGCTCGCATCATGGAAGCGATCGCTGTCGATGGCGTCCGTGCTCCACGATTTTTTGTACGAGTACGTGGTATCGGTCTTTTCTTGTCCGTCTTCAGTGTACGTGTGGTCGTGGCGCTCCTCTGTGCATGGTGTAAGACACAAAGCAATGCGATGGGGAGCACCAGATCGGACCTTCCCATTGCAGCATCTCAACGATGCGGTGGAGGCGAATGCCTGTAGTTGCCACACCAAACTCGGCGTCCACGACCAAAGGCCGCTCGTGATCGTTTACAGTCGTCAATCGCCCCGTCAAGTGCACGAGCTTCGACACGACGTTCTTCGTATCGTCGAACTCGACAACTTGTGCCAGAGCTTCTTGCAACCCTGCGTGTTCGCGGACCGACCTGCCTTCGTTCGCGAAGAGCAAAACGACAGACACCGCCAGGATGACGAACCCAAGGAGGAAGCCGCAGCCCACGTTCTCCCGCGTCTTCGTTGTGGTTGTTGTCGACGCGGGTCGCTCGTGCATTCTCAAAATACTAGTATTTTGTATCCAAATATTATAACGGAAGGGAGAGAGCTGAATACTGTACCAATCAAACACGTTCGCACTAGAATTCATCCAATTGAATCATCTACGTTAAATTGGATCAAGTTCACTCTATCCAATATAAGAAGTGTTTCTTTTTTGTTTTTCAAACCAACCCTTACCCTGATGTACGGATGCCGGATAATCGAGGTATTATCCGTACGATGTGCTCAGAGATGACCTCGATTCAACAATGCGCGCCACAACGAACCTGAGCGACAATGATCGGCGAGCCATCATACAGCAGCTAATGGCACACTTGGTCGACGACAAGAAGCTCATTCACGAGCTCTCAAAAAAATCGCTCTGGAGTTCGGAGTTCACAGAGGCACTGTGCAAAGGGTGTGGAAACGAGGATGTGCCGACCTCAACAACACGATACGGCCATGCTTAGACGTGTCATCGAGAATAAATGGAAGCAGAAGTGTCTGAAGCCCTGGAGATGTGTGATTTTAGCTCCCAGCTGGAAAAACTCATTGTTAGCGCCGAGCTTCAGGAGGAATCTGGTGTTGAATTGGCCCAGCTATTGGACTTGAGCAACTTGCTTTTAATGTATATTTATGGATATTCGGCCCTTTGCGCAAGTATTTGCGCAACCCCTGAAACATGATATTTATCGGGTTTTGACGGTAC